TGGTGAGTCTCCCGCCAACTGGATTGGGTATATCATGGAATACAGATACAATGTGAGATCAATGGAGAAAGCGATGTATGTATTCAGGTGGACGAAGAGGAGAAAGAGAGAAGGAGAGAGAGAGAAACTATGGGGTTCTATCTACACATATATGATGCCTGGGGCATCAAGGCATCCAACAGTATATCTCTCATGCGCGGGCAGATGGGCATAGAGCGCATCTTCCTCTGTAACTGTTGAAGCTGTAGTGCTCTCATGTTCCTTTCCTGTCGATGTGGACGCGGAGTCGGCATCGCGCTTGTCGACAGGTTTCTCGGTGGGCCTTTCGTTCAGTTGAGGATCCTCTGCGACCTTCTCAACGGCCGACACACCATCCTCGGGCTGTTGCATGTTGATCGAATTGCTGGATCCTGTACCCGGAGGTCTATTCCATGAAGGTTGTCGGAAAAGTTAAGGTGTAATCGAAGGTGGAGACCGTGGAGGATGGATCATGGAGGTTAAGTGAAGAAATAAGATATCAGGAACCTTGAAGGCCCAAGCGTTCTGGAAAGGTTCGAAGGGGAAAGGAAGGGATCCGCTGAGGGAAGAAGCCCGTCTCAGTCAGACCATTCCAACTTCCCCTCGTTAGGGTCGAACATCACGAACCCCCGCCAATTGTTCTTTTCCCACTCCACACGCTCCACACATGAGCTTGGTGGAAGTCTTCGGGACGTCTTCGAGCAAGATGGGATTCAACAACCCCAGGTGGCTACAACATGAATTGGAGTAATGGGGTGAATGATTGGTCGTGTCCCATGTTTCTCGATGGTTCGGAGTGCCTTTGAGATCTGACCTGTGAGTTTGCTGAAACCTCATTGTCCTTTGCAGATCTATCCAGAATTGACATCATCCAGAGCGGCGCAGTCCGCGCCCGGCTTGCGAACAATCCGCGAAGCTCTTGGCACATGTCTGGAGCTTTGACGCCAGTCGATGGATCCAGATATTTCAGCGCCAGCCATCACGAGGCACTATCCCCAAATTGCCTAAGTAGTCCACCATATGGCAGCCCCACGCCCGTCTTCGGGGCCTGCGGAGTCCTTCTCATAGGCTTCGATGCGAATTGGCGGCAGACGAGTTGCACCCATTGCATGGATGAAGATCGGGTTTCTATAGTAGTGCGTTGCTACCAGGACTGCGGCTGAGCCCAGGAGGAACTATAACGTCTCAGTTAGCCGGGTTCACAATACTTGTAGTATGTGCCATGATAGGGACTCAAATGAGGAGGTAGAGGCTGGGGTGATGCGTTGAAGAGGCAAGGGGACATACGCTTGCAGTGACCTCGAAGTCAAACAGCCATATGCTGCCAACAATGCTCAGAATGATGTTGGTGGCTGTCGCCAAACTCCTTGCGTCCTTCTGCGCGTGGCTGACGTAGAAGGCGGAAACGATGCCACCTAAGGCCTGGATGATGATGGTAGACCACACCTCCCAATTGTAGCCCTGGAAGAAGCCATCTTCGGCGATTTTCTCGCCATCCCGGAAAACAATCCCAATGAAGAGAGCCGGGAAGACGGAGGAGACAGCCAATTGCACATTGCGGACCCACAAAGAAATATGGATGTTTAGAGCTGTCCTTTAGGACTTTCTCAAAAAACATACTCGCAAGACCAGACGCCACAGACGCTCGTATGATCGCAAAGAGACCAATTGTGGGGTTAAAATGTGGGTCGGCTGTTTAGATATCCTCTTCGATAGTCAAATTCGTGGGAATGTTAAACTGCGAGAGAACAGTCTCATTGACTGGGGTTCCGGGGGACCATGTCCTTGATGCTGATTTCCTCTGCAACCTCTTTCAACCGCCGCTTGTAGCCATCGCCCTTCTTCTAGGCAGCGGCGAACTCATCGGGGGTCCGGGGGCCATGTCCTTGATGTGGATTTCCTCTGCAAGGATGGGGTCAAGGAATGTGGCAAGAGTACTTGGATTTGATAGGTCCGCAGACGCTACCACCGAGCATCCATTGTTGGCGTAGTATGTCGACCGGGTGGTCTCAATCAATCTCAAGAGACTGGGGACCAGTACTTTTCTTGCAGACTGCGTTGATGAGCTGGGGCGGGATGATGCCCACACCATCGAAGCGACCGTGACCCAACGGCGCTCATCAAGAAGGGGGCACTATCGGGAAGAAGGAGTAAGTATCGAGATTCCATAGATGATCTTAATGATTGTCGGACGAGTGCCCATCACTTACTATGCATAGCCTTTTGCCGATTCTCAAGGATCTCAAGAGAGCGGTCTTTGAGTAGATGTAGACTGGGGTGCTCCAGTACTGGCTGAAGACGCGGACCAGACACTGCCAGAGTTGGACAGAGAACGGCACTCGACCTCCATTGGAGGTTGTTTCAGATGCGTCCCTTCGAGGCTGCGAGCAACTGGAGCTCCGTTCTTTGTGGATGATCGGAAGGGAAAGAGAGGACAGAGCGGAAACGATGCCTCATCAGTCTCTGTGTCGTCTGCAGTCATCAGCCTCTACTGTCGTCACGGAGATGGGGTGATGCATTTGATAGAGATGAAGAGTGATGGAAGGTGAAGGAAGGAGATGCCGGGATACTCACCAGGAGAGATGAGGGGCCAAGTCCCCGTCGAGGCAGCGGGGCCGTCGAGGCAGCGGGGCCGTTGAGGCAGCGGGGCCGTCGAGGCATCGAGGCCGCCGCCGAGGGAAGGATGCGCTTGTGGCCCTTCCTTTCTGCTCGGACGTCATGAGGCGCCTCATCAACCGTTTCCGCAGACCGAATCAACGAGAAACTTCATTGTGGTAGGTATATGTATTGATTGTTCCGGGGATGAGGTGGGGGGTCGATTGAGAAAGGGGAAGATAAAGTGACCTCCCGAGAGGGAGGGCACGACTAAGCACGCGACAAATCAGGCGACCAGCAAACCGCAAGAGCAACCATGGAGAGCACTGAATATGCAACCTGGAACGACATAAGCGCCAGCTATCTTGTACATGAATGGATCTATCAAGGCGAGCGCATTGGACGGTTGTCTCACATTGTGCTGTGGGCTTTTGTTGCGGCTCACACTTCACGACGACATCATATCCATTGGCCTTTCAGTCCAGTATTTGGCTACACGACACATGGGATTATGGGGTGTCCTGAGTTGACTGGTGGGTCTGCTGATTGATTGGGGGCAACTACCACTGCGATGGCATGGTTTCAGTCAACCATTAGTAGGTTATGACCAAGGGAAATGTGTCCCGGTGAGTCGTGGGGCGCACCTTTCGTACTGACACTCATCTCAAAGCGCAGTAGAAGCTGAAAGCCTGCTCGGCAGAGCACACAGACCATTGATCGCACCAGCCGCAGGCCGTAGAGGGAAATCTGTCGTTTGATCCATGGTCAATGCATCAAACGACATTCCATATCCTGCAGGGGCAACCTAAATGGCTTGTATATGGAATTACTCCTTGGTTCCTCAACAACTGATATATATACACAGTTCGTCCATATTAGCGGCCTGAGGACACTTCACTTGAAGTAGGAAGTTGTATTCTGCATTACCGCCGACTGGGATAGGTAGTCAACACGAGGCCCTCGAGACCTATACGACAGAAATGCCATCAAACAAAATGCAAGCGAAACACAAACGACAAATGAATCCACTCGTCACACCGATTTTCCATCCATCTGCCGCAGCCATAATTTACGGTCAATTCCTGTTTCAACAACGTATTCGTGTTACTCCTGGGCAGCATACTTGGACGTCTTTCCGAGCACTTTGGCCGGCTCCTCGTTATCAACAGGAAAAATCGAACAGTGGGCTTCCCAGTCATCAAACGGTGTGCCTCATTCTTCGTTCTGCACGATTGTGAGCATATGCCAAATCTCCTAGCCCGACTCTTCGTCTGTCAAGCCGGGGTAATGACCCTGTTCGGCGAATAGGTAGCTGATAAGCGTTGCTTTGCGCGCGTTGAGAGCTTCGAGCAGGTGCATGATCTACTGCATGGCCTTTGATGTTCCATGACAATAATCTATTGAAAAAGTAGTAGACTAGGTATACGGGAATGGAGACGCATAGTTCGTCCTCAAAGTTTGAGAGGTAGGTACAAGGTAGTCGAGTGGTGCGAGCCGCAATCAACTTCGTAGGGCGCCAAACCCTCGTTTCGCATCACCACGTCTGGCAGACTGAGCCTTGACTGTCTTGTTATTCTCAAGGATGAGTCACATGTTGCTTCATGCAAGACTTGGTGGCTTTGGACCCCAGCACTGGAAGAGGTAAGAAGGCAGTGTCCATATGACCGGATGGACGATCTAATACCTCCATTCTATGGGTGTATATATTTCATTTACTTGGGAGCTTACCGAGTGGAATTATATTGGATTGCTAAACAATCGAATGTAACGGGAATAGGCGCCCATCGTGGAATTTGATATCAGATCAGTACGGGACCCTCGTTTCCATTGCTGCCCCCACTAACCTCCTGCACTGGCTCCCAGGCCGATGCACTGCCCCTTTTTCCCACCGGAGAATGCCGTTTTATCCGACGCTAAGGTTGATCTGGCCAGTCTTACCGTCGAAGGCACGCTGCAATGATGCTGGCCAATAGAAATACAGCGTAGTCTCATACGCTATTTCAACGTGATAGGTTGGAGCAGACCCCACTCTGAAGTGGGTCCCGTAGTGGCCCTCCCGGTCGCTTCCCGCTTGAGTGGATCAGATCAGTGATAGGGTGTGTAACTACAGTACGTGTAACGCATAAAAGCCTAAGAAAATCAAGCATTAAGGATGAAGGTTAACCGGTTTTTCGGGTGTCGATCTGTGGACTCGCAGAATAAAGAGAACGCACGTGATCTAGGAATTAGGTTGATTTATGTACACCCACCGTCACCTACGTACTAACGGTTCCTCTCGCGAATCTATTGAATATTTGATTCGACTGTCCATGTCCCTAGACGAATGTAAATGCTTCGCTCTTTTCCAACACGCCGTCATCCGACCGGTACCCGATCTGCAAGGACTTTTATAACGCGTTTACATCCACACCAATCCGAATCAAGGCCTCAAGCACCAGATCATTCCCTCTCTCTGCAGCAATGTGCAATGGGCCCATCCCAGCTTGATCCTTCAGAGTCGGGTCCGCCCCATTCTCAATTAGCAATTGAGCCACGGAAACATGACCGGTCGTATTACCAGCCGCAGCACATGCATGGAGTGGCGTCCTGCCCAACGCATCGGTTGCGTTCATATCAACATTGTGGCTCAGTAATGCCCTGACGCATTGTGTGTTTCCTGACGCAGCAGCTAAATGTAGAGCGGATTTATAAGAGACGGAGGCATTTGACCTGGTATGGTGTTGATTTTGTGTAGACTTTGCTCGATGGCGCCGCGCCAGTCCGTGGAATGAAGAGACTGTCGTACTCATATCATCAATGGTGTTTGGTGCAAGAGATTCGACATGAGGGTACCATTGGGGTGAGTCCATGAGCAAGCTCTCCTCGATCGCTGGAAGAGCAAAGTCAAACTCCTGGAAGTTTGGACCGGCTGGTGGTGATTCGGAGGGTGTTTCGTTCAGACCACGGAGTGAGGCGGCTGCATTATCAAAGTCCACTTGGTGATAATGCAAGCTTGGTTGCTCGAAACTTTGCTCGTGCATCGCGCCCCTGTGGTCATTACCACATTTGTCGCAGAACTGTCGCGATGGTGTGGTTTTCGGGGAAATGTCCGGCATACAGGTCGCTTGATAGGGACTCGAAGGCAAAAATGTATTTTTGGAATTTACTTGTGGTCTGAGACGCTCGAGCCCTGCGAGCTTCGCTTTTGTAGCCTGTGCTGGGAATCTTTATCAGCCTTTACATCAGTATTTGAGCGGAGGGTATGATGAGAAGGAGAGAAGTGCGGTGACGGCGTTGTGCTTGTCGGTTTTTGGCCCGACGGCGTGTAATGCTGGCTTCCTGACTCGAATCCATGGCAGGTTAGTGATGATCCAGCCATGAGGACTGTGTCGGCTCCCTTAGGCCTCCCATGGGAGGACGAGCTAAGCTAAGTCTAGGTAATATGTACAGGACCCTGTCAGAAAGCAGCTCTTTTCCCTATACAGAATCGTTCATATCCAATTGAATGCGTTCCTCCGACATGCAGGCTTCGCGTGGCATGGGTGTCAGGTGGGAATGCCGGGGGCAATTGGCTGTCGAGAGAAGCCTCAAGTTCAAGAAGAAGTTGCGGTACTAATGAAGGCTGATCTAGAGGCGAGCGACAAGACCGCTCAGTTAGCGCTCAGGGTGCCACCTAGGGATGACCTACCAACGGAGTCGTTGGCCTTCTTGACGGCCACGATATCCCCGCAGTTCTACCACGCGGCGGTCTTACATTCTCAGCACGCCAACTGGATCAGTCATCATTATTGCCGCAACTTCTTCTTGGACTTGGGGAGAGGCCTTTTTCAGATTCTCTTCGATGACCATCATCTTCGATGCAGTTGTTTTGAAATTTGGGGATCTGAGGGTCCAATTGACTTCCCTACAGTACCTCCACTCGTGTCCCTTTCCTCCACATAGACAGCGCATCGACTTGTTGCGATTGCCTGAAGGCTTCCCCTTGAGGGTGGTTGTGGATGCCATGGATGATCCTCCTCCCAGCGTCTGGCTCTGGACATGGCGGTAGTCTCCGTAGTGAGAGACGACTCGATGGAAATCCATTGCGTTTCTGTCAGCTACCGGCGGTGGAGTCCAGCTCTCCGTAGTAGCTTTGGATCTCCACAAGTCTTCCCAGTCGGTCAAGCGTTGCCTCCACATGTTGGCAAAGTATGGATCTTGTGCTTGAACTGCCCGAAGAAAGTCCCTGATTGCCATCGAATCCGGGGGGTACTGGGAAGACGTATAGCAAACGTCTGGGACGCCCGCGGCTTTGGCTTTGTCGTACAGATTGTGCCAATTCTTCAACCACCGTTGCAACGAGGTCTTGTTCATGGGCGAGTCAATCATTCGTCGCCAATCGTTACGAAGCTCCTCGACCCTCGTTGCGCGTCTTAGCAAATCGTTACGAAGGTCCTGGACCCTCGTATTGCGTCTCGGCGCGAACTGCTGCTTGAGCCGTACAAGTTGGTCGTATGGTGACGAGAGGCCCGACAAGATTCCGTGCCAGTCCGGGTGGAGGCACTGTCGAATGTATCTCTTCATCCGAGAGATAGCAGCAACGGTTGCCTCCCCGAGGACCTGTCCGTCCTTGTACAAGGCGACCCTCTCGCGGTATTCGGTGAAGTCTTCGCCTTTCAGGTCCGATGTTTGCGTGACGCCTTCCTTCACGTCGCAGGGTCTAGGGTATTCCGAGTAGATCCACTCGGTCGGTATTTTATATATCTCCGATTCGCTCTTCTCGGGATCCATATATTCCCATACCCGCTCCATCTTTGCGGCAACTCGATGTCGGCGATCCAGAGCTGCCATTGCGAGGAATCGCGCAGCAATGGTCCGAGGGGAGAGAGCAATTATCCGAGGGGAGTGTCCCAGTCGGAAAGCCCTTGGTTCTCCATCCAGTCCATCTTCACATACACTTCTACTGTGAGTCTATCCAATTGGACCTTCTGCAGCAGATTGGTTGAGGGGCTATCCGGATTACCCTCGGGGACCAACTGAGAAATTGAAATCTAGGGGAGTTGGTTCGTTGGAAAAAGAAAGATTTGATGTCTTTGATTCAACGTGCAACCGGGCTTATAACTGTGGAAGTGAGAGCCACAGCGGAAATGTACATGTGAAGAATCTAGAGAAGCCAAGGGGAACCAATTCAAATTGTATGAATATAGAGTTGAATGTTGATTGAGGACTCGAAGGCGGTGACCCATAGGGAACGACACTGTGTGTCTCGCTTACCGAGTGGGGAACAACTCAAAATACACTAAGCCATATCTAGACTAGTGTATGCAAATGACTATGACCCACTATTCTCGACAAACGCATTATGGCGGGTCTTCAGGTCTTGGCTCCGCTGATGCAAATGAGGTCACTTAGGTTAGTTATTTCAAAGAGAACCTTACAAATAGAGAAGAATGAAGCGAAGACTCTGTAGAAGGGTCAAGGCACCCAAATAGCGTAGGCGAAGCAACTGGCGAGCCGCCGAATGAATTCCTTAGTCGTCGTTGTTCTTAACGGGGGAGCCGAAGATGGAGCAGAGGAGGAATTCAGGTAAGTACAGGAGAGGAAAGCCTGTGCATGAGCCCAAATAGCCAGGGTAGGGGTACCTCCATGCAAGAAGCGAGAACAGCAGCCGAGCAGCCCCAAGCCTATTACTTATACATACCGATAGCCGGAATAGCTGATAATCAAAGACACTGGCGGAGACGGCGCCAAGCCTAGGAAACAGGCAAAAGTGTAAGGGGAAGAGATATAAAGTGATGTGTATTGTCTACGGCTAGTTACCGGAGGGGAAAACAGGAAGCCCCCTGTCACCGCTAGTGTGCCTGAGTCATCTCACGTTGCTAGTCCCGCTGCGCTCATTCTGTTCTTCTCCGGTGCTTGTCATACCGTGAATCAGATTCAACCCCAAATATCATTACAATGTCTTCTGCAATCGGGAAGAAGGCCCTTCTTCTGGGTGCAGGCTTTGTGTGTGAGCCCGCTGTCCAGGCGCTCTCCGTAGCAGGCGTCGAGGTCACCGTAGCCTGTCGCACTCTAAGTGCTTCCCAGGCCCTCACCGCAAACTACAAGTCTACTACAGCTATCGCACTCGATGTAGTCAACGAGCCGGAGGCGCTCTGCGCGGCCATCTCTGAAACCAATATCGTCATCTCCCTCGTCCCCTACGTGCACCACGCCCTCATTGTCTCAGCCGCCATCAAATACAACAAACCAGTGGTGACAACGAGCTACATCTCTCCCGCCCTCTGGGCACTGGACGACCAAGCCAAGGCCGCAGGTATAACAGTCCTCAACGAGATCGGTCTCGACCCTGGCATCGACCACCTTTACGCTGTAAAGACAATCGACGAGGTCCACAAAGCAGGTGGACAAGTGAAGGCCTTCACGAGCTACTGTGGTGCTCTCCCTGCACCAGAGAACTCCGACAACCCCCTTGGTTATAAGTTCTCCTGGAGTCCTCGAGGAGGTCTGCTTGCCCTTCTCAACTCCGCGCGATGGTACCGCGATAACGAGATCGCAACCGTGGATGGAAAGGATCTGATGGCTGCTGCTTCACCACAGCCCATTTTTCCCGGGTTCCGCCTGGTTGGATATCCCAACCGCGACTCAGTCGGATTCCGAGATTTCTATAACATCCCCGAAGCACACACCGTCTTTCGGGGCACCCTACGATATGCCGGGTTCCCTGAGATAATTCGCGCCTTGGTGACCATTGGGTATTTCTTGCAGGAGCGAATGGCTGTGCTGGAAAAGTCGGGTACGACTTGGGTACAATTGACTACCTTCCTACTTGGACTTTCGGAGTCCTCGTCACCGAGGGAGGTGGAAAATACGGTTAGGCAGAAAGTTAAGGCATTCATCACAGACAACGACGATGTCGATCGTGTTCTTTCAGGTCTACGATGGATTGGTCTCTTTGACACCACGCCTGTCGGCGCATATCATACACCACTTGACGCGCTCTGTGCTGTGCTAGAAACCCGAATGGCCTACCAGCCTGGAGAACGAGATATGATTGTGTTGCAGCACATCTTCAATATCACGCATGCAGATGGTTCGGTGGAAAAGAGATCGAGTACTCTAGTTGAATATGGGGACCCTCTTGGTCCGGGGTCTCGCAGTGCAATGGCGAAACTTGTTGGACTTCCCTGCGCCGTTGGGGTTCTGGCTGTGTTGGAGGGACGCATTTCGGCGAAGGGTATGCTGGCGCCTTGGTCGAGTGCGGAAATTGTGGGTCTGTTGCGGGACGAACTAAAAGATAGATTTGGCATTGAGATGAAGGAGCAGGTTATCGGATGAGTCGTGTGATGCCCGGAATTTCTATTCATTTGAGTCATTTCCACAGTGACAGAGTCGGAAAGACCTTGAAGATCTATTTGGATGATTACTTTAGAATGTACTGAGTATAAGAAGATAGTACGAAAAGGTAGTCTATGTAGCCTTCATTCTTCGCATTATTGTTGGAGGTTACTCACTACCTCTGAGGCGCCTTGCCAACCATCCGCTGTGTAGCCCGTTTCTGGTCTCCCATTGCATTGCATCAGAGCATGCATCGTTCCATTCTTGAATGAAATTCCTAGCCTCGCGTTCGGTATCGAAACGTTCGTGGCACGCGTTTGTATATCCGCTGATTGATTCCTCCGCTGCCCTACATCGCGTTACTGAGTGCCCAGTTCGTTCCAGCATGATGCTTACCTACTTCCAATCTGTGAAAACTCCGGTATTTTGGCCATATGCAACAGCATAATAATTTCCTCGGGGTTGCAGCGTAGCTACATAGCTTGCCTCACATTTGAGAGCTTCGTCGAGTTCTTCAAATCCGTTCTCTATTTCACGTCGTGCTTCTTCGAGACTCAGGAAATATTCATGTAAGGCGCCATCGAAACCTGTCACTCTAGGATGTACCTGAGCCCTGAGCGAATCAGTAATTAGCAGGCACATCACTTGTGCTAGAACCTAGTCGCGTTTACCAAGAGGAATATATGGTTGGCCTGTCCACTCGCCCCTGATATACGACGTAAAACCTTCTTTCACGGCGACTTTTTGGGGCCATTGCTGGTATAAAGTGTCAGATAGAATGATGAATGTTTAGGTTGTCACGAGAATTTGGGCTGCAAAATAAAATGGAGGTTATGAGTACAGGTGGGGGTCTTTATAGGGAAATTCTTTGGGCTTGTACCGCTGCCCTTAGAAGGGGGGTTGTTCTCTGCATGGGGCAACTTGTGCATAGGCCTTTGGGATCAACCAATGAATCAAGGCTCTATTAACCTGTTGGAGCCTAACTAGTATCGCTGTGGCTATGCAGGCGCCTTTTTCCGGATGAAGCAAGAACTCGTATCCCGTACGCCCGAACAGGCTCCAGTACAGAAAGTGAGGCTGAACACCAATAGTGGGAGCACCAGTCTATTACACATAAGCCAAAGTCATAAAACCGACGAAACCCGAAGTACAAAGGAGAAGCCACAGCCGTCAGGGAGTAGGCACAAACATGAATGCGTGGCACCGTCCACCTCCCCATGTCCGGGCTCTCGCCTCACGTATACTACGTAAGCTCCTCTACGTCAAGATCCCGGCCTGTTCCTGTTGCAGCAACATCAGGCCCCGTTCTCCGAAATCCTTACTTCAGCCTCGATTGCTGATCATCGTCCGTCACTACCCAATTAGGCAGCGTGTATCCAAATAGTTGGGTGAGATGCTCCCCTCTCTAAAGCGTGGTGGCAGGCAATGGTGAGTACTCAGCGTCATAAGCCGGTGCATGAACTTGGCAATATAGCGGGTTTCCAGTGGGTTTGACACCATGGTGTCATAATCAAGCCTCTTCACGCCGGCTTTCTGTAGCTGGTCCAGTAGGCACTTTCTCCAAGCGCCGTTCTTTGGAAGGCGTACTCTAAGATACGCCCGAAATAGTTTAGACCTCTGCTCCGGACCGGCCCACAAAGCCCAAAGCGCAAGCCATTTGCGCTTTGGGGCCAGTCAATCGGACCACCTATCCGATGGGATTTGGGCTCATCCTTTGAAAGAAGTGATAATATATTGAGTAGGCAGAAACTGTCTAGGGCTCCAGATGTCAGTCATTTTCAGGGGGCAAGAAGACGCTGCGTCCTGTTCGCTCGCCAGTTGGCCCGAAGACTCGCCAGTTGACCCCAAAGTTCGGTAGTTGACCCGACGGTCGCTTCCCTAACCCTAGACTAAAAGCTCTTCGTATCTATAGCCGAAGGTTATGAAACACATAATATATAAGTCTACATAGGCGTAGGGTCCTTTAGGTTACCGGTCACGATCCCCCTTATGTCTCCAGTCCTAGTCTCCTAGACGCATCATCGGTTTCCGTGAAGACTAACAATCAGCATGACCGATCGAATTCGCAAGAGCGGAAATAAACTTCCTCTTCTCCAGCCTCTTATGGCAGTCTTTATTACTGATTCACATGGTAAGGTGGTGAGATCGGTCAGGGCTCAGAAGACGCCGAGAGACCCAGATTTGGCCATAGTTCCGTTCCTGACTCGGACGCATACGCCTCAGAAACTAGAGGGTGCTTCCTCGACTTGTCATGTTGCCGAGTCTTATGACAATTGAAGTGGTAAGTGCTTCACTGGCTTTATTGGCTTTACTGTGGAAGTGAAAAATTTCCATGACAGATATGACAAAGTGTAAATCCAGCATCAGAAAATGCTCAAATCATACCCCTGCCTTGACCGGGAAAGGCCATATGGCTCTCGCCTCGTCGGCGGATTTCTCCCCAGCGACGCTTTCAATGTACATGGTCAACAATTCCTCGTTCTGCCTCCTCTTCTCAGTCACATCCAATTCTGGTGGGATCCATCCTTCCGCATCCGTATCAAGGCATTCTTGCACCAGAGCCTGAATCTTATACCAAGCTTGATACTCCGAGAATTGGCGTTCGTGCGTATCGATCTGCTCCTGCGTAAAGAATAAAGGGCATTCTCCGGAAAAGCCAAGGTCCGGCCAACTCTGAAAGAGTTCTATCAAGCATGCACGAAGGGGAAGAACGCCAATTTCGGAGACTTCCCTGCATCGAAGGAATAGCTCTCGGAAGACACGGGGTACCCCCATAGCCCTGTACGCTGGTTTATCCTCAAGCAAGGTTGAGATCTCATAGGCCTTTGCCAACTTTACTTGGGACCATTCGCGCATTGCAAGCATCTTGTCATCCTCGTCTAGGATATCGATATCATCGCGCAGTTTCACCTCAAATATCCCCATCTCGTAATCGTGGTTGTGCGGTGGTTTGAGAAAGACTGGCCATTGAGCCTGGAGAAATGCAGGTAGAACAGAAATCGACTGGAGGTCGATGAGGCATACTATTTTTGTACACTCGGCAGGGTCGACGAAAATGTTTCCCATATGAAGATCGGTATGCCATAGAGTTGCCTTGGAAGCTTCCCCTTTCAATATTTTGTTCGAGTCTAAAAGCCCCATGACACTCTCTGTCGCCTGTAGGAGTTCGGTTTGTTCTTCGATATCACCTCTATAGAATGGTGTTTGATCTTGGTGGCCGTTCCTTAATATTCGGAGCAATTCGCGCTTTGCAATTGAAGCCCCAAGGGCTGAAATTGAATACCCTATGAGCAGTTAGTATACGAACTGTCAAAATACGCAGGGGACTCACAAGGTCCTTTATCAAAGTCCAGACTTGGATCAGGATTATATGCCCGGTCACAAGAAGGTCCAATACAGAAACCTGGGTCAAGTTCATCATCAAGGGGCTTGTTTGGTTGCTCCATGTCCGTTCGAAGATACAGTCCTCCATAAGCAGGGAAACGAATGGCTGATAATTGAGCCTCCATCTGGGTCAAGTTTCTGATTAACTGTAGTTGATCATATTCGGTCATACTACCCCAAACTCGAAACAGTGGAACACCAGGGGCTTTCTCCATGATGATATACTCTGCACCAACGGCATTCGACCTTTTCGAAGACCAGGAAAGAACGCGGGGGACAGGAATGCTAGTGTGCTTTCTGACTGTTATATATGATATCAGCCAATGGATGTAGAATTGCACCAACATAACATACTATATTCGAGAGCGCCGACTTCACCGGCTGTCGTTAAGGTGGGCGGGCCAGCAATGTCGCATGGAATTTTGGCTATGGCTTCGGATCCATTTTCTTTTCTCATCAAGAAAGCCTTGCTGAAACCTCCTTCCAATTTGTCAATAGCTGTGACTTGACTGGCTTTTCCGCCGACTGCTGCAGTAATATTGCAAAGCTCATCCACATCGAATCGGACATATCTTCTCCTTAGCTGGTATTCTTCGTTGGCAAGTAAATGACCATTGGTATAAGCAAAAAGCTCCTCCTGCGTAATGGATGCACCTATATGAACAATCAGAAACTGAAAGCAGCTGCCTTGACACCAAACCCCTTTCCCTTCTTACCTCGACACGTTATTGATAGAGACGATCCGGGTCCGCCATATCGATGTGCCGTAAAATTTCTGAGCGCTCTTAGCATTTTACGAGCAGGTGTGCAAGATACACGTAAGGATTGGGTCAAAGGAAGAGTCAAGAGATGCCAGAAGGAATGCCTACCAGAGAACTTATGAATATGAGACACTTCTTAACTACCTCAGTTCACTCAGCCGTCCCCCTGCAGATTGGGCATCCACCGCCTGCTGTTTCCAGCGGAGCTGACTCAGCCTTTTGAAGGGGCCGGGGGAGGGCAATGCCTGAGGAATCAATTGGTGGTCACATAAAGTAGATCGGGTGTTTTGCTGTGTCTACTACTGCAGGAAGTTAGGAACAAACCTGCAGCTTTCGATGTTGACATTAAGCTTTCAAAGTGTGGGGATGCTTAAGCCTTTATGCCGCATTGCCCGTAGATCTACCCAGATCGGGTGGGTCCCTGGTTGCACCAATCACGTTCTAGATACGGATCCCAGATGATGCCCGCAATTTGCAACCTACTACCACTAGGTAGTATGCAATAATGCAGCGTGTGTAGTCTGGGGCTCACCCGGCGCCAGGTAAATGACAGAAGGTTCACATGTTCTACGATGCATTGGGGCATTTGAGCCTGTACTCTAATGAATTGTTACAACAGTGAAACATTCATAAGAGCAGAAGATACCGTAGTGATGCAGTATTTGGGACAATACGGTATTCGGCCTCACTCTGCATTTTCAAGGGAAAATCTCGAATACCGTATCACTCGAATACCGTGGCACTACCGTACCCAAAGTCCACTATCGCATTGTGATCTGACCGCGGTATCCCTACGGTCCTTGTTCATATTTTCAATGTATTAGAGTATTCGACATGTATGAAGTATTACTGTCACAACGAGTCTGAGACTGGAAAATCTCGACATCCGCTAAGTTGTATCTAGTCAAGCGTCTTTCTACCATATCCACATCCCTCGACACTTCATGACGCCCGAAGTCCGACTTGGATAAATCATTACTAAACAGATACTCTCTCCATTTAACGTAACCATAGCCTCTCCAGGCAAATCAATCCCCAGTGCACACATACTGTACTATGCACTTCGGAAGTCCTTTCAACACAGTTCGCCCCCGACGCCGCGACGAGATGGATGGTTCACTGCAATGTCTTCATAGCTGCTGGAAAGTTTGTTGACCCGCATCTGACTTCACCGGCGCGATAGATACGAGTAGTGCTGTCTCACTTCCAACCATCGTGACGAGGGAAATTGCCGTGGGTCGCATCGAGGGCTGAACTATACAAAATTGGCCCTACTGCTGCCCACATTGGATAGTCGCAAGAAGCATGGGGCGGAAAGGCCGGGTACACTCGCATACAGTACTCCGCATCGAGCACATACTGACTGCGACGTTGAAAACATGCCAAGGCACTAAAGATGCTCAAGGAGCCAAGGGTGGGTCACAAGCCCAAGCCAAGTCCAGCCCAAGCTCAAAATTCAGCCTGGGCATCAGCCTATCGCAAATTTCGGCTACGATGCAAACATGGGAAAATCAATTCAAAACAGTCCCGTGGGCTGTGGCTGTACATAGTACCTGAACTAGATCTCCACTCGCACTTGCGTCTTGATCTCCCGATTGGTGGCCCGGCCCGGCAGGCGTACAAGGGAACGGTAGGGCTTTTCTTCTTGTTTTTAATTGGCCATACGGTTGGGGTTATCAGGGTTTGACCCACTCTCTGATGCAAAGCCTTCTGCGGATACTCCGTAGTCCGGCTCTAATAGTGGGAGTAGCTAACACACACCTCCCCCGAGGACATTTTAGCCTCGCGTGGGTTGTCCAAGCCGTTGCATGCAATGCCGAGACATTGCCATAATCGCAGGAGAGGTAAGGTTGTAGGACTAGGCAGCCGAGGGTCGTTGGAAGCCGTCAAGCCGACAAGAGAAGTGATTCGGATATTCGGAATCAACGAAAACCCGACACTCCGTCATCAATTTTACTAGTACGGAGTATGCAGCCTTATGGGGCTCAGCTAGGCTCGTACCATACCATTGTACTACTGTGTCTGTTCCCGCCAATCCCCCTAAGGTAAAATATTCCAATGCATCTGGAATTTCAACAGCACCACATTCAAACGAAAAGCTTTCCAACAAGCAAGACACCGGCAAGCCACCATCTGAAGTGAGATGTCGCCTCGTTGATAGGGGCCCCATTCCTCTTGGCTGGGCAGCTTATGACAGGGGTAGGGTATTGGCAATAACTCGCGGTAAGGGAAGACGAGATGCTTGAGGCAGCCGCAGGCGCAATACTGGCCTTGCAAGGAGTCGGAGTAGGTGACGGACTCTTCAGCACGGCGCATGTTTCGCCCCGAGCATCGGTCAGTGGTGCTGGCATGGTTGTAGTGGCATGGAATGTCAGCGCCTGGGCGTCATTGCACTTGTCATCGGCAGTGAGAGTGGTGAGATTGAGCGGAGTTGCCCCCTTTTTTGTGGTGAAAAGAAGAGATTGGGCAATCACATGGTCGCCTAGCCCGAGGCTGAGTTCAGAAGTGGTCTCATTATCCGGTATCGAGCAATTTGTCCATATCAGTCTCCAGACGAATCGCCATTGATTCTCAGTGTTGTGGGTATTGGCTATACCATCGATTAGGAATGACACAGGGCCAGTCTTATTGGGCAAGTGGCCGTCAGTCAGATATGTCAGGTCGGTTTGATTGTCTGGTGAGGTATCCGCCGTCCAGAGGCCGTAGCCCAGAATTGGGTAGAGTCCGTCAATGACCGCAGGGTTCTGAATGCCAAAGACAATGGGCGTGATTGTCATCGGGGCAAAGGTCCCGTTTCGTGGAAAAATCAGATCGACCTCTCCGACGCCCAAGACAGCCTTATCGGCCGCCCCCAGGGACACCATCAGGCTCACGGCAATAGCACACGTCTTGGTACTGAACATACTGGGATTGTGGCAATGTTGATATTGAGACGGCGTAAAAAAGAAAGTCTGATATCAATTGATACCAGCTGCCTGAGGGTCAGAAGAGATAGAGAGACAAAAAGGAAACTGCGGTAAGGCGAAGTCCCCAAATTTGGCCCAGAAGACAACGGCGTAATTTCGAGGGTAGAAATCGGACTCCACGCGCTAGGAAACTGGAAGGTTTCGTGGTTGGGGGTTCACAAAAGAGGGTCTGTTAAGTGGAGCACGGGGTAGTCACGGACTCACGGTTCACATCAATACAGCATTATGGAAATACGAGTATGCAGGTAGTATCCTAGTAGACAAATACATTCAATCATTCATAGACCTAGATCATGTCCATTGTAAATGTCTCAAAAGAGTGGACCCAGCCAGAAGCTTGGAGGACCCTCAGGGCCTCAAGACTCTTGGCGGCCTCTGCATCATAGTAGAAACCGCAAACCGAACTTTTCGCGCTAGGGAAACTACATTCTCGTCTAAATCGTTTCTTGGTATGCGGTAAGAAGCTCTGTTGTTGCACTGACTCCAGATTTCAATATCATAATTTGCCCCCAAGGATATGACCAGAAAGTCTTAGTCGAGCAAAGAAACATAGTACTGACCTGATATCGACGGCGACGAGAACACGGAAGCTTAGTTAACCGCGTAAAGTTGAGCTTTCCCTCAAGTTGAGCCCGAAAACATTAATTCCAGCCAACTCGCGTGCGAAACCGTGATCGTTGGTGTACGGTATGTACATATTCACTTAGTGGCCTCAAATGTAGAGCTCAAAGAACGTGAGAACGTGCTTTGATTAAGGTGTCTAGTGGGTGAGACATTCCTCGGAGACTCGGAGGCCAGACTCGATCGTTTCGGGCCCGAGGCGGAGAATTACCCCGTTTAGTCGAAGAGCAGGCGGAACGAGCCGAGTCATTTTTCTCGGAGCAAATGTCAACCCCAGCTTTTAGTCCGCGATCGGCGCTGATTGCCACCGTCCGGGGTATCTCTCTTCTCCACAGAGAGGCGAAACTGACTGTCGTGATTCGATAATCACGAGAGGGAAAGGAGAGCGTACGCAATTGACCGTTTTAGCCAAGGATATCCGTGGCATTTCACTACCAATTACAATGACCTGGTAACTGGCATCCGAAATGGTGAAAAGCAACTTGATCACTGTCAGAGATAAATGGATCATTTCATCCCACAAATGTTGGTTCGACCAAATCATTGTTCTTCTTTGAGGTTCACATCCCTCGAAGAGAGACATAATGACGGAACACATTCACCCAGGCCAACTGGTCGAAAAGGACGATCTGAGCGACACCATGCATCAGGAACACAAAGAAGGCGTCGAGCTGGAGACCCTTCAGGGCTCGGTAGGCCTGGACATGGCCAGGCGGGCCAATCCGCCGAACCCATGGAGCTCTCAGATGAAAAAGCTATACTTGTTCCTCAGTGTGGCATATCTTTGCTCGGCTTTGAACGGTATGGCTACCTAATACCCCAGTGAAATCCCTCATCGCTAATTAATTTAGGATTCGACGGCTCCCTTATGGGTGCTCTGCTTCCTATAGCGCAATTTCGTGAGACCTTCGGCTCCGGCTTGGTTGGCTCCAAAGCGTCCCTGATCCAAGGAATGTACACTATTGGAGGTGTCTCCGCACTCCCATTTGTCGGCATTTTCTTGGACACTTGGGGTCGACGATGCGGTATGTTTGTTGGTTCATGTGCTGTCGTTCTGGGTACTATTCTCGGTGGAACTGCCAATCATATGGACCAATTGCTCGCTAGCCGGTTCTTCCTTGGCAAGTTAATCATGACTATATCATTTCCTCATGGCGCTGCTAACAAACTTCCTTAGGGTGGGGATACTCCATGGCATCTTCGGCAGCACCGGCTTACGTGGTGGAAATCAGCCATCCCGCGTACCGTGACATTCTAACCGGCTTGTATAATTGCCAGTACTTCATCGGCGCCATTGCAGCCTCAGGTGCTTGTCGCGGATGTCTGAGGTTCTCGGGTTCCCTCGCGTGGCGTATCCCCATTTGGTGTCAATTAATCTCTTCCAGTATTATAATATTGACTGTCTGGTTCATACCAGAGTCACCTCGCTGGCTCTATAGTCATGGTCGTCGTGAGGAAGCATGGGACGTGATCACCAACTACCACGGTGAGGGCTCCCGGGACAACGCCTATGTTCAGCTCCAGCTCCGTGAATATGAAGAGGCCATCAACCTTGAAGGCTCGGATAAGCGGGCCTGGGACTTCCGAGAACTCGTCAATACAAAAGCTGCGAGATGGCGTCTCATGTGCGTTGCTATCGCGTCTCTTGCGAGCCAGTGGGCGCAGGCTGGTGTCACGACTTACTACATCGGGGGGCTTCTGGCCACAGCTGGAGTTACCGAGACAACACAGGTCTTGAATGTCAACCTTGGCAACACTATCCTTTCTGCTGGAGGTGCCTATATGGGGAGCTATTTGGGGCCGAAACTCCGACGGAGGCCCATGATGATTGGGACGTCTATTGCATGCAGTGTATGTGGATCTGTCCCATGAGAAACAGCTCTCTATTCTTCCATTATCTTTCCAGTCCAACGCTAACTGAAAGTAAAGCTCTGCTTTGCCGGCCTTTCAGCCGCAACCGGAGTATACCAAAAGTCCTTAGAAACAAGCGCGGCCACCGCTTCGATTGTGATTATCTTCCTCATCGGCTTCTGTTTCAGCTTTGGCTGGACCCCCTTGCAAGCCATGTATGCCGTGGAATGTCTCTCATACGAAACCCGTGCCAAGGGCATGGCCATGTATTCTGTCTTCACCAACGTCGCCCTGCTGGTAAATCAGTTTGGAATCGGCAATGCCATCAGTGCTATTGGATGGCATACTTACATTCTTTTGGCCGGCTGGAACATTGTTCAAGGAGTGTTCATTACTTTCTTTGCGGTGGAAACAAGTAATCGGACGCTCGAAGAGCTTGCGGAGATCTTTGATGCTCCGAATCCCAGGAAGAAGAGCACGGAACCACAACGGGTCTTGGTTGCTGATGGCGGGAGCCGGGTGGTGGAATGCAAGAGTGCATAGGTTAGATGAGAAAGTATCTTCTCCGGTCTATAGCTTCATAAACTATAATATATCATTCTGACATATATGCCATTCTCTCAGCGAACAGATAGCTCCATGCGATAACGTTGGGCCGTTGGCTTCGTACCCCTGCCAGCTGTAGAGTATGGGGGTACCTCGTCCGGACATGAAATTGCGAAACTGCCAAGGTGCATATGCCAAGAGTCTAGAGAGCGACTCTCTCTCCGTAGTGTCGGAGTACTCCGTGCAGAGTGTGGAGAACCATGACCTCCAATGACTGTTGTCCAATCAGAGATCAGCGTAAAGCTCTCGGAGCTGAAGTGACAAGGTCCGCCTCTGTTTTGCCTAATTAGGCTTAGTCTACCTACATTTGTCTCATGCTCCGACTGTCCGACTTCCACGCTGTCGGCAATCTTCTGCTTCGAGGAGTCGAGGACTAGGGGCCAGAAAGTTGAAACGAAGAATTGCCAAGCGAAAGTTTCTTTTGAAATTCTCGTCACCTCGTGCATGACTAGGTATCCCCGCATAATTCATTAGTTGCTGAATTTGCATCGACAAGCGTCATGGATCTCGAGTGCAATCCAAAAACCCCTCGAGCTGTACGATATGCCCTTTGCGACTCTCACTGAGTGGATCACTATCTTTCGGTCAAACTTATTTCATTGTCGTTTTGCTTGTCTGTGTGCTTGTCTGTGTGATATCTCCATACTTGAACCTCCACTATTCTAGGGCGCATTGCATTGGTGGATCCTTCTCCGCCATGTTTCTTGCGTTCAAAGCCGCCGAGGATAGCGAACAGGTTCTGCGGAACCCAAAGCAGAAAAGACGAAGTGAACGACTCAGCCGAAGGGGCTCTACCCCGCGCGCTTGCACTTCATGTCGTCGTCGCAAAGTCAAGTGTAATGGCGAGAGGCCTTGTGAAGCTTGTCGATGGTACAAGAAGCCTGAGCAGTGTTGGTATTCGGAACCTCGACCATCGCAAAGGTAAGCAACGAGACGGAAAGAAAGAGAAAGAAGAGACACGAACAGAGCCTTCGGACCAAGTTCAAGCCACGAACTGATCAGACTAGTCAATTAGAGGAATCGAGGACAAACTCACCCGACTATCGAAATGCGCTTGAAAGACTATTTCCAGACACCGCCCCCGAGGACATCGTTCATCTATCAAGAGATGATTTGTTGAATCTGGTGGCAACAGGCCGGTCCCAGTATGCGCAACATCAACATACTCCGACTGTTTCTGCGTCCACTGACACGCACGGCTCTGCATTGTCAATGGAAAGACCTGGTCTTGAGTCCCTGCATTCGATTCCCGAAGAACGGTTCGGCGAAGCTCAAGGCACAAGTGCCTCCGAATCAACCGGACATGTTTCAGACGACGTCAATGCGCTATCCTTAACGGCACGACACCCGACCTCCTACCTAGGTGTCTCATCCATTCAAGCCGCATTGAAGGTCATTGCGTGGATTCATCCAGCAATTGACTCGTATTTCTCTCAATCCTTGTCTGAAGAGCAAGGTAGTCAGCCAAGCAACCCACTGCACCCATCACTCGCGACACCGCAGGCTCGACTCCCTCCCACAAAAATGGAATTGTTAGATGCGTACTTTGTCAACTTTCAACCATTTGCCCCAGTGCTGGATGAAGACGCTTTCCGCACGACCTATTTAGTTGGGCAGCGAAAGGATGATCGCTGGCTAGCGTTACTCAACATAGTACTCGCGTTAGGGAGTATCACCACCGCAGGCGCAGATAAATATGCTTACCGGGCGTATTTCGAGCGTTCAATGAGTCATTTGAACTTACGTTCGTTGGGGACCCCTAGCCTCGAAGTCGTCCAGGCATTAGGATTGATCGGTGGTTGGTACTGTCACTATGCCAACCAGCCCAACCTCGCGTACTCGCTTATGGGTTCGTCTTTGCGGATGGCGGTTACTTTAGGCCTGCAGCGGGAACCATCTGATAATCACTTAGCGCCGAACGGAATGAGGCCTGGCAGCCAGGAGTTCAGACGGCGTGTCTGGTGGTCGCTTTGCTGTTTGGAGACTTGGGGTAACGAAACGCTCGGCCGACCAAGCATGGATTTCTTTGGTCCGAGCATCACGGTCAATTTGCCTAGCAGGCTTGACAAGGTGCGTATCCCTACCTCGTATATGCGTCATTGAAGTCTCTAGAGCTGATTCTTATTGAGTATTGGTAGGAGACCTATTTCGAAATTCTTCCCCTTACGGAGAACGTCCGTTTCGTGAAGATCGCCTCAAAGATCCATGAACTATTAGCTGCGCTGCCAATTCTAGCGCACAAGGAGATGCTTGATATGGACACACAGCTCCTTGAGTGGTGGCACGATCTACCACCGGTCCTGAAGGACTACGAACCCTGCCCGGATTCACTGTACGCCGTGCGCACTGTGATGCGCTGGCGATTTTACAACCAGCGCATGCTACTATATCGCCCAACACTACTTAATTACGCAATGCGCCGAGTCCCATTTATGGCCATCCGCGTTGAAGAGCGCACCGCTATTCAGAAGTGTCACGAAATCGCAGCACTTTGTATTCAGGACATTTCGTCAACAACCAGGGTGGATCAAATGGTCGGCTGGAACGCCATTTGGCTTTTATTTCAGGCCACCATGGTCCCATTGATTTGTATGGCTGCCGGCGTCGCCGATGACGATTCCGGTGCTATGTTCGAAGCGTGCAAGACTCAGGTTGAAACGGCTATTTTGACCTTGAGCCGCCTGAGACCCTACGGACACACCGCAGGACGGTCTCTTGAGGTCATTTCCGGCATTCTTGAGGCTAATCTGCGTAGTACTAGCGCAGAGCCGCTTGGTGCATACAGAGGTCGCCATAGTGCTCAGAACTCTCCTCTTCCAAATGCTTCAAATCTTGGTCAACCTGTTGCCCGTGATCGCATTTCGGATTGGACTGCTACTTCGTTTGAGACTCTTTCGTCGCAGTACATGTGGGAGTACTTGAGCTGGGACCACAGCGATCTCTGGCCTGAGATTCTTGATCCTATTGCACAGGATGGCAACATGGTCATGTCGCTTTTGGACTCACCGACGGAACATACATGAGGTTTTGCGCCATCGTGTTTGTTTGGTGTGTATATTACTTTTCTTTCTGTACATAGTCCAGCGTAACTCTGCTTGATTTTTCTATATTATATTATTTCCTCTGAATCTTTGCTGTCTGTGATCCCGTTTTATTCATAACCGTTGGTGTAGAGTCGCTATGGAATCTGTTTGGGGCTCGGACGTCCATCCGGACGCCCATCAATTATCATAGCTATGCCTGATAACGGACGGAGTTTCGGTGCGTCCCATTCGGCGGATTTCGCTCTCCCACGCCACGCTTAAGAGCGTCTTCGTGAGAGTCATGAAATGCTTGTGACTTCATACGATATCTGAAAAGATTGGATGGCAAACTTCGAGTAGACGGTTGAAATTCGATCAACATTATGTCATGTCGCCTAACTCCAAAGCCCCGGGCACGTCCACTGGTACTTCCAGACGATACATATTTCAGTTATAATTTAGTTTGTCAATCTTCGTATATACTCACTTTCAATCTAGAGGCTGATGTTTTATCGACGGTGTGTTGCCATATGGGTTTTCAGCCTAATGACATGCGGACTATTATCCGTCTTTTTCTACCTGAACAGAATATCGATTGACCAACCATTCCAGTACGAGTCCAGCCAGTGCTGGATATTGAATTTGAACGCTGACTACGGTATAGGAAACCCTCCCGATGGCCTGTCAAGGGTTCCTCTTCCGCCTCCGCAGTGCACAACTTATACAACCTCCACCTACACCCGATTACAAGTAAAATATTCATTGGCCGCACAGGAAAGTCTTTCTGGCTTTCGGATCCGCTTAGGTTCACTAAGCCATTGGGCAAGAAGATCCTCATTCTAGGCACCGACACTCGTCATCTCGATGGTCCGAAGGGCATCTTGAGCGAAACCCCATTGAATGCGACTGAACTTCCCATCGACACCAGTGGAAGACTCAATCACTTCATGTTCGGTAAGCCGTGGCAACCAAGTCTACCGCCGCTTCGCAACTAACAACCTTAGCCATGATCCATGGCTACGACTACAGACTAGTCCAGTTCCCCAGCGTAGTCGGACAATCCAGCACATGGACCAAAGTCACAGCAATCAAAGAAGCATTGAAACACTACGAATACGTCGTATTCCTCGACGCAGACGCCATGATCCCCTACCCCAATCTCCCCATGGAATGGCTCTTCAACTACTGGGATATCACCCCAAACACCCTCGTCGCCATGGCGCTCGACCCAGATGCACCCCACAACCATGACTGGAACGGTTCCACACTTCTGAATACAGGGTTCATTGTTGCCCAGCAAAGCCCTCGTACGCAAGAACTCTTCGAGGCGTGGGAATCTTGTCCGACCGAGACGCGCTATCCGGGCTGCTTGAAATGGGGTCGTGAATGGGCACACGAGCAGTCTGCGTTCGGGCATCATCTTCGGTATGATTTCAACAGGTCGGAGGATATTCGCGTTTTGTCTTGTGCAGAGGCAAACGGGTGTCCCGAGGTGGCTGATACGGGCTGTGTTGGAGAGCTTGTGAGGCACTATTGGGGTGCTAAGAAGTCAGTGCCGGGCGCAGTTGGTGATGCGATCTTGCGGTACTTTTTGCCGCAACTGCATGCTGTGTTTTATCAGAATGCGAAGGACTTAGTGGTGAATATGACAGAGCATGGATTTGTATAAAAGCATTTGGAGGAGAAGCTGGGCGATGTTCAAGGTTCATTCGCATGATATTTCAGGTGAAGACCTCCCGTCGACATAGTGGGTGGTGTTTATAGGGCCACCGAATATATTGCATCAATACTACCCGGTACTTTTTGAAGTGCAGATGTACTTATCGAGTGCTTTTGTTCGAGGTCGGCTTTTGTTCCATCCCGTACAAAAATGTATCTAAAAGCATGGATATGCCCTTGTTCCCGACCTTAAATTTCAATCAAAGTCGAGATAGTCAATCACAGCGACGCTATGTGTATCCAGTCTCATGACTTCGGCATAATTGACTGGACAAGAGTCGGCACATGACCAGATTGTAGCACCCCGCCTATATCCAACTCGCCCGGCATATAAAACGAGGCCGGCTATTCTCGGAGGCCGGTAGTATTCCGGCCTCCGAACGCTAGGGAAGTTTAAAATTTGCATATCCACCAATCAGAACGAGGGAGATACGGATCTGGTCTTGGCAGCGGTCGAAGTATAGAGCATACATGATGACTCGAGTAGAGCATTTTTGGGCAATGATCACTGATAGACCCTTGGTTAAGAGAGAATACCGTCAATATAAGCACTAGCGATTGCTTGATTTGGCATAGTCTAGCCTAAATTCCACCAAATCCCAGGAAACCCAGTCAAACTGTCATTGAGAGCCCTTACTGTATTAGGCTTAGCGTCACCCCGTGACTGTCGTCTGCCCTCTCTCACTGGGCAGTTGTATACTTCATGTCGAGATGTTAGAAAGTGCCAAAAGATCATATTTCAGGCGAGGATGCTCATATAAAGTGTCTCGAGTATCCTGAAAGATAGAAACAATCTAATTCCCTGATGCAGCACCGGACGTCACCGGATCCACGCCATCTCATATTCTCTTTCGTAATAATCACTCGAGGCCGGAATTGATACCGGCCTCAGAGGGTTATAAGAATCTGCTCCTCACCCGCCCAAATCCTGGAAGTTCCAAGTCTCTTCACATCTCACCAGGTCTTCTGACTTCTTCGCCACCTTTTTCCACCCATCTTTTCTACTTCTTTGGTTCCTGACTTAGCCTTTGGCCTTTGTCTCTTGCCTTTTGACTTGACCTCCTATACAACACTACCTTTACCTTATCCCAACACATCTCTTAACCTCTTATCCATCTATCATCAACCCCCTTTCTATCCTATTATCTCTTTGATTCATCTAAAATCATCATGACTAGAACCCAAGTCCCCTACCCCTCCCCTGCTACCCTGAAGCGGTTCCCTCATATCCATGATGACCCTTCCACCATCTCTCACTCCCTAGACCCCTTCACCATCACCACCCAGACAGGCTTCTTGCCCTATGAGACTGCTCCTGTCCAGTTGCCAGAGGCCTTTAGTGCCCTGCTGTCCCTGGTTAACCGTCTGCCTGTCGTCAGGCTCGATGGTAATCCCGGTCTACTGGCTACCTACGAGCTTGGCCCTGCCGTTCACGCAGAGCTCACTGACCTAACTGATGAGGTTGAGAAGCTGGTTCTCGCTGATGGCTCTTATGATCGCTTCACTATTGCTGCGGTCTTCCGTGACTACACCTTCCTGGCCTCGTCTTACCTACTTGAGCCTTGCTGGGAGCACTGGAACAAGAATCCCGATGGTGGCTATGGGCTTGGTCGGGATGTCCTGCCCAAGTCTGTTGCCCGTCCTATGTATCGCTGTGCGGAGATGTAAGTTTCTTATCTTCTTTTGTCTTTCTTTTTCTTCATTGGGTTACATTGTGGATCATATATCCCTTCCATACATACCTTATAACAACATCATATCATCATACTAACATATCTTCCCAGTCTGGACCTCCCACCCTTCATGTCTTATGCTGCCTCTTACGCTCTCTTCAACTACACTGTTGCCGACCCTGCCAAGGGTCTGAGCGAGTACTCGAACCTCCGTCTGATCCGTTCTTTCGAGAAGGGTCTTGACCCCAAGAGCTCTGAGGCTGGTTTCATCTTGACCCACGTTGACATGGTCAAGGAGACTGGTCCGCTCATTGGCGGTGTTCTGAAGGTGGTCGACTCCCTTGAGCAACACGGCACCCGACAGGAGATCAACGACGGATTCCGTGAGATTCTGAAATCCATGGAAAAGATCGAAGCTTCTATGGAAGGTAAGCTATCCATAGCAATCCAATAGACCCAATCAAAGCTAACCGTTCCCATAGACATGTGGGGTAACTCCAAGCCCTCGGAGTATCTCTCCTTCCGCGTCTTCATCTTCGGAATCACCAACCAGTCCATGTTCCCCAATGGTGTGATCTACGAAGGCTGCGAAGATAACAAGCCCCTGTACTTCCGCGGCGAGAGTGGCGCCAACGATAGCATCGTAAGCAACACAATTCACTCCTTTCCTCTTCGACAGGAACAAACCTAACTAATAATCCCAACAGATCCCCCTCCTGGACCACCTGTGCGAGATCCCAATGCCGGAGACTCCCCTCACAAAAATCCTCCACGAGTTCCGCGCCTACCGTCCCCTCCCCCCACCGCGAATTCCTAACCTACATCCGCGAAAAGTCCGAGGAAATCGGCGTCCAGAAATACGCCGTTCAGGACTCCGAGACCGCTGTCCTCTTCCTGCGCACACTGAACCACATCCGCAGTTTCCGCTGGCGTCACTGGCTGTTCGCCCGTGAATACATCATTCGTCGCACGCCTCACCCTACTGCTACTGGCGGTAGCCCTATCGTGACTGTAAGTCTTCTATCTTTCTTCTGCTGTGGTGGTAATCGATATACTGATGCATTGGTTGTAGTGGCTCCCGAATCAGCTCTCGGCTGTTATGGAACTCATGATTCAGATTTATGATGCTCACCTTGCGCCTAAGGATGGTGTGTCGGTCGCGGGTGACGAGGAGCGTATTGCGTCGCACAGGAAGCAGGTCGAGCCTATGATGGAGCTTGTGCGGGATCAAAAGGAGAAGTTGGCTAAGGAGGTTGAGCGGTGGTGTCAGGAACGGGGTGTTTAGATATTTCAGATTCCGAGACTGGGCTTAGAGGGATTTGTTATTGCATTGCTTGTGTCTGCGCATGAGGCACAGGCCTTATCATCACCTTTTGGTGTAACAACTGGAGTCTTGCAATGATACTTTGATTTCTGGCTGATTCAAGCCAATGTTTCACATTCTATCCGACCTCGAAAGATAACTGTATGACTGTTCGAAAGAAAGCAATGTAAACCCCAGAATGGATCAGCAATCTCATATCCAATCTTTACACCCTTTCTTTCATCGTGATTGTACAAGCCAGGGTTATGCGACTCTTCGTGGCTCCACCCAGTCACCTAAGTGATAATCTTAATCCCCATCTGCCGTCCATAATCAATGGCATCGCGAGAAACAGCGTCACACCCCCTGATAATCAATACGTCAAGCTGTGCAACTTTAGTCCCATCCTTCCGGGCATCCGCAAACAGACGAATGGTACAACCAGTGATTTTCGTCTGCGACAGGTCAAGTACACTCAAATTTGGGAGCCTCTCCGACACCTCTTTCATGGCGTAATCGTCCAAGCCATCCATACATGCAACACAAAGCTCAGTTAGCCCCCTCGACCTTTCCATCGCGCCTGGGGTAAGGAGCAAACGGGAAAGGCCGGCATAATCTGCCTTGTGGCAGAAGTTGATATGTAGGGTTTCGAGGGGGGCTTCGGAGCGCGATGCGAATATTATAAGGCTGTCGTTGTTGATCCAGAGGCATTCGTTGAATATCAAGGTCTTCAGGTTTCGGAGTTTGTTATCGTACATATGCAAGCTGTCGTCTGTCACCCCGCTCGATTCCACACGGAGGCTTTCGAGGGTGGCTGGGAGCAGTGAGTAGAAGCGGGGTTCGATGACTGCACCTCGGAGGTCGAGGGTGCGCAGGGGTGGCAGGATTGGCAGTTCTTCGCCATCCCCACGCATGGGACAGAATTCGTAATGCCGTGATCGTGCTGTGTTCCAGAGAAGCCGTAGTTCCTCGAGATTAGGGTATACAGACTGGGTGGTTGGTATTAGCTTCGATTGGTGGAGAACAGGGTGGGAGGGAGGTTACCGATGTTAGTCCCGGAACCACATCTCCAAAGGTATGTGTGGAGGTTAAGCTTATCCGGGAATCTTGTGAACATCCGAGAGTCAAACTCTTCAAGTTCGGAAGATACGTGGGCCATGTCGGCGTGGGTTGCGGAACCTGAGTGATTCTATCCCAGACGTGAAAGAATGTAGCCTTTTCGAGCTTTGTGAGAGTGGATAAGATGCTTCCAACACATGCGTGAGAAATCTTGATGTCTGGTCCACAGACGAGAGTCTTCAGATGACGAAATTCTTGGATCTTCGGGTAGAAGTCTCTGGGCCCACAGAATACTTGGAATTCTAGGTGCTCGAGTTTTGGGCATCTGCTTAACATCTGAAGCACTTTGGGTGTAGCGGAATTGCAAACATTTGCTATGGTGGCATTGGTTACTTGAACTCGCGATCGATGGATGTAGTCTCTGACAGAAGTCCATGGAACACGAGATCTTGCCCCTGTGAGGTCAACGTGCATCCAGAGGTTGGATAGGCCGATTAGGAATCGACGCCACCCTTGGCAGACACGCATGATTGCCCTATAATGGAGATAAGCCAATGCATCTCAGTGGTGAAGGTGAATACGTACGCGATCTGCTTGAAGGATAAGTAGCTGAGAATTAGATCTGCCACTTCTAGTGGCAGGGCCGTAAATGGGTCGCGTCGGTTGCCTCCAGCCAGCTTGTCCTGCAATTTTTTGAGCGACTGCATGACTACATCACGGCCTGCGTGATTGGCTGGGAGTTTTTGGAGGGCATATTCGTAGATGACCTGGGCCTTGTCGAAGTTCCCATCCAGGCATAGGACCTTAGCCAAGCGTAGATATCCCTATCTCAATGGTTAGTAATATTTTCTTCAACCAAGGAGAAGTGTTCAGACGAATACATACACGGTCGTCCTTAGGTGCGAGCTTAACCATGGCCCTGGCATCAGACCGAGCCGGGCTATACAGCTTCAACTTGCAGTAAGCGGCAGCGCGGTTGTCTAAAACTCCGATATCTTCATTGTCTGCTGCCAATGCCTACAGTAAGAATAATTAGCCTGGCTGGCGATCGCACGAACAAGGGAGGGCGCACCTTGGTGAATGACTCGATTGCGCCTTTAACATCACCATTTTTGTAGGCATTTTGGCCTGTCTTTTGAAGAGCAGCTGCTTGCACCTTGTCGGGCTTCTTCTTGGATGCTAGGGCCCGAGTTATGCGCGATTCTGGCCTCGAAGTCATGATGGAGAGCAGGTGCTGGGCGGTTGGTGAGAAGCAAGTTGTGGGATGTGGGTGGGCAGCAGTTAACACCACGGCATAAATGAATGCGATGCGGGAGTTGGATGATGCTACTGCGGCCTGCCAGGATGGTAATCACATGTCCGATTGATCAAAGGGCTAATGTATGTAAATATAATCCATGAATCAGACCTGAGACAGCAGTTGTCAAGACCTGTCACATTTTTCAATCCCGTTGCGCTGATTTTACTGTGTAACAGCAAACATCTCTCCTGGTTCGCATCGCGAGTCGCGACTCAGTTCCGCGATAGAACCGGCAGAATTGCCACCGCTAAGGACTGCACACTTGGCACAGAAGGCCACCCGTAATTCCCGTGTTTACTTTCTACCCCATTCGGTATTTGGAGTTGTCTGCATCGACAATAGAAGTGATCGCTGCCATGGAGTCGCATAACCTGCAAGCAGCTTCGACCTATGTCAACAACATCTTGCTGGCAAGGGGTTTGCTAAAAGGTGGTCGCGCCATCGATTTTGCGGACCCAGAAAACGAAGATGGAGGAATTGACGGCACTATGGCTCGGGTGATCAATTTGGTCAACGACTTGGTCTTGAGGCGAGATGTACATGCGACCGCTCTATGATGGAATCTGTACAGTGGCTGACTTACCCCTTAGCGCGAGGCTGAACACCGCGAGAGCTTGTCTACGACTATCCGCACGCTACAAGCGAGCGAGGCGGAGCAGACTACGGAGATTGTACGGCTCCCACTCTACTTATCTCGCTTATGCGCTAACCTGTATCGCTTGCGCAGGGAAAACTGAAGACAAAGACATCCGAGTTAACCCGCTCACTGGCTCTCGCAGAGGCGCAGGAGCGCACACTCAAGTCGAACGTGTCCAGCGCCGAAGCCAGTATCCGGAGTTTCAAGGAACAAATACAACGCATGAAGAGTACAGTCCAGCAGGTCCGAGCACAATGCGCCAACGATATCCGCAAGCGAGATCTGGAAATGCAGAAGCTCAAGTCGCATTTGGCTGAGAGACAAAGAGGCAGGCGGGAGGGTCTGACTGTGACCACAATCAACATCAACCCTGCGTCGGACCGATCGCGCCTTTTGGCTAGTGGTGGAGAACGTGTACATGATCCTGGATACAGCTTGAAGCAGGAGACGACCGAGTTCTTGACGGAGTTGTGCCAGAATCTCAGCGATGAAAACGATACCCTGATTGAGCTTGCGCGGAAGACGATTCATACTTTGAAGGATTTACAAGGCTTACCGCAGGCTGAGCACGAAAACGGGGAGAATCAGCAGTCGACTATGGGTGTGAGTATGGGAGCACTAAAGTCTTCTTCTGGGCCAGTCACGTCGCTTCCAACCTCGTGTGAAGAACTCTCCACGCACATGGAAGCTGTACTGGATCATCTACGTACACTACTGACCAACCCCTCCTTCGTTCCTCTTGAAGAGGTCGAGGTGAGGGACGAGGAGATCAAGCGATTGCGAGACGGCTGGGTGAAGATGGAATCGCGGTGGAAGCAAGCAGTTACCATGATGAGTGGGTGGCAGCGTCGTCTTGCTGACGGAGGAGACTCTGTTCAAGCGGATGAATTGAAGCGTGGCATGAAACTCGATCTCAGCATTAATTCGCCCGAAGGCTCCAGCATGCAAAGCGTGCCCGAGGCTGACCCCATTCCTACGATCTTGGAGGACCAAGCTGAAGAGCAGGATACGAGTGAATCTGAGGACAAAGCCCCAGCGACGATGTCGAACCCGAAGACAAGATCCAAGCTTCGCAAAGTACCCGATCGACCTGATCGCGCTTTAAGGGAGCGCAGCGAAAACGCCATGACAAAGCGTCCGCGGAAGGTCTCATTCACGCCAGGCCTACAAGGTTCGCCATGCGTGGAAACCACCGACGAGGAACCCTTGCAGATCAAGGCTTATAAGGCCGAGACTGTGAGCCGCAGGCCATCCAGGCGAAAAACCGAAACCCCAGGAACCCATCAGGTATGCAGCAACGAAAACGATTCCCCATATTACCCAGGAGATCCCCAGGACTAATTCATCCTTCAGCTCAATGCGAAGGAATCCCTGAGCGTGCACCAAAAGCTAGCCGCGGTCGAAGATGAAGCTCGCGAAGCTCAAAGCGAACTCAAGGCGCGTGAATCGCGAAAAAAGAAGCCGACCCGAGAAGGCTGCCAGGCCGAACAGACGTCGGAGTACTCTCACCACGGACGAGCTCGAGGAGCTGATGCGCACGGCCCGGTGAAAGATCAATTGATACCCACAAATCTGTACTGTACATACTACGAGCGAGTGCATGTAAATAAGAGTTCGCTTGATTTTCAATAACCGTGTAGGCGTCGACATGAATTTAATAATGGACCTCTTCATACTCTTTTTCGGAGATAAGGTGAACCTCGGTAACTTTGTCTTCGGCTTCTCCGCACCAGATGCCACCCTTAGTTTATTCGGCATGATCGACCACTGAACTTCATAAGTACGTAGCTAGCGCTCCTACCCAATCCATACTACCCCAGCAATACAGAGACTCAGTGAGCCTCCAATTCAATTCTAATACCTCGACACAGGTCCACCACACCAATCATGCCTCCAAACCAAGACACCTTCAAAGGCTGGGTCGCTCACGACGCCAAAAACCCCCTAACCTACACAACCTACACCCCCAAACCCTTCACACCCACCGACGTCGAAATCTCCGTCTCCCACTGCGGCATCTGCGGCACCGACATCCACACCCTCCGCTCCGGCTGGGGTCCAACCGACTATCCCTGCGTCGTCGGACACGAAATCATCGGCACAGTAACGCGCGTCGGCGACGCAGTAGACCCTAATTCCCCCAACGCAATCCGCCTAGGCGATCGCGTCGGTATTGGCGCCCAGAGCGGCGCCTGTCTACGCGCAGACTGCGAAGCCTGCGCCGATGGCGAGGAGAGTTACTGCTCCCGCATGACGGGCACGTACAACGGGCGCTATCCTGATAAGTCGAAGTCGTTCGGCGGGTTTGCGGATAAGTGGCGCGGGCCTGCGCATTTTGTGTTCCGGATTCCGGATTCGTTGCCGTCTGCTGAGGCGGCGCCGTTGCTTTGTGGTGGTGTTACTGTTTTTGCGCCGTTGAGGAAGTATGGCGTTGGGCCGGGGAAGACGGTGGGCATTGTGGGGATTGGGGGGTTGGGTCATATGGGGATTTTGTTTGCTAGGGCGCTTGGGGCGGATCGCGTCGTTGCTATTTCGCGGTCGTCGGGGAAGAAGGAGGATGCTGTTGGTGGGCTTGGGGCGGATGGGTTTATTGCGACGGCGGAGGAGAAAGGGTGGGCGAAGACTCATTCGCGATCGCTGGATGTTATCTTGTGTACTGTTTCGGCGCATGATATGCCGCTTTCGCAGTATTTGAGACTGCTTAAGCGGGATGGGGTCTTTGTGCAGGTTGGTGCGCCGGAGGAGGCTTTGCCGCCGCTCATGGCTTGGAGTCTTATTCAGAAGAGTGTGAAGGTTACTGGGTCGAATATTGGGTCGCCTGATGATATCCGCGCTATGTTGGCTCTTGCGGCGGAGAAGAGGGTTTTGCCTTGGATTCAGAAGAGGGATATGAAGGATGTTAACCAGGCGCTGGTTGATATGCATGAAGGGAAGGCGAGGTATCGTTATGTCCTGCAGAATGGAGGCGAGCAGGCAAAGCTTTAGGGTTGAGGTCAATGGCATATATCAGAGATGAGATTGTACATAGCCTCGGAAGCATAGTCCAAGTAAACCCTTGTACATGAAAAACATCCATTTTACCCTGGGTATATCAACTGAACCACAATACAGAAACGCTTCCAACACTTTCAACCGCCAACTTGTTCCAGAAAGTTATCCCCGAGAATCTCCTTCATAGCCCATTCAACCAGCGGTCTCCACTGCTCATCCAAGATCGCCCACACAGCCTTTGAGACCCTGACACACAACTCGTCAAAGCACCAGCGATGCTCCAGATACTGCAAGAGCACGCCGTAGTGAGCTAACATGACTAGAGCGAGGGGATCTCGCTCGCGTAACAATTCCATGAACCGAGCAGGCAAGCGAATCGCCCATCTCCCGGCAATCGTATTCGCCCTCATCCCGCCGTAGCACCAGCTGAGCATTTCCTCCAGATTCGCAATAGCATCCCCGTAAACCTCCAGCTCATGGTCCACATTCCGCGTCTTACAGACCTCATTCGCCTCATGTAGCCGTCTGAGCATAACACTCGCATCCTCAGGCATCGTTCCCCTCACCTCCAGAACCTGCAACACCGGTCCGAAGGAACTCAGCCATAGAAAATCTCTAAAGTCCCGCGGCGCCCGGATAACCTGCTGCACGCCCCGCGTCAAAACAAGTACCTGGTACAGATCGTCGATGCAAGACCATGGATCCTGCGTGTCTGGTGTATGCGGGAATGCAAACGTGTAGATAACCACAATTCCGGCAAAGGCAAACATCGCCTTGGCATTGCTCTCTTTCACATCACCCAGCATCCCCCGGAACAGCGCCAGCGCCTGATTCTGGTGCGCGACGGCTCGGTTGAGATACGACGGGCGCTGGCTTAGCTCTGGTCCTGTCCGGGCGAGATGCAGGGCTGACAGGGCCAGAATACCGTGCATTAGAAATGGATGCGAGAGAGCCTCTTTGGGTACAAGGTCGCGCCAGATTGGATCGGTGCGCTCGCTGCGTGACAGTGTGTGGAACGTCGTGGTGCACCATTGCATAATCAGCTCTAGGTCGTGCAGGTTCAGCGTGGAGGCTGTTGAGGTTTCTGCATTTTCGCTGCCGAGTTGGCTGAGGATTTTGAATGAGTCTGCTGCTTCTGTCCTTGGGGTTGAGGTTGAGGCTGAATGTGCGAGTCCCGATGCTGGGTCGCCTGGCTGCCCGCTGTCGGATCCGAGAGATGAGCGTGTCGCGGGTGATTCTTCATTTGCCCACAGTAGGGATGTTGACGACCCGTACTCACATTCCGAATGGCGCTTAGCGCAATTGGAGCAGGATGGGCGGCCTTCGTCGCACTGCGATGCATGAGCGGACTAATATTTCACTTTCTGTTTGCCCTGATTCGCACCTTCACACGTCGTCTCTTGCATTCCGCGCAGCCATGGCGGGATTTCCGATGTGGTCGTCGGAGCGCCATAGTCAGGCGATTAATGAAGTGCCCATGATGTAGAAGACTAAAAATGAGGCTTTGATTTTTTATGAAGTTACGATCCCTTTTTTACAGGCAACAGAATTCGCTCCGTACATAAGATTATGTAACAGAATTGTGGCTAGTTAACTATGGGTAATTGAGCATCAAGTGTGGATTGTGTCAAGTGTTCTCTGCTATGCTAGCTAAGACATCACCGAATGACGCATCAGTGTACCGTGTAACTTTTCCCAACTTGACAAGCTCCTCACGGCGTCGCCTTACAGGTTGATAGCTTGAAACAGTGACCGAGCCATTGAGAAGTCCGAAAGTACGGCTCCTCACCCCCATGGAATGTAGATGCAGGCCGAGCAACACTGGAAACTTGCTGTGCCTTCGAGGAGCAAAGACATATGCCACAATGACACAGATCATAAATATACAGCCATGATGATCCTGGGTTGTATTATGAGCGCTTGGCTGCTGCGGTGTCATAATATCGTCAAGTAATTCCCACAGACAAGAAGCAGCAGTCCGTACCCTTGAAGCCATCCCAGGTACATATATCCAATTGATCAACCGACTCTTCTGCATCGAATTCACCGAGCCCGACCGCAGGTCTGTCAAACCGAGAAAGTTCCGTCCGGATGTCGGCGACCACCTGCGATCTCATGAATTCAGTGGCGGCAGCGTTCTTTGGGACCTTGTACAACGCAGTGAGCACTTCGTCCTGCTCATATATTGCCTCGGATAGCTTTCGTGACCGGGAGACGGCCTTGATGGCATAATTCTCTTCCGGCTGTGCGGTCACTAGGTGATATATGAAGGACCTGAGAGATCAACGATGCTGCTCATTCATATGCTTGAGTATCATGTCGACCCTTTGCCGTCCACGGGTTCTGATAATCCGGGAATATATCTCTGGACATCGAAAGTGTCGCTCGGCGGGCGCCGGGAAGGGCGCGTCCCAGCCGTGGTCGACTCCCGTCGTGCACGCGTTTTCGAGACATTGCAGCGAGATATTGAACAGCCAAAACAGAATATTACTATAAAGCATTAGATACGCCATTTCGAGTCATATGAATGCATACCTGGTCAAAATGGTTGAGTTGATAATGGTCTCCTGCAACTTGCAGAAAGTGCATGTTCAGCTGGCTTTACTGTGTAGTAGATCACCAAGCAATCCGATTAGGTTTAGCGCGCCAGATATAGTGGGAGAACTGCGCCACTTCCAGGAATGATGCCTCAGGCGTTGTGCGTGACGTTCACCGCTCATTCCCCTTAAGAAGGGGCCACCCGCCACACACAGAATACATATCTCTTGCCTCTTGATCACTTCTTTCAGTATGATTCTCGTCGGGCAGTTCTCAGTAGGTCTTGGACGTCCCCTGCTGCTGTCTCCTGTGCTGCAGGCCTCCCATCGTCCTGTCTGCGATGTCCGACAGCCTACGCGCTCTTTCCACTACAATACACAGTATCTAGCAGAATTTTTGGATCATTTGATTGCTAAGGTTTGAGCCCTGGCTCTGAGGGCACACAGTAAGCCAGCTCTTGCTCCAGGTGGCTAGGAGCCATACGTCCAACGACAATGCTGTCAATTCAATAGTCTGACTGGTGTTGGCCGGCCAGCAAGCTGATGGGTTGTCCAGTGTTCTCCTTGTACCAACATCATATTCGATGAACCTATCATTCAACCGATTTGGATGACAAATGAACTTGAAATTTTGTCTTCGCTGTGGTGATCTTGCGATCCAGATGGCCATAATTTCGAGGCCTGATACCACAGAGTGCGTTCCAATGTCTTTGTTCGGCTGCATTAGATTGCACGCTGTAGCTGCTGTCTTGGTATCACCACACAGAAGACCGCATTGGAAGTTCATTTGTCATCCAAATCGATTGAACGACAGTTCATCGAATATGATGATGGTACAAGGTGGAATTCGACATATCGAATGATCAGGGACGCCTTACAGACTATTGCAACAAACCAGAAGGTGTACTGCCACCCAATTCGACCTTCCACCTACCCTCCACGACTCAAGACTGGGAGCGTCTCGATCAACTTGCGCTAGTTCTTGAGAAATTTAGTTCATGCTCACTGCTTCCAAGCGCCACCCCCAGATCGGCCTTTCATTACCCATCTACTTTGAGCGTCACGATGTCCTGGATGATGCTTCCTCCAGCGAGTTTTAAGGAATGGCATATACAAAACACCAAGTAATTAGGTAATTGCTGAGCGTTAACTAACTAAAGGAGGAAAAACTGGATAATGTACGATTACCAGGTTCCATAAAAAAGTCGCCCCTCATGAAGTACTTCCAATACTGGGTAAAACGCGTTCTGACTTCAGCACCAATTGTTACCAGCCAAATCCTTTAGATAAAAGAGTGCATTCAGACGAAACAACAACTATGAAAAAAGAAAAGAAAGAGAACAAGCAAGAATCCACAGAAGAGTTTTTATCTCTTCTCCCAGCCACAGGACATGTCCTCTTCCTCCTCAAGTCACAGGTTCTCACAGCTCTCGTATCACACACACTCACCACCCATCATGTGACGCCTGACTCCTGAGCCCTGATCGTCACACCAATCGGAATATTGACTCCAATCAAAATGACACGTAGACCGAATATCTGATAGTGTCAAGTTTAGACTTGAATCATATATGGAATAAATTTAGTATATACTCCAAAGAGTCACTATTGATATATCGATAATCAGTTTCTGGAAATGGCTGTAACCCAAAGGCGATCCTGTTCGAATTGACATGTCTTTGTAAGTTGCCTAAGGCAGGCACATCGAAGGAATCCAGGGTCTCAATATCTTGAGGGCAATCTGGTGCTGGAAGCAGCCTAAGAGCTTTATCAGAGCTGGTTCCAGTCAACGAGTACCCACTGCCGTCGATATTGATATCAAGGAGATATGGTAACTGGCACATCCGTACCAAGACCTCTCTCCATGTTCCAGAATTCAATTCGACATGCGAGAAATTGACATAGCTCATTCTCTGGATAGATTGGTTGATAAGTGCAAGAAGATTATTGCATGAAATAGAAACCCCCTCGAGATCAAGACACCGTAGGCAGAGAGAGGGAGGAAAGGCGAGAAAGTCAATTATCCAGAATGTCGCGACTATGTATTGCGAACGATTGGAGATTTGGCGCAATTTCAATCATCCTTAACATTCGGGTGGCATACATGTTGTTCGGAAGTGCAGCATACTCTGGCAAAACTGGTTTCGGCCAGTATCTTTGGTGCCGCTGATCTGTATATTCACGAGAATATACTCCAAGATGCCGAAGACCTTGTGTGACATCCTCAACAGGGATCCGCACCGAGCTGGTCTGGGTCGGGAAGAAACGTCCGAAATCATAGGTTATAGGGAATCTCAGCTCTAATTCTCTTAGATTTGAAAGCGGCACATAACGGAAAGTCGAAGAAACCGCATCCATATAGGCCCTTCTCTGCTCTTGTGAAAGACCTGGGGGTGGTTCGTGAAACTCAAGGGCCGCGAGGTTGGAAAATCTGATCAAACATGATGATAGGCATCCAAAGAGGTCATCGATATACAATGCGGCGGTATTGGCGGGAGAATCCGAACTCGTTTCTTTGAACCCGAAATCAATATGACGAACATACACAGCGTATGGGCTTCTTGATAGTTTCATAAGTCGTTCAAGATGTGGAAGTCTTCTAGAGGCGCTGTATCTCGCATCAATGTGCCGGAATAACCAGGATGCGGCACTGTCACAGAAAGCTTTGTTGACAAGGCGCAAACTCCTTAAGTCTTTTCGAGTCGTCCCATCAGGTATCGAGTAATGCCTTGCAACGTCCCGCAAATACGTAGCACGGTTGTGGTCGAGCCAGACATAATATACAATCTGTGTAGATAATTAGCGCCGGACCTAAGGTCATAGGAGCAGAGGATTTACTTGGGCACATATCTCTATAGGGATATGCATTTTTGCGTTGGGCTGTCTTTCAAAGTTGACCCTGAGGAGATGGTGGGAAACTTTAAGGGACTGATTAAGAAAAGGGGTGTCGGTGCAATGAAGATTGCTCCATTGCGGAGTACCCCTCCCTCTCAAACGGTCACCGCCTACAGGATCGTCGCGAATTGAGTATCGAGCAACAGCCTGGGTAATTATTCTGTCAAGGGTATCACAAGATGCACAGCGGGGAAGATAGATTGGGCGGCACGTGACTGGACAGGAGCGGCAAAGCCGCGTCGGAGATATCGGGGTTTACCCCGTGACAGAAGCGAGTAGTCTTCCAGACATGTTTGAATACAGACGATCTCTATCCACAAGCCAATGGTCGAGCCGAAATGGCATTCTATAAAATGAAGACCCTGGAGACCGCAGGAACGTGCCATTGATGGTTGCTAAATAACGTCAGCTGCTATTGCGACGTCCACAGTTTCACGACCGCATGACTGGGCTACCAATCCTGACCGAAGGGCGACTTCAAGTGTGGATTGTGTAAGACTGCGGGTCTATCATACATCCGGAGGGTTTCATTCGACCATTTAGCTTCATTGATCTAGGTCAAGAGTCTGTACCACTGGAAGGAATACGTTAGAGTAAGATATTTCCGCGAATTGAGTATCGAGCAACAGCCTGGGTAATTCTGTCAAGGGTATCACAACTAAAAGAACATTAAATAAACCACACAATCCACATCTGGCCCGTAGACAGTATGTTTATGGCGTCATAAGTGCATGGTGTACAAAACGCTATCAATGTAACGAGACCTCCAGTCCCAGCTTAACACCCCCGCCTCCTCCACCACCTGCAGACGCCCCGGTGTTTTTCCCGCGTCTTGTCTTCTCAACCACCGCAATTCCCGTGATGAGCGCCATCAGGTTGAAAAGCGAGCTCGGATTCACGTAGATGTCCAGGTCACCGGCGGTTTTTGAAAAGATACTGCCAGCAGAAAAGACCGCCATGACAGTCTGGCTAGACTCCTCGACAAGCTTATGGTTTTCATGACCATTGCCAAGGGAGTGGGTTCGCTTCCAGATGAAAGTCTTATCGGTGCCATCGTCCATTCGCATGCGGAACGAGTATGAACGCTCCAGAAAGCCTTTCTTGTGCAGGTCCCCCCATTCCATCTTGCCAGGCCGCGTGGGGTCCGCTAGACCGATCTCACAATCCGAGGAGAAGTGTCGGAACTTACACACTGCCACGACCGGCCCGTGGGAGTTGGAACCGCGGTGTAAAGTAAGGTCCGGCTTTCCTGGTGTGAAGGCTGAGTTTTCGATGTGGAAGAGGTGTGTGTTATTTGGAGCGCTGACATCGTAATGGTGGCGCCAGAAGCTGTGGGTGATGATATATTTGGCGCCTGGATTCATGATGAAGATGAAGAATATAAAGGTCTTGAAATTGATGTTTGAGTGCACTGTGGCTCGTGTTTTTTGGTTTTGATAGAGAAGCAGATTCGATATGTTATATAACTACGTTGTCAGATCAACAGGAGGCCTATGTAGCGCTAGTATTACAGCCTTGGAAGGGGCGTCATGTAGATCATCGCAAGGCTGAGGGCCCCTGAGGTCACTAAATCCACCCATCGAGGCCGTTGGGCAATCAAATTGACTCCAGTGAGTTTGGCCCCCACGGACGGACCCACGGGCTTAGCACTGCCTGAGGCCCTGAGCCTCCTGAGGATGCTGGATTGCTGGCATTGCTGGGATTGATGGCAGACGGCAGTGCGGGGCAATGGGCCAATCTGCAATCAGCCCACCTGCCACCCCTGCGCCCGCGCCCGCAGCCAAGCAGAGTGCAAGTGCCGTTTGGTCATGTGACTCCTGGCCTCTGATTGGCCTGGCCATTCGTGATTCTGTCTGGTCATGTCATTGCGACCTTTGCCCAAGATGGACAAAATGCACTTTGTGTACTTTCAATTCAGGACGAGAGTTGTACTTTTATGGGAACGGGATCACGAATTTGGAGGACAGTTATTCTCCCTGGGCAGTACCGCAGGCTAAGGGTTATTATACGAAATAGTAAGCGACAATTTGATCGAGCTATCAGTAAGCAATTCAACAAATGCAACCTCATTATTAGGCCATTAAATAGGTGGTGGTGCTATATACAGTGAAAGTGATATACACATACATTTTGAGGGGGACCCGAAAAAAATGAAGTGGGAAGGTACGAACCCCCACGGTAGGTCTGCACCTTCCATCTGTAGATGTAGAGAACATGCTCCGAGGAAGAAGCCTGTACACTGCGGTAAACTCTCGTCTCGGATGTGACGATCAAGGCTCAGGAGTCAGGCGTCACATGATGGGTGGTGAGTGTGTGTGATACGAGAGCTGTGAGAACCTGTAACTTAAGGAGGAAGAGGACATGTCCTGTGACTGGGAGAAGAGATAAAAAGTCTTCTGCGGATTCTTTCTTGTTCTCTTTCTTTTCTTTCCTCATAGTTGTTGTTTCGTCTGAATGCACTCTTTTATCTAAAAGATTTGGCTGGTAACATCGGCCCCATTCCCTCTTCTAGATTCTCCATGTCCTTGGGCCGAAACTTTTGCGAGAGCCTCATATTATTCAAAAGCGAGCCTCTCAAATAACCACAATGTCTGCTTCAGGCGTATCCCCGCAAAGCACCCAGACCATCAAGGCCCCCCGAACATCGGACAGCGACCAAATTGATCTCCCGCAAAACGAAGGTCAATGGGCCCAGGCTGCAGAACAACAGGGATATGAACCAGCAGACCTCAATCTCCACAGTCTGGAACATCTCCATTCGGCATCAAAACCGACTCTGCAGGAATTCATCGCAATGCGAGCGATCTGCATCCCCCCCCTCCCCAAAATCGATAAATCAGTTTCCTGCCTTTGACGATTCAATCAAGAAAAAACCTCCGAGACTTTACGGAACTTCCCCGAATGGAAGGCATATTTGGATCGCTTTGGAAACCCTGACGATACAGGGGTAGCCCATCGGGAGCTCGGTTGCTTTCTTATCGTCAAGGAAGCACAGCAGAAAGTGCCGATGAAGCCCGCTCGCTGGACCACAAGCCTCGAGTCTGATTCCGTCGCAATGGAACAGTCGCTCGCTACCACCCGCCAACGGCGCGAGATTCCCCGGCCGAGCTATGTGAGCATGGCGTCAGGATCGGACAGCCAATCGCCGTTGCATTCGCAGTCAGGGATATCAGCGGCAGCGAGCGATTGGTCCACCAGTTCCAGTGCCGCAGTACAGGTTCCAACCAAGGACGAGCAAATCGTCAATGACGCCCTGCTGCTGCTTCTAAGGGCACTGTTGATCTACGTACCCGAGGCGCGAGACGTGCGGTGCCAGTGGGAGGTTGACCGCTCAGCATTTGACGCAGTAGTCTTTGGTGATAACCAAATGACTGCACGGATGGCTGCTTGAGGGCGAAGAACGACGAAGTCTTCGCAATCGCCGAGGTTAAGCCAAACGCTCGGAGCCGTAAAAGGCGACCAGAGGTGCCCTGGCAAGAGACGGGCGAGATGATTGCATGGCTAATGCATGACGTCCGGAAAAAGCGAGAGCGCCCCCCACCTCGGTAAGTTCGATGAAATGTTATTACCGGGATAGAGATTCTGATCAGCTACTATAGACGCCTGGTTGTGTCGCAAGCCAACCGGTCGATATATCTCACGCTTGCCTCCTGCGACGCCAGATACATCGAGTATCTGAAAAGCGGGCTCATAGAAACTGAGCCGTCGCTTCCCGAGAATCCTCGCCCTGAACTGCCATTACTGAGGATGCAGGAGTACGGCCCGTGGAATATAAGCGAGAAGGGCCGTATGAAAAATCTGGCCAGGGTCATTGTGATGAATACATGGAGCTAGGACTGTTGGAGGGTGGTCATATGATGAGAGGACGGACTGGCACTATTTATCTCTTTCTTCCTCTTGCTTCTTTTCTCTTTTCTCTCATCTCTTCAGTGTTGTTGTTCTAGTATTAAGGAATCGATTAACTTCAGAAAAACCTTCTTCATAACAGTCATCATCGGTGTTGCTCTTGAAGTGGCACAAGATCTTGCAGAAGCGCAAACTCGCAAGAGGCCTAGATCTGGCCGCCGTTGAAGGGACGTTGTGTTGTTCTCCTACATTTCCTAAAAGGTAAGACAGTGCGGAAAGTAGTTACCGTAGTACTCTGTACTGCTGTGAAGAAATACGGAGTAGTGTAAGTGAAGAGCACCTACGAAGGGGGTCTGACGTCGTGAGTTAAGATCACGTGAGCCAATTAGGCTTGCTCTACATCACATGATGTTAGCCTTGAAGCCTTGGTGCCTGAGAACCTTCGCCGTCGCGTCGTGAAAGTGAAGGGCAAGAAAAACAAGTCAAGCTTGGAGGAGAGGGATCTTCCCTTACTGATATCCCATTGCCCCGGACTTCTTCCTCGCCCGACAACACTTACCTTTGGCACTTGAAATTGTCATCTCATCCCTCTCACCGTCCTTAGACCTGTTGCGGCCCAAAACTTGCATCCTCTGATGCCGTCAACCCGTCTCTACTCAGTTTGATCAACTCTGTCACGATGTCGTTCCAAGTGCCCTACGAGTCTAGTCCACCCGAGACCCCGGCGAAAGATCGCTCTCGCAGTCTCTGGAGTAACGTGTCGACAACTCCTGCCGGCCCGCCGCCATCTACCGCAGGCTCGTTCATACCGCATTCTACATCCAATATCAATGGCGGCTCTCGCATCAACTCCTTCTCCAGAAATGAAAACACAGTCTCAACAAACCAGAACTCTTTCTCGCGCAATGACTTCTCCAACTCCATCTTCACTAAATCCGGTAACCTCAACACAAGTGATAGCATCTTTGGGTCGTCTTTCGGACCGACCGATTTTTCCATGCCTCAGCAGCCAAAAGCTTCCACAAAGCCCGCCGCCCAGTCCAGCCTGCGGTTTGGTGTGATGAATGGAGGACTTGGGGATTCAACGACGAGCTTTGGGCAATCCAATGGGTTCAAGTCATCGCAAATGTCCGACTACCACGACGAGCCGGAAGACCAGATGGAAGAGGAGGAACAAGAGCTTCCCGAAGAGGAACTCGAAGAAGAGGACGAACAACCCGAAGATGAAATGGATGTCGGCGACCTAAATCAGCCCAAGAACTTTAATTTCCTGGACTCAGCCTTCGGAAACCCGTTCGGTTCCCAGCCCTCTATGGGTGCTCAGCGCAAACAGATCTACTCGAACCCCAGTGATGCCAAGCGACCGAAACTTGACGAACACTGGGCGCACCAGTCGCCCCTCCGCAAGAACCTGGCCCCGAAGAAGCCGTCCGCGATGCCATCCATCCTTCACAACATGGCTGCCAGGTCTCGCATTCCCCCCGTCAATGAGCCCAAAGAAATGATTCTCGAAACGGAGGATGCTCTAGGAAAGCTTATGGACGAACTCAAGGCCGCGGAATACAAACACGTTGACTTCGATGCTGTGTTGTCGAGCGTGACGAAGGAATTGACAGAGAATTGGCAAGATTGCGCAGACGAAAGTGGCATTGAGCGGCCCTATGGTGCCCACTCTGAAATTGGGCCCGGCGAAAGGTCTCCTGACCTTGTGAAAGCTATCTACCTGGCTTCATTGCTGCTACGGATTCACCACCCGCCTCGTGAAATGCCCTCGACCAGTCACATCAACCCTATGCGCACCGGAGCTGCCGGTATGGTCAAAACTCTGGCACGAAACCCCTCCCCTAAACCCCTGCCACATGTGCTGCTCGACTGGCTCAGCGAGAACCATGCATCGCAGACCAATAACCTTCAGGCCTTGAAATATGTGGAACCCAACCCGACCGCCTCTTCGAACTTCTGGGATATCATCATTGCGTCTGTTCTGCGCGGCCGGTTGGCCGATGCCGCCGACGTTCTTCGTTCTGCAGACTTCAATTATGCGCGATCTGCATTGGAGGATGGACTCCCACAGCCTGGTTATCGCGGCACACAGCTGCAAAACATCCAGCACTGCGTCAACAAGGCTCTTCAAATACTCGAAACATGTCCTGGAAATCAGTCTGGGGACTGGGAGGTCACCGGTCTGGAGTGGTCGCAGTACCGCAAACGGGTTGTCTCCGCTATCACTGACCTGGAGGAGTTTGCTGAAGGAGAGGAACGGGATGAATCGATCGTGCCAGTCCAGGATAATCGCTTCCAGGCTGTCAACTTTGGAATGCCCACTTTCAACCAAAACTGCAATAAGAACCGGATCTCGTTCGCCCAATCGGCTCGTATGGCCGAGAGCCGCGTGCCGTGGTCGATTTACCAATGCTTGCGGTCTATCTACCGCATCATCCTAGGTGACCCATCTGCTATCAAGGCCAGGTCCCAGGACTGGGTGGAGGCGACTATCGCATTGACTGCATGGTGGGACGGTGAAGATGACGACGGTTCCAGCATGGATCTCGCTGCTAGCAAATCCAGCGACACCTTCCAAGACTTCCTGCGCTCACGTGGTCCCAAGAACCAAGTTCGCGCCGTTGATCGCAACATGCGTGGCGCATACCTTGACCGCCTTGAACTGGCCATTAGTCACACTACTAGCGATGCGTCCGACAACGCTGACTTCAGACCCAATTCTCTCAGCAGCGTCGAAGTCGGTCTCGCATCTGTATTCGAAGGTAACGTGCAGGGTGTACTGGAACTACTCCAGTCATGGTCACTGTGCGTGGCCGCCGCTGTGGCAGAACTTGCCAGCCTAGGAGGCTGGTTCGAGTCTGGTAGCAGTCAAAAGACGCTGCCTGGTCTGTCTGAGACTGATCTGATGGTCCTCTCCTACGGGCAGGATGACAAGTCTCCGGCTCGTCATCTGCACAAAGACGACATTCTCCGTCACTACGCCTTCGGACTGTATGACCGACCCGTGATCGATAACGAGCACAGCTCCCGTGAGGGATGGGAACTGTCTCTTGAGGTGTTGAGCCGTTTCGATGATGCTAGCCAGATGAAAAAGGCTGTCTCCGAGATTGTGGACAAACTTCCTCTAGAAAGCCCCGATCAGTTAGACAAACTGGTGGTCCTCTGCTCAGAGCTTGGTTTAGAGGACCAAGGGCGCCGAGTTTCTGAGCGATTCGGAGACATGTTGGTGTCGAAATCCGAGAACTTCGGCCTGGCACTCGTCTGCTACGCTCGCGCGCAGAGTCGGCGCAAGGTCAAGTCAGTAGTTGACCTCTTGATCTCCTACAGCTTGGTCCAATCACGCGCATACCCTGCAACGGCCGATCTCGATGAACAACTCCGCTCCTTGATGAAGGAGCCAAAAGCCTGCTTGTCGACTATTGCACAGGTGGACGAAGAAGCAGCTCGAATCCTACAATTCTACCTGAGTGGCTACGCGACATTGCGCCGATTCTACGAAATCCGCGATGAGGAATTTGAATTACAAGAGAGTCAGCGACCACGCTACAAGCCATTGGCTCGACGTCGCGCCGCTGCGCAAGCTCTTGTGGCTGTCATTGGGAGTGCCGCTGATAATATCTACGGAGGTCTCTATGACCCAGACCGTGATTCTGCTGTGCAGGTCGACGGACTGCTAGCTCTGCTGGGCGAAGCCTGTGCATTTGTGAACCGTGGGTGTCCTGATTTGAATCCGTCGACTATCTTGCCTAGTACTAATGTTCCACCAGAACCCACTGCATTCCTTTCCGTCTCCCAACAGTTCACCATCCTATCTGCCATCGAGGACCTGGAAACCGTCACTCCCCGCGTGTACGCACAGTGCGAGGAATGTTTCCGCTCCACCTTACTCGAGTACCAGTCCTCCTCCCGTGGGGACTCCGACGGCCCGCCATCCCCTAGCGCCCTCTTGAAAAAATCCGTCACCGACTTCTCCGCATCCACCTTCTCCCTCATCGGCAACGACATGCTCGAGTCAGCGCGCAATCGCTCCGGCTCTGGCTCCATAGGCAGCTCAGGCGTTCTGGTCCCCAACCCAGGCGACACATCCAGCGCAGACCGCGGCTGGGACTGGCGCGCTGGACTCCCCAGCGATGCTAAGGGCGAGGATATCCTCCGAATGCTGCGACTGGGATTAGCACGCGGGTTGAGTCATGGTGCAATGGGATCGATCTGAAACGGAGTTTAGAGGCCTTGTTACCTTGTGGAATGGATGGAATTTTAGCACGGGCTCTTTGCACACTGCCATACGCTTTCAGGATTTCCCCCGCTTTACTTTTTGCCCGTTGAAGACCGTTGGTCCGTTTGTGTATGATGTCAGAAGTATTATGCACTTCACTAATTCTTCAGAGTCCACTATCAATCATTAATGTAGAGAGTATGTCTACATGTACACAGTAGATAACAGTAGGGTGTCTGCAACGCTTCATGTATACCTACCCAACCCTCGCTCTCCTTCTATTCTCCATTCCTCGCCCTCCGATTGCCCGAACTAACTACCGCCAAGGGCGAACTCCCCCTCTCACTCCCCCTCTCAGCTACAGTCTGTGGCATCCCACATACAGGTCCTGAACCTGCTGTACGGAAACCCTAGCGTGTTAGTTCCGAAAACCGGTTCTTCACGAAATTCGTCTCAAGTCTTGGTCTTGTCTTAGCGTCAGGTCAGCTGAATGTGGGCGCCTAATTTGCTCCACCCTTCGAGCAAAAAGCAAAAAGAACAGAACAGACAGAACTGAAATGAAAAAGATAAGAGAAGATATGAGACAATATCGTTACCGCGTGGACTGGGGATATTTAAGTGGGTATATTCACGATTTGTAGGGAGATGTTGCGGTCAATAGTCCTATGAGTCGCAGTTGCTCTGGGGCTGTGTTGAGACTTGAACGCCCCGAACTATACCTAGTGGCTAGTGGTTCGCTGTGTTGGATGTTCGTCTGACCGGATCTGCCGGGGATAACATTCAACTGTGTCTCGTTCTGACTACTATACAAGCCTGGTAAAAGACGGGAGTCTGGAGACATGAGGACTGGACTGGTTGATTTTCGTATAACCCCACTATGCATCTCAGTTGTGATTGCAACTAGTCCAGTGATTGTCTGGGCGCGCCCCGTCCGTTTGCTGCCTGGGGCTGCCACATGGAGACATAGGGCTGATCAGCTGGATCTACATCATTGCATTAAATCAGTAGTTGCCATTATTATTCTCAGTCTTACTGCTATATACGCTCACTTATATTACTTCCCTCTCCTTCGTTCCTTCTCTTTCCTTTTCGTTCTTCAGGCAAGAGCAACTACCTATGTCATAAGGTTTCACTCCTTCCACTATTGAATCGACTGGCTCGCATTCTTTCAACCTCATCCAACTTCATCCAACCTCAGAGGCTGCAACAAACAACCCGATCCTTCATCCCTCAATTGCCATCTGAGACTGTACGACCTACACTACCGAAATCCTACCTCCATCCCAACACTGCTACAAAGACATCATCCAGCAAGATGTGCTACAGGGTCATCGAGCGCTACTCCGTCTGCAAATGCCTCTACTTCGAACACTCCGTCGACCCTTGCTCCTCATACGGCCAGCACGGCCATGAAGTAGAGGAAAAGCTCGTGCTTGTCGGCTACGCCTGTGACAGACACACGTTGTGTTCTGATCTTTCTCTGTCTGCTGTTCCGTCTGGGGCGATAACGTCACTGTGGTCTGATGCAGGGCATGGGAGGGATAGTGAGGCTAAAAAGCTTAGGGAGGGTGAATTCGAGCTGCAGAAAGACTTAGGACTCCTGAATCCTGAGTATCGATAGATGCGGAATGAGGTTTTCTGGTTAGACTTGGGATATGTGGCTGTGCCACTATGGGAATTATCTGGATGTATTGTTCAATGTTCCCTTTTTTATCTTCTCTTATTCTTCGTGTCGATGCTTCTTTCGAGAGATGAGCTTTCGTGCTTTCATTTTCATCTTGTATTGTCGACACTGGTGTTGGCATTTCCTGACTGGCAAGTCGAGTATTAGCGAGTTATTGCATCTTACTCTCTGGGCTTTAATGTTCTTTATTGTTATTTGCTGAATGATACTATCATACTACATACTACTTCATGTTATGTACTCCATGACCCGCCAGTTGGTGATTAGCGGGAATCCTCGCCAGTTGACTGATCAGTTGACTCGCCAGTTGATCATGTGATCCATGCCACCATTCTTTAGTCCCCGACCTATTCCTGTCGCTAGCTAAAGTGAGAAAAATCCAAACTCTTGTTGCTCTAGAGTCTAGAGTCCAGACTTCATAGTTATTAGTAATGGCTGATTTCCACTTCACTGACCAAAAGTTGAGCAACGATCTTATCTCATCTATTTCCAGTCTTCTCGACTCCATAGATGTCCCCAACCTTCTTTGGGGCAACTATCTACTCACTATTTACGGAGTTCCCACAATTGTGGATGTCAGTGTTCTCTTGACTGACCGCAGAGTCTACTTGGCACTAATCTTCTAACAGGAAGCAGCTTTCGTTATCCCAGATGATCTAATCGAGATCGCATTCTCTTCACTCACGAGTGCCGGGTTCCTACCCTGTATCCAAAGCAACTGTCGGCACTCAGAGACTCCACGAGTCCCACCGGCATCCAAGCACCTACATATCGATGATGAAATTGCTGTCTCACTTTATCGAAAATCGGATGTGCTTTGGGAATTCGAAGACCTTAGGTTCATGCCTGAGAACAATCTAGTTATACTTGCGTCGGACACTCGACTGCCGTCGGCAACTCCAGGTCATGGCAGAGGACGCTTCTCGCATCCTTGTACTGTGAAAATCCCTTCTGCGGAGAAATATTGCGGGGCCGTGATTCTTTTGCTTTGTCGTGACTACGACTCTTCTTACGCGACTTATTGGATGGCTATCCTGTGCTATCTTTTGGAGTATGTCGATGGGACGGATATCTTCGATGAAAGTAGGCTGCAAGAAGGTTGCAGAAAGTTTTACCATGCCGCTAAGGTGGGAGATCCTGAGATGTATTCGATACTGGATGAGCTTCGACTTGTTTTGATTGAAGAGCGTCGCCTACCATTGATAAGTGATTAACAAGACCGGGCTAATATTTCGATTTCTCGGTTTGAACAACTGAAATAAACATGAGAACGGTGATTTCCCGTCAGGCGAAATGTCGTAGCGTGAGGTGTTTGATCGAGAATCTCGGGGCTTTGATCGAGAATGACAAATTTGCCGAGCGTCTCGCTAGATCCTCGAGTTTTTAAAACATTCTGAATAAATGATCATGCACTCCTCGTCTGATCACCGAAATCACCGAAACCTATCAATCGTCCACTTGGTATAGCATTGCCGGCTCCTGGAACCGTGAGGATGTAGTCCTAGGAGAGATACCTTATATGGCCTTGATGGTCCTAGGAAGCAGCCCATGGACCTGCTCCTGGGAGAGAGGTGTGCTTATGGGTGTAACCTAGGGTCGATATGCTCCTTAACCGAATCAGAAAGCAAGGACTATCTAAGTTACAGGGAATGGGGGCGGGTAGGTAGTTATCACCCGACCTGGACCACCAACTGGCTTACTCAATCCATATCGGACGAACACTTGCAGTGATGCCCTTTCTGCATCTGCAAAGTTCCAAAATGGCGAGTATTGCAAGGCCAGTGTCTTTCCATCGTACAGCGCTTGAATAATTCTCGCCCGCCTATTGCCCATGTAAGAGAGAACCAAAACCTATGCAATTGTTAGATATGGACCACATCATATCAAGCGAAACATCTTACTGGATGAATATGGCATGTGCTGAATGGCTTATGATTGACTCGAAGAAGCATCGCACACGCGATAGCACACAGCTCAGGTGTAGTGACTCCACAATATGTCTCCCTGGGACAAATCATAGATACGCATGATATGATCGAATGTGGCTTGCGAGGGAGATCGGGGTACCGGTAATGACTAATTAGTTCCCACCACTTTGAGAGATCGAAGGCCTGCCCATAATCAGGGTCGCCTTCTTTGTGTCGAGGACTTCAAGAATGTTGTTAGTCCAGTATACACGTATAGGACATAAACTTCTTTCCAAGGTTGCAGTCTACTTACTACCAGCGACATTGGGTCCGACGGTCCAGAGTGGTCTCCTCCGATGGAGATCGTGCCCTAGCCTTGAGTAGGTGACGATGGACAAAATTCTCTAACTCAGTTGCTTCCTCTCTAGGATCAGTTTCGAAAATCACACGGTCCTCTTCTGTAAGGTTCTCACGGATTGGTGCGACTCCAGGGGGGTATATCTGCAAGGACCTATCCATGATATCCTGCACGCTAAGAGGAGGGGACAACTTGAGAGCGCCTCCTGCTGAATCCGTATGGTCTACAGGATATCTCTGAAGAACCCCGTTGGCCGGTTGAGGTTCAAAGAAGCACGGGTCGAATTTCACAGTGTCGTGTTTCTCCGTATCCAAGGACACTTGGGATGCTTGGATTCCGAGCGCTTGCAGAGATTCAAGAGAAGGGAAGTCATCTTCAAAAACGTTGATTTGTTGAAAGAGGGATCGGAGAAAGGCATGCGGCTGAGCTTGGGATAAAGTCATGTTGACGAAATTTGACGAAATGAGATCAAGTGAACTAAAGATTGAAGAGAAGACATGAGGGCGAGTGTAGATACTGCGGCGTTTAAGAACTTGGTGTAAATTGGGAGATGAATTGACGGATAGATAGGCGAAGAAGGGAGGAACTATCTGGGTGAGAAGCAGCCGATAGATAGGTGTGAAGGTCACAATGACATGACCAGACAGAGTCAAGTATGCCAATCAGAGGCCAGGGGGTCACATAGCCTCATAGCCTAACAGCACTACTTCGGCCTAGATCCAGTGATCCACGGGTCAAGTTACAACTGTTACTCATAATAGAAGTGACCCGTGAGCCAGTTTGATGAAGATGACAGTGGCCGGTTGTGCATGGACTTGACTTGATTTTCGGTAAGTGGGTACACACGTGATCAAATATCCCGAGGGTTTGATTGGGCGACAGTCACCAGTGCGGGTAAATGTGCGGGTAAATGTTCGGTCGGCTCACTCGGCCCCAGGGGACACATTGTCAAAACACTTGGATACCATGAACCTTTGGGTGTTGTGGTGGTAGACCATCTAGTCCTCACAATCAAGAATCCAAGATATCACTCCGTGGATCCGCTTGAGTTCAGTCTAGTGTTTGCATTCCCCGCGGTGCGGGATAGTCGGTATCCATTCGAGGCTTTTTCCTAAATTTAACTTTCCGTTGTTATCCATCCCATATCGGCATTTAATTGAACCTCATAAACGCATCAGAAATTTCCCCAACATCAGCTTTCAACACATATCAGCCACCATGTTTACCACCAAATGGCTACCAGCCGCCCGACTGAACATCCATCAAGTCCGGGGATTCTCACTGATTTCGACGCATACCTCGTTCCCAGCGACCATGTATCGATTCCAGCTCGAGCGCAAGGCGACATTATATGATGTGCGCCAGGATGAGACCCGTCACAGGAAGGATGCAGTCAGTGTGTCGGATGATGGTCTGGTGCATGCGACGATTTCAAAATCAAGTCCTTGTGAGTTGAATCGTATCCCGCCACCTGCCCTTGATGAAAGACTAACTGAATGTGTTATCAGACTCCAATGGCCCAATCTTTATGCCAAACACTCGCCTCATGCAACAAATGCTTCGATTTGATTTTGAGCGATACCAAGAAGAGATCGGTGATGGGAAGTCCCTTATGGATCCCAGTGTTATCTGCATTCAGCGAGGTATGACTCTCCATAATCAATGTTCAAGGAATATCAACTCATTGTTTCAGGCACTCGGATTCCCCCGGCGCTGGTGTTGTGGAGGGAAGGAGTTTCTCGCTTTTCCCTGCAGCCTTCGCAACCTATGGAAGTTGAAAGTGAGTACTCGGAGAATGACTGAGACTGCATTGAGATATACTGACAATTATTAGAACTGAACGATGTGCTCAGCGAATTTTATGAGCAATCTGCGACTGTTGTCGGCGCAGAGGAATGGATTGAGAAACATCCCTACCAGGACAGCTTTGCTGATCAAAATGAGAAGGAATGGATGGAGGTCTAGCTGTACGGTGCTTGGGCCCATTGATGAGTTACAGCAAGGCTCTGGCGGTAGTGACATAGCGCTAATCGAACCTTCAGGTTGTCTGTATCTATAGGTATGGGCCTCGATGACAAACAATATATATCTCCTAGGTCCAACCTGGGTCAATAGGATACCTGTTTACAACATTGTCCTCGGGCAATACTACCTACATGGAATTCATTGCCCGGAGATCACCTACCTGTAGCTGATTCTGACCTTTTACATAGCCCTGTAACGTAAAATAGACATCGCCACAGAAAACTTCCAAAAATTCGTAGTACACGGGCAGTAAACCAGAGCTACGATTGTGTTTTGAGATTTAGGCTCTTCTAACATAATATGGACCCTCAGTACATGAACTAGCATCATTGGTCTAGTGGTAGAATTCGTCGTTGCCATCGACGAGGCCCGTGTTCGATTCACGGATGATGCACATTTCTTTTTTTGCACAGAATCAAAGTGGATTGGATCGTCGGTTTTTGAAAGACGAAACTCAACATCGACGCGATTTGACTTTATTATGTTCAGAACCACATGCGTCCGTTCCTTTATAATGTGAATTGTTCATCTGAGCCACCAAATTAGAGCATGTGGCCGTACATCCGGCCCAAACGTTCCAGCAATTAAGCACCTAGATATGCTACCTACTTTCTTTGATGTCGATGTAGGTCTTTTCTTTGTGAATGCAGGAACACAATCACATAGGTGCATCACTACGCATGGTCATGGAATGCATGCAGCTTGCTTTGTAGTAGCAACGGCCAGTTCAGGTATCACTCGCAAAAATAACCTGATGTTGAAGCATAGCATAGCTTTCTTGAACTGGAACATGCTTAGAGGGCAATAAGAATACACAGAGCTAATAGAGATATACTCAAGAATAGGACTTGAAAGAAGAAAAAGAGCAAAAGCCTCGCAGACAGCAATGAAGAAGCTGCAAACAAAGCAAACAGTTATCGGCATATCGCCGTGTTCCCCGCGCTAAATGGATTGTTTGACAGGAAAAAGCAGAAAAGACGCAACAGCTCGGCCTCTGCCGGCTTCATATCTATTTAATTCAGTCTCCAGCTTCTGGCAACCCATACCTCTCCACTGACTCACCACCAAAAGACCGGACCTCCCGGCTACCTAACAACATGGATCCAGACGTTCCCTTGCCACAGGGCGTCACATCCCTTCTTGATACAGATCTGTACAAGCTGACGATGCAATGTGCTGTCCTGAAGTACTTCCCAGATGTTCGTAAGTATCCCCGACGAGGAAATTGGGATTGGAGCTGACCCGAGCGCAGACGTGACCTACGGCTTCACGAATCGGACCCCGCACATGAAACTTCGTCGCAGCGCATACAAATGGCTTCTCGAGCAGATGGAGTGTACGGAAACACCCTCACTACCACGATTGACCAGCTCCTAATAACCCGCGCATATAGTACTGGCTGCGATCCGCGTCACCGACGAAGAACGAGAATGGCTCCGTCAAAAATGCCCTTACCTCCCCGACGCGTATCTCAAATTCCTAGAAACCTTCCGCCTCAAACCAGCTGAGCACATCAAGATCAAGTTCACCCCGGTACATGATACAGGCAGTGACGACGATGAAGGAGACATTGAGTACATGGTTGAAGGTCTCTGGCTCGAGACAATCCTGTACGAAATCCCACTGCTGGCCTTGACTAGCCAGGCGTACTTCATGTTCAGTGATAGGGACTGGGACTACCATTGCCAGGAAGATAAGGCTTACCGCAAGGGCTGCACTTTGCTTCAGAATGGATGTGTGTTTTCTGAGTTCGGCTCGCGCCGGCGTCGTGACTACCATACCCAGGACCTTGTTATGAAGGGTCTTTGCCGTGCTGCGGAGGAAGGCAAGAAGCAGGGCTGGCCGGGCGTGCTGACTGGAACTAGCAATGTGCATTTTGCTATGAAGTACAATCTGAGTGCTGTTGGAACTGTGGCGCACGAATGGTACATGACCATCGCGGCCATCACAGATGACTACGAGAATGCCAATGAGCTGGCATTGAGTTACTGGCTCGGCTGTTTTGGAGAGGGGGTATGTGTATTCATTTTTTTTTCTTTTCTTGATTTCCAGTTGGAAACCCCCAGACTGACGAGAAATTCTAGGTCCTCGGAATTGCCCTCACAGACACTTTCGGTACACCGGCTTTCTTGGATGCATTCAAGAAGCCCATCTCAGCACCAGGTTCAACGACTGATGGTATGTCATTGACCATGACCTATGCTCAGTGCTACGCCGGTGTCCGCCAAGACTCTGGAGACCCAGCATACTTTGTCAAGATGATCCGTGACTTCTATGATAGCCAAGGTATCGCCGAGAAGAAGACGGTGGTGTTCTCCGATTCTTTAAACATTGAGAATTGTCTTGAGTATAAGACCATTGCGGAAGAGGCAGGCTTCAATCCTACATTTGGAGTTGGCACATTCTTTACCAGTATGTCTGAGTCTTGAGATTGCACTATATCAAAATACTTACGTGTCGCAGACGATTACATCAACAATTCAACCGGAGAGAAGTCCAAGCCCCTGAATATCGTTATCAAGATTGCGACTGCAAACGGCAGTCCCGCCGTCAAGCTCAGCGACAACCTGGGAAAAAACACTGGCGACCACGCCAAGGTCCAGGAAGTGAAAAAGAAGCTCGGCTATGTTGAGCATACCTGGGAAGAGGGTGATGAGAGCCACCGCTGGACGAAATAGGCATAGCGGTTCAGCTTATCTTGATTATTTCCTTACAATTCATAAAACAACTGAACATGCTCCATGATCATGTTGACATTGGAGAGGCCATTTTAGTTTTTTGCGCTAGACACAGCTCATAGAGAATAAGAATACATGATGCCATTGAGGAACACAAATGTGCACAGCCTTTTCACAACGATGTCCTTAGGGTACATTCATCTCACGTGCAATTGACTACAAATCTGCACAGCCTTTTCACAACGATGTCCTTAGGGTACATTCATTCCACGTGAAATTGACTACAAATCTGCATTAACCGTCTGATCATCATTGCTAGCCTTTGACACAGGAACCTTAGAAACAACAGACGAAACCTCCGCCGCATGCATCAGAGCTTCCTTCACAGCGGTTTCGACAGCCTGAGCTTCAGCGATGGCAGGCGAAAATCTGCCACCATTCGTCGGACCTTTTGCAACCCGCTTGGAAATAGCCTGGATTTCAGCGATATCAGACGAAACCATGGCGGCACACCAATACTCCCCTCGCCAGCATTTCTCCACAATGTTGCTGCCTATGTAATTACCCATTGGAAACATGCCATTCCTGAACTTTTCTGTGATCTCTACTTGATCGTCAAAGTTATCCAGCTCAGGGAACACCTCATTTCCAACAATGATGTGGTACATAGCAGAGCCAAGAGCAAAAATATCCGTCCGCGCATCCGAATAATGGAAGTCATTTCTAGGCATCGAGGACTTGGCCGGCGCACGACTCAATCCATCTAGCATGATATCCCCAGAAGAAGAGCAAAGCAGACCCTGGAAATCAACCAGGACGATGTTGAGCTCCTCGTCAAGCAGGATGTTGGACAGCGTGATATCGCAGTGGATCACCCATTTTGAGTGCACGAACACCACCGTGTCGGCTAGCTGCCTGCACCACTTGATGCGCTGGTCAATGTTCAGGAACGGGTGTAAGGCGATATAGTTGTGCAGCGTGCCATTTGGGTAATATCTCAGCAGTAGACCTTCGTCATGGAGGCCATGGCTTTCGACGATGTGCGGGTGTTTGCCCAGTAGCTCGAGGATTCGGGCTTCTACTTTGACACTCGTTAGGAAGAATGGGTTGTTGAGATCTGAGGCGTATTTCAGAACAAGATCCCCTTGTAGTTTGCCGACGTTGCAGGCGCTTCGCGAGAGTATCTGGACCACACCTTGTGGGACATCCTCTTGGGGAATCGAGATGGGTGGCAGCGTGTCGATTAACAGGGCTGTTGGGTCGACTGTCGCTTTCTGATTTTTTTCTTTGGACTTGGGTTGGTGTTTATTCACTGCGAAAGCTGGATGGCTGATGTTGCCCACATCTTCATCAAGGCTGACCATCGTGCATGAATTCTGAGACCAACTTTCCGAGGTTCAGTAAAGACGTTGAGTCGTTAAGGACTATGCGGAGGCATGTTTACAAAAAGGATCCCTGACGGGCAAACAGATGTAACTAGTCGCGTAGTGTGGGAGAATATGAAGGTGTCCGAAAGGCGAAAGTGCGACTGGACTATGCACTCGCGCGCTTCCTCTACGATAAACAGCTATAACCATTTCCTCAAACGTTGTGACCGACGACTAAAGAAGCCGAATACTGATGTACAATGTACTACGCAGTATATTGGACATCCGATTCAATGACCTCCATCGCCTTTAGCTACAATAACCACAGACTTCAATAGGGCGAAGGGTAACAGCAGCAAAGCAAGATGACTGGTTGATCACATGCTCTATTGAGAAAACAATACAAACACTCTGAATCGAAGGTTAAGGTTCGGATCGATAGTCCATGGTTGTCAATGGATACACTGTTCCATATTCAGCATGGAACCATAGGACTGTCTGCTGTTCCAAAAGAGGCAGGCGTGAGCTCTGACTTTACTATATATACCCTCAGCGACTCTCTTCTTCCAGATTGCTTTCTTCCCTCGTAGGTAGACTCCCCGCCAGATTCTTCCTCAAAATATTCCTCCAATCCCTTAATGGCAACCTCCCTCATCATGCCGTCCTTCATAATCACACCGTCCTGGCCACCCTCAATCCTTTTTGCATCTTGAACCCACAGGGATGCTACATAATATAGGCCGGTATTTGAGCTCCTTCTTCCACCAAAACTCACCAGCCAACTAACATAGTGGCATCTAGTGACAATGCGACGTATGAAAGAACGATGGCATTCCTCGGATCCCATACTTGCTTGATTTTCTTTCGCTTAGTGATATCTGCCTTTTTTATAGCAGGCTGCGTGGTAGCAGGAGCGGAAGTAGCAGTAGGAGCAGAAGCAGAAGTAGGAGTGTCGTCATCAATGATTCTGTCACTGTATCATCGAAAGCTTTATAATCAGAAGCTTCTTCCATGCCAGGAAGATTGGAAGGGTTTGTCTTGTCCAACAAGGAGAGGCCAGTATGAAAGGTCAATACCATTAAGACCGATCTCCATGCATTGTTTCCATGTTTCCCAGTTAAGACTCGCCCTTAAGAGAAGGGACTAAGTCTGAGAACTTGATGTTCGAGGGTCCACCTCGAGAATCCGTCATGATTAAGACGGGTGTGTGTTATCGAGAAAGTTGATTGGGTCAATGTCGACAGAAAGAATGGAGACAGTGCTGGTCTCCTGATAAACGCAGGGTTCGATCAAACGTCGATAGTCTCGGTGAGATGCGGAACATGGAAGATAGGTGCTGATCTCAATAGGACCGGGGTCCCTAAGAAGGCTGTCTCGTAGAGAAGAGACACTGAGGGCAGTGAAACCAACAATGAAGACGATGGATTCGAAGGAGTAAACTTGCAAGCTAGGTACAAGATCTGGATGCAGGAAGAAGCTGTGGGATTCAGAAAGAAAAATGAGTGAGTTATGGTTGGAAGCTCTGTTCAGTCAGATAGTGGGCGTGGTGGATAGCTGCTGCCGTTGTATTCTTGAGACATCACCGGGGACCGCCTCGCATGCCACCTTGTTTGTTGTTGAGCCGTTATCGCGTAACTCGCCTGGGTATTCCCCTCAATCATGGAGCATAGAACCGGTGCGATATCCAGGGCAATCATCACCTTCATTACAATTCTCACCACCATCTCCTGACCTCCAAGAAACCCCCGAGGTGATGATTGCCCTGGATATCGCACCGGCTCTATGATCCATGATCGAGGGGAGTACCCAGGCGAGTTACGCGATAACGGCTCAACAACAAACAAGATGGCATGCAAACATCCCACTAAGGATCAGACCACGTGGTCTGACGTTTGTTGATAACGAGGAGGTGACAATCACCCGGCAGGACCTCTGTAATACAGAGACTCCCTGTCACCCCGTACGGACCTAGCAATAGCTAGATCTGAAGTTATTCACGACTCCTCCGGGCTGGCGGAGAGGAGATGTGTTGAAGCTTCGTTGGACCAAGGTCCCGAGGAATTTTTGATGTAGAGGGGTGGGCTTAGCACTACCCCCTGTGCGAAATGCACACTGTGAGCTAGCACAAATTCAAGGATATTGACTGATTGTTAGATCAGATCAATATACAGAGTCTCCAGCCTCATAACCTGCTAAGGTCGACAATCTGAACGAGATCGTGAAGGAGCTGTACAATGTATATGGTACTGACTCAACTGAGCTATGATAGCTGAAGAAGGAAGTCATGGAAATACGATGGATGCAGTGTGAATCAGGATGAAGAAACAATGTATGCAGATCGTATTGATGAACGTGGACAGAGAGAAAGAGAGAGAGAGAGAGAGGAAGAGAGAGAGGAAGAGACTATCTATCTAACGATGGGTTCTGGCTCATGTGATGCCTGAAGCAAACATGTTTGCAGGCATCCAACAGGAAGAAAGTGTGGAGCTATGATAACTATGGGGGAAAAGGGGATAACTAGCATCATGTGACAGTGTGAGAACTCAAACATACATCTCCTAAGAGGCTAAGCCACGGGGTGAACCAAGACATAATGCCTCAGTCTGTCCAGGCCGTACATTTAATTTGAATCTCCTAGGGACCCAAGCTTTGTGTTTGCGGAGTCCAACATACTCTCCCAGTCCACATCGTCCGGCAGAGGCCACCAGACATCCTCATCCGGATGCAGCTCAATAACTGAAAAGAAGACATATGATGAGCTTGATCCAGAACCAAAAGTCCCGGGGCCATACTTTCGATCTCTCGTCACCGGTAACGCCCACCAGCGGCGGACGCAGCAGGCGCGTAAGTTGTGGTTGTTTTTTGATACGCCAACCATATGCTAATGATATGCAGCACGGACAAAACGCCCCTCCGAATCTCGTTCTATTCATGACTCCCGCCCAGCTGCATGTGGCCGACGGCATGAGTATTACCCCTGGGGAATAGAGCGAGGAGGAGTACATCTCCGATGACAGCGATGACAATGGCGACGATGTTGGAGATGAGAATGGAGCTGGCGACGAATATGGTGCTGACAACAGTGCTTTTGCACCTCTTCCTCTTCTGAAGCTGGATCCCTACACTGTTGGTCCTCCAATTAGGATATGCATGATGCACATTTTTGGAGGATAAGTGGGCCTTTTTGTGTCATGATAATGATTGACTACTTCAATGTTTTATATCTTATAATGATATGCATTCAAGATACACATACTTAATGAAATGAATGTTTCAGATATGCAAGACATATGATATTCCTATGTACAAGGAACTGTTTAACTTAATGAATCCAACTCTCGCTGTAGCTCCTCAATTACTCGACGTCTTTTTGCCAATCGGATCTGTACCCGTAGCCGTTCTTCTTCTTTTATTAGCTCAGCCAGCTCAGTCGATGGTGGCTGAATTGATTGTGGGCGAGTCGAGTGAGGGTAAGAGCCAGAGCAGAATGGTTGAACACTTTGTGTACCAGATAGACGTTCTGCTGAAGCACGGTTTCGTTTATCTAAAACAAGTTGTTAGATAAGTTAGACATAACTATGTCAACTATATGCAGGAAAGCAGAACTTACTCTTTCCTTGACTTGGTTCCACAACACGTGAAATAGCATCTGCGGGCTTCCATGTTGAGTGGCCGCCTTCTTCAGCAGCAAGCTTTGTCTTCTCAACCATGTCATTAACATGACGCTTTGCCCTGAAAGTAACAAGTTAGTGATATGTTAACCATATGAAGAGCTTCTACATACTTCAAACTCGCTGCCAAGACTGACTGCTTTCGCCCAATAGCTTCATTATCCACGAAGTGACGACTGCTTGGCTCATGGATTTGCTGCACAACACTGCGAAGAAGCTTATCTGGTGGTGGTGGGAAATGTGTATGGCTACCACGACCCACCAATAACACAAACGGAAAGCGATCCCATAAATATGGTATGTATATATCAAATTTCACATCACAATCCCTCTTGACGAGATGTCCAATCCCTCTTTGATGGATGAAGCCTATAAGAATAAGGTGGTTAACATATCAGTTACAAATATAAAACAGACGTTTATCAAACTTACCACAGCGTTGACTAGTCCTTCGTCGGTTACACACAAAATGGCAGCTAATATCCTGATAGCCTGATTGAATACCAGAGGTTTCAACTGGAGCTTTGCGGGATTCAGAAACTGGGACTGCTGCCTTTTCACGAAGCTGCCCAAAGATATGAGTATCAACCCGATCATATTGTTCACAAGGAGTGATAATATCAGGATGAGCTGACTCGCAGTGATGAATTCCATGGCATCGATATTGACGATGCCATACTCGAGAGTCTGGATCTTTAGGCCTCGTAGCAAGAAGCCTCATAAACACGGTGTTTGGGCTGCCAGAGTTTTGAAGTGAGAATTGTATCTATAAAACATTAGTGATATACTTCACATATGTTTACCATGACACTCACGTTTGATGAAAGAGTAGCAAATGCCTTGAGTGCATTGGCTTTCGTCGGGTCTGTTCCCAAAGGACTCTTTGAAAGATGGATCCGATGCAGAATACCACTTTGCGATACAGCTGGGTATTCAGGAATCAAGAGATGGTTCTCTTGCTCAGAGACCATGACTAGCCTGTTACCACTAGCACTAATGGTAGCACCATTCTGTGTCAGACCCGAGTTTTGTAGTCCCATATTGAACTCAATATTAGGCTGCAATTCAGTTACACCCTTGGATTTATCAGATATAGAATCCTGATCAGGGACATTTGAATCCTCAAGTGTTTCTGCACAGTCTTCATATACTGACTCGGCCTCAGAATCATCTGGCAAGTCCCTTGGCGCATACTCCGGAGAAGTTGGTGGCCGTGCTGGAAGGGCTCGTGGAAGTGGAAGGCCCTGGTCGTCCATAATGCATACAGAGACGGTGAAAACAAAGGGTAAAGAACAAAGGGTAGTTAAAGGGGGAGGAATACGGTTAAAACTAAATAAATAACGCTGGTAATTGGCTCTAAATTTTAGCGAGCTATGTAGGAAGTCTCAGGCCTTGCTCCACTTCGAAGGTGGCTGGCCGAGTGTCGAAATGGATGGGGCGGTCACGTTATTTTCTAACACTCAGTCTACCAGAACCCGACATGGTGCCTGCTTTGTGTCTTCTTCTCTCTTCAGCAATTCATCCATTCATCTTGGATTAGTTCCCCTTGGCTTCTCTACATAAATCGAACATGACATATAAAGCGATCTAAATCCGAGTCAGGACCGAGTCCTACATTAAAATATATCATCCCCAGATTGGAATCCCAAATCCCGATCCAGGTCACCAGTGATATCAGCCCTTCCATCGCTTATTGACAGATGCCGAGAATGTGAGGGACTACCATTATTTGCTTCCTTTAGACTGAATGAGAAGAGATCGTGATCGGACTGGATATTCCTTTGTTGCAGCTTGCGGGTATCATTGTATTTGTTTAGGCCGGTGTCGGGAAATAGCTCTTGTGCCCAGTCTGTGGGATTTTGGTCTTGATCGGGGGGTGAGGTGTATGTTTTATCGGCGGTATTAGAATTCGTTGCAGTCAGGGTATCAAAGTCGGGGAAGGAGTCGATGTCAATGGAGAGATAGTTGAAAGGGTTGTTGTCGACACTGCTGGGATCAGCGTATTCGTTGAAGTCGGAGAATAAAGGTTGTGCGGGTTCATGAGTGTTATCGATGTTGGGTTGATGCATGCTTTGGGTAGATGAGGTTCGAGCTCGTGACTTGTGACCCTCGGTTTCGGAGACAGTAGTATCAGACATTATTGAATCTGCTTGAGGAGGGCTGATGGAGACATTGCTTGGTTTCCTGGTCGTTAAAGATGTGGCAGGGGCGTCGTTGTTGTAATCCATAACCTGGAAAAAGGTGCTGGAGGCACCTGACTGCATTTTGATAGCAGCTTCGATGTTGGCAAATTCCATATCAGCCGCCGGATAGATATCCTTGAGGCAGTGGAGCACTTGTATACAACGATGGAAATTGTAGACACTGCTTTCGCGGACGGCAGGATTGTCAGACATGGTGTTGGACAAATGCGCCACGGCGGCAGGTAGAATCACAGTCACGCCAGACTGCGGTAGGAATCTGGTGAGGTTGAGCTGGTTCAAACCTTGAATGATCTGTGTGATCCCTGAAGCGGCTTCGTTCATCTTTGCGCGGGCAGCATTACGCCAATCACTCCGCGATTTGGATTGATCTTTCGAAGCCATCGTCCAAGGCCGGTGAAGTGCACTGGTGGTGGCATAATACAGCATACGCAGCATTGCGCCATGGAGTAAGAGCACATCCTCGCCGTCGGAGAAGGCCTTCCTGGACTTTGGGATATATTGTGCGTCCTTGGGAAGCGCACTGAGCCACGACTCGAGTTTCTGACCACAGCGTGCAAACTCGGACTCGGAAGCCTGTCGAGGAACGAGTGTGACGGTGGTTCGGGTTGTGGTTCCAAATTGACGTTGTGACGGAGTGTATTGAGCGAACACTACCCTTCCGATGCATTGACAGAGCTTCACCTTCTCGATAAACATGGTGGCGAGACGTTTCTGATGTGACACATCTTGGAGTTGGCGGCAATAGAACTTGGCTACCACGGATGGAGAAAATGGCTCAAAATCGAAATCTTTCATACTGAGCATCGGGACATTGCTCGCTCCGTCGTTCACCTGCAGTGGACGCCGCATGCCCATAGCGATTAGTCGATCTCGAGAATACAGACACCACCAAAGCCGACAACGGAGTCGACGAGTCCGTGCATCAATATTGGCTGATGCAGGGTCTTTGTTTAACCCGATGGACTGCGCTTGTGTATTACAAACTCCAATCCAATCCCAGATATCTCGCTGTGGACTGTTCTCTGCATCAGCCCAATAGGTCATTAATAGCACTGTTTGCAGAATCACGATGCGATCCTCTTCACAGTCCAGAGAATAAAGTAGCTAGAGATCATATGTCAGATGAATGAGTCTACAATGGTGGAGATTTGATGCGAGGCATAGATACCCTTAATCGAGTAAAGAACGCATTGCGTGCGCTCTTGCGATTCGAATATCCAGCATCCTGTAGATGCTTGAGATCGATAAAAGCCGTGCCAACGAACATAACCGCTTGAAAGAGTAGGATGCTGACGTTTCCCTCCGGGTCATTCTCGGCCACGCATCGCAGGAACTCTTGCAAGTTCAATACCGGCATGAAACTGTGCACCCATTGGATATAGCAGCGAAGGAGTTCATCCCGCAATCCACTTTCTGGAAGAGTGAGAGCACCACGAAAGCGCAAAAACTCCAAGTCTTCTGGAGCGATCCGAGTCGGCAACGGCTTCAGAAATCTGGGCTCGTCATCCAACATCGCTGTAAGTGGATCAAAGTCGGGGTCTATCAGATCTTGAACGGCAGACACCATATTTGCTGGTAACGAGTGCTGCACATCGGGATTGTCTCGAGTCCGCCATATTCCAGGAGACTCCGACCCATGGAGCCATGGAGCTTGCGGATCATATCCATGAAGGTGGCGCTTAGCTGTGGACTGGAGACAGGACTCGGTCAACTTGTGCTTGAGTGCGCTGGACGACATGACCTGTTAGCCAATAGCGCCAGATAGGCAGAAGGAATAATATATCAGAGTTTGACCGTGCATGAGACTATTGAGATGACAGAATCAGCCGTTGTCCAAACCCGCAAGAAGGCGGTGTTCGGAACCGGGGACGAGGGTGTTTTGCGGGGGCTTGGCGGGGATATCGCGTTCCGTGGGTGTGGATGCTTTTGCGGATTCAATTGGTGGGTGAATTTACTACGCTTTTAAGTGGTTCAACTTTGGAATAAAGCGAATCTGATCATGGATCACAACTATTGGTAGATACTAATCATCACATTCTTATATACTCCGTAGTTATGGAGCGGAGCGGCTACTGTATCCTCGTAGTTCCACACCCAGGCCCATGTATATACTCCGTACTTTTGACTTTTGCCTAGCTAGATGATTAGAGCCAAAGTGGGAATGATTCTTGGAATTCTCCCTATCTACTACTTACCGTGAGAAGGATGAGGCAAGTGAGATGGATGAGAGTCGTGGTTGCTTCTCATCACGAATTTTATCAAGGTTTGGACGGAGTAGAGCTAGAGCTTCATTCCTTCAATTATACCTACATCCTTATCTTGAGGGGACACATAATGGGCAACTGCTCGCGGTGCCATATTGTTGCTGGTCTAGATGCCGCTGATCCCAAGGCCTAGGAGAGTTCAAGTGGTAGGCTAGAGACGTGTAGCCAAGTACTAGATTGTACCGCACCGCTGGACACCCAGCAAATGGAAAATCCCGATATTCTCCTTGTATTCATGAATCTCAAAGCTGAACAAAGCATGTCGGATGCCTCATGCCCTGCCAGTATAATATTGTACAAGTTATCCGATTGAAAAACCACCGAACGAAAGATGCCGATACATCGTGTGTTCCTTGACCGACGCCGATATGCTTCCGCAGATTGAAAAGAGAAGTCCAAGCCGTATCACTGAATTTGTAGAAGGCGTGAAGATTTTACATACTGCGCGAGATTAGAGACTGGTTCTTGCCGATGCTCGATGACACTGTGTTGAGTTTCGACTTACGGAGGGAGGAGGAACTCTCCGAAGCTGGAGTGCAGGAACGCGATACCGGCCTAAAACGTATAGCGTTAGCCTCACGAATCAAATTAAGACATTGACATAAGGGTAAGTCAGAAAACTTACTCCGAAAACCAGGAGACTGCGGACAATAGTCTTGTTCTCGGGGTTGGTGGCCTCGTCGTAGATGGTGCTGACGAAGCCCTTCTGAGGGCGAGAGCCAGAGGGAACGATGCGCTGGTTAGGGGCCATTGTGTCTGTGATGTGAGGTCTGGAGGATGAATAGATGAAGACGTCGTTTGTTAATGTTGGAGTGTGATCGGACGTCGAGAAATCTGCGGCCTCGGAACGCTTGGCGTCACTGCGGCTTTAGCTCTAGTGGGCAACCGTATTTCTTTCGCTCGCGCAGGACAGGACCATTGCGACAGCGACTGCTGTGGATGATTTCTCTTTTATGTTGTTCTATTCATTGCCCTCTCCCATACTACCTCCTATCTACTTATAATTCTCTCGATCTTTTCGACACCACAAGTCGGTGGTCATACCCGTCTGCCAACGTAGCGTCTCGACCGCAGCAACTATGACGAGCGTCGATGAGCTGTTCAAAGTGAGTTGTGAGTGTGTTGATTCAGATGAATGCAAAGCTAATGCGAAAAGAAACCTTCCGGTTCCGGGGCCACTAAGCGCAAGTTCGAACCGATTCAAGATCCAAGTACGCCCTTTCCCCGCAAACACGTCGGTCGTTGATCCTAACGGTCTCCCACAGACGAGCTGTACAAGTCAGCGAAGCTAGATGCAGCTGGCGATGCGAGATCAAAAGGGAAAGCCCCCATGGTGGAAGACGAGTTTGACGATGGGGAAGCCGGACCGGAGCTCCCCCCAGACATTGAGGAAGATGCGCCAGATGACGAGGAAGGCCGCTTCTTCGGCGGTGGCATGGAACGAAAGACAGCACAAGCAATGGAATATATCGACCAGCAAGAGGAAGGAGAAGCTCCGGTATGGGATCCTTTACCGATAGTACGCTTGTATAAGCGCTGACAATGTCCTCGTCAGCCCGAGATCTTCGACTCTGCTTGGGTGCGCCGCTTCGCATTAAATTTCGAGCGAAAGATATCCAAAAATGCCGAACTACGAGCGAAATTTGAGAACGACCCGCAAAAGTACGTAATACCGGAGTGGTTGTGTATATTGAATGCTAAACAAGATAGGTTCATGGCCTCCGAGGCCGACCTAGATACAGAGATCAAGGGCGTGTCAATCCTATCTGAGCATCCTGAGCTGTACGAGGAATTTGCTAAGATGGGATGCGTTGCATCCTTGACCTCCCTGCTGTCGCATGAGAACGCCGATATTGCAATTGATGTAATCCAGATCATCAACGAACTGACAGACGAAGATGTGCAGACAGAACAAGAAAAATGGGATGCGTTGGTCAATGCAATGGTGCGTAGGTGAATGACTTTCTGACCGTCAAGTACTAATTGCATCTAGATGGAAGCTGACCTTATCGAACTATTGACCTCAAATCTCTCCCGACTGGATGAAGCGTCTGAAGCAGATCGCGCCGGCGTATACTACGTGCTAAGTGAGCTTCCTAATTCCGAGAAAGTCAACAATCTGCATGAAGTAGCTTGCTAATACGAACAAGGTGTGTTCGAGAATTTGGCTTCCCAGACATCACATGCCGAGACAATTGGACAAGATGCTGCAGTCTTGTCATGGATTTTGTCTCGCATTCAGAAGAAAGAGGCTACTGTCAGTCAAAACAAACAATATGCGGCGGAAATCCTAGCAATCCTTCTGCAGTCATCATCAAAGAACCGCACAAAGTTCATTGAGCTAGACGGCATCGATATTCTTCTCCAGTTGCTCAGTGCGTACCGCAGAAGAGATCCGGCCAAGGACTCCGATGAGGAGGAGTTCGTGGAGAATTTGTTCGACGCCCTCATCTGCCTTGTCGAGGAAAATTCGGGCAAAGAGAAGTTTGTGGAGGCCGAAGGAATTGAACTCGCGTTGATCATGCTCAGGGAAGGCAAGTTCAGTAAGCCACGTGCTTTGAGAGTCCTTGATCATGCCTTGGGCGGAGTCGGAGGTGCACCGGCCTGCGAGAGGTTGGTGGAGGCAGCTGGCTTAAAGACCGTCTTCGGCTTGTTCTCCAAGAAGGTGCGTCGATCCATCTCAAATGCATTGCAATTTACTAATTCCCATGCAGCAAGAGGGTCAAAACATCGAGCATTTCTTGGGAATTTTCGCCTCTCTTCTACGTCTTCTTCCTGGTGGTTCTGGGCCTCGCATCCGGACCCTGGCCAAGTTTATGGAAAAGGACTATGCAAGAATTGAGAAACTCATCAAACTCAGACGCGAGTACGCCGCGCGTGTCGCTCCCGTCGAGCAAGCCATCGAAAATGAGCGCAGAACCTTCGACAAGGAGGAGCAAGAGCTCATGACCGGCGAATGGTTATCGAGGCGGTTTGACGCCGGTTTGTTCTCATTACAGGTACATGCACACTCTGACTCCTGAACCGGCTGATATCCTGGCTAACCGGTCCAGACAATCGATGTCATTCTAGCGTGGCTTGTCGCAGAGGATGATGGGGCCAAGACAAAGATCGTCTTACTTCTTGCAGACCGCGATGAAGATCTGTCTCTGGTACGCGGTACCTTGCAGGGTAAGTGAATCCACCGCATCAATGTTAAGTTGTCAGAGCTGACAGGCCCAGAACAACTCGAAGGACTCAACGAGGAGGAGCCGGGCCACCAAGATACGAAGGAGATGCTTAGCACTCTTTTGCAGTTTGTCTGAAGTATGCAGACATTGTAACATATGTAATATCCATGAATTAACCTTTGAGAGGCAATCAAGTATCTCCGGCTTGGCCTCGATAACTCGCACTAGATGTAGCTCCATATTTGACTAGGGGAATGCCAGCGGACACCAATGGCCGCTGTCCGCTGACACCCCCGCTCGACTCCTCAAGGCCCTTCACGCATCTGCTCTCATACCACTTCATCATCACGTAGAAATGTGCCCAATTTCAGCTGTAACTAAATAGACTCGGTGGTTGATAAGATCACGTGGCGATTTGTCCGCTGTCCGGGCGGTGAGCGATAATCACGTGAGATTAGCCAGATTGAGACTAGCGCCTCCGAGCGGGCTGAGAAGCATCAATCGTCTGGAGATCAGTCCCTTCATCGCCGTGTCGTCGGGGACTCTCTCTTTCATCCCCTCCAATATCCCGGGTCTACTTCTCGCCTTTACCTACCTCTAACCCCTATAATCCGACGATCCCACTTTTGACCACCAGACCGGGGGCGTTGTAGCGCGTGTGGCGATTCTCGCGGAGACTTTGCTCCCACGCCGACGCGCCTTGCGCTTTTTTCTACACCTCACCCATCTTTTCCCTCTCTTTCTATCGACACCTAACCTCACATCCTCGCAAATATGGCCGACTTCGATGAGACTTCCATCGATGAGGAATTCTACGAGGAGGCCGATGAGGGCATCACCTCGGAGGATTGCTGGACAGTAATTCAATCCTTCTTTGATGCGAAGGGTCTCGTCTCCCAACAGCTGGACTCGTTCGATGAATTCATTTCATCAACTATGCAAGAGCTTGTTGAGGAGCAAGGCCAGGTAGTTCTCGATCAAACTCTCCCGCCTTCCGACGATGAGATTAATCCCGTTGTTGTGCGCCGCTACGAGCTCAAATATGGAACTGTCATGCTTTCGCGCCCCTCGGTAACTGAAGGCGATGGTGCGACTACGATCATGCTGCCGCAAGAAGCCCGTCTGCGAAACCTCACATATGCGTCCCCACTCTACCTCGGCGTTACAAAGAAGATCCAGGAAGCCCGCGAGATCACGGGCAAGCCCCACGACGATGACGATAACGAGGACGATGGCGAACAGAAACCCAAGGGCTCATACCTCGAGTGGACGACAAAGGAACTGCCGCAGGAGCAGATGAAGGAGGAGACGGTGTTCATTGGAAAGATGCCCATTATGCTGAAGTCGAAATACTGCATTCTCAAGGATCTGAACGAGGCTTCCCTCTATGCCTGGAATGAGTGCCCCTACGACTGTGGTGGTTATTTCGTCATCAACGGCAGTGAGAAGGTCTTGATCGCGCAGGAGCGCAGTGCTGGCAACATCGTTCAAGTTTTCAAGAAGGCTCCTCCGAGTCCGACACCCTACATTGCTGAGATCCGTAGTGCAGTCGAGAAGGGCTCGCGCATGCTTTCCTCGCTTACTCTCAAGCTTTTCGCCAAAGGTGACAGTGCCAAGGGAGGATTTGGCCCGACCATTCGCTCCACTCTTCCTTACGTCAAGGCCGATATTCCCATTGTCGTCGTTTTCCGTGCGCTCGGAGTCGTTTCCGACGAAGATATCCTCAACCACATTTGTTATGACCGCAACGATACCCCGATGCTCGAGATGTTGAAGCCCTGTATCGAGGAGGGCTTTGTCATCCAGGACCGTGAAGTCGCTCTGGATTTCATTGCTAAGCGTGGCTCATCACAAACCAACCTGAACCATGACCGTCGTGTGCGCTACGCCCGGGACATCATGCAAAAGGAACTACTGCCCCACATCTCGCAGAGTGAGGGAAGTGAGACCCGCAAGGCCTTCTTCCTTGGCTACATGGTGCATCGACTTCTTCAGTGTGCCCTGGGTCGTCGTGATGTCGACGATCGTGATCACTTCGGTAAGAAGCGACTTGACTTGGCTGGCCCGCTTTTGGCTAGTTTGTTCCGGACTCTGTTCGCCCGCGTCACCAAAGATCTCCAGCGTTATGTGCAGCGATGCGTCGAGACCAATCGCGAGATTTACCTCAACATCGGTATCAAGGCCAGCACACTGACCGGTGGTCTGAAATATGCTCTTGCCACTGGTAACTGGGGCGAGCAAAAGAAGGCGGCTTCGGCTAAGGCTGGTGTGTCCCAGGTGCTGAGTCGTTATACTTTCGCCTCGTCCTTGTCTCACCTTCGTCGGACGAACACACCAATTGGCAGAGATGGAAAGATCGCAAAGCCTCGCCAGCTCCACAATACCCATTGGGGTCTGGTCTGCCCGGCTGAGACTCCTGAAGGTCAAGCTTGTGGCCTGGTCAAGAATTTGGCATTGATGTGTTACATTACAGTCGGTACACCTGCCGAACCCATCGTGGACTTCATGATTCAGCGCAACATGGAAGTCCTTGAGGAATTTGAACCCCAAGTGACCCCCAATGCAACCAAGGTGTTTGTCAACGGTGTCTGGGTGGGTATCCATCGGGACCCGTCGCATCTTGTTGCCACAATGCAAAATCTACGTCGGCGCAATATGATCTCCCATGAAGTCAGTTTGATTCGTGACATTCGTGAGCGGGAATTCAAGATCTTCACCGATACGGGACGTGTTTGCCGCCCGCTCTTCGTGATTGACAATGATCCAAAGAGTGAGAACTCGGGTGGATTGGTCCTCAACAAGGAACACATTCGGAAATTGGAGGCCGACAAAGACTTGCCTGTGGACATGGCCCCTGAAGAACGTCGCGACCAATACTTCGGATGGGATGGTCTAGTGCGGTCTGGTGCAGTTGAGTACGTTGACGCAGAAGAAGAGGAGACAATCATGATTGTCATGACACCGGAAGATCTCGAGATTTCACGACAGCTTCAAGCTGGTTACGCCATGCCAGAAGATGAGACTGCAGATCCCAACAAGCGTGTGCGGTCGGTTCTCAGCCAGCGCGCCCACACCTGGACACACTGCGAAATTCACCCGAGTATGATCCTGGGTGTCTGCGCCAGTATCATTCCCTTCCCTGATCACAATCAATCGCCGCGTAACACATATCAGTCTGCCATGGGTAAACAAGCTATGGGTGTTTTCCTGACGAACTTCTCCCAGCGCATGGAGACCATGGCCAATATTCTCTATTACCCACAGAAGCCATTGGCCACCACCCGGTCAATGGAGTTCTTGCGATTCAGAGAGTTGCCCGCCGGGCAGAACGCCATTGTCGCAATTGCAACATACTCGGGTTACAACCAGGAAGATTCCGTTATTATGAATCAAAGCAGTATTGATCGCGGTTTGTTCCGCAGTCTCTTCTACCGTACCTATGCGGACACGGAGAAGATGGTGGGTCTCCAAGTCGTGGAGAAATTTGAGAAGCCTATGCGGCTGGACACCCTTGGCATGCGCAAGGGTACTTATGACAAATTGGATGAAGACGGTATTGTCGCTCCTGGCGTGCGTGTTTCCGGAGAGGACATTATCATCGGCAAGACGGCTCCGCTGGCCGCCGATGCCGAAGAGCTCGGCCAGCGCACCAAGGCACACACAAAGATTGACGTTTCGACGCCACTGCGTAGTACCGAGAACGGTATCGTTGACCAAGTGCTCATTTCCACTGGTAACGATGACCTGAAGTTCGTCAAGGTCCGCATGCGTACAACCAAGATTCCCCAGATTGGTGACAAGTTCGCCTCTCGTCACGGACAGAAGGGTACAATTGGTATCACTTACCGACAGGAGGACATGCCCTTCACTCGCGAAGGTGTTGTGCCCGATTTGATTATCAACCCCCATGCTATTCCCTCTCGAATGACCATTGCCCACTTGATCGAGTGTCAGCTCAGCAAGGTTTCTGCGCTTCGCGGATTCGAGGGTGATGCTACTCCCTTCACCGACGTCACTGTCGACTCAGTTTCTCGTCTGCTGCGCGAGCACGGCTACCAGTCGCGTGGCTTCGAGGTCATGTACAATGGTCACACCGGACGCAAAATGGTGGCACAGGTTTTCTTGGGACCGACCTACTACCAGCGTCTGCGCCACATGGTCGACGACAAGATCCACGCTCGTGCCCGTGGTCCCACTCAGATTCTGACTCGCCAGCCCGTAGAGGGTCGTGCTCGTGATGGTGGTCTCCGTTTCGGAGAGATGGAACGCGATTGTATGATCGCGCATGGTGCTAGTGCTTTCTTGAAGGAACGTCTCTTCGACGTTTCTGATCCTTTCCGTGTTCATATTTGCGATGATTGTGGCCTCATGACTCCCGTTGCGTATGTGTTCCTCCCTCCCCGATTCTATAACGTCACTAACAACTCTATAGCAAGCTCAAGAAGGGTCTCTTCGAGTGTCGTCTCTGCAACAACAAGCACCGTATCTCGCAGGTGCATATCCCCTACGCCGCCAAGCTGTTGTTCCAAGAGCTGGCCTCAATGAACATCGCCGCTCGGATGTTCACCGATCGTTCTGGGGTTTCGGTTCGTTAAGTTGCAAGGGGTTTCTTGCTCAGCTTTGCTATTTTTCTATTTAGAACTTGTACTTTAATGATCTCCTGCAAAAATGCGCATTGGCTTGGCCTGTTTTCGCGGCGTCTGGGAGGATCATTGGCCATGCATTTATTTCTCGGCCCTACATAGTTGAATCACTTTATGTGCAGTGCAGTTTTTTGTAGATTTCCTTAGGTTACAGTTGGTAGCCGACTGGCTCTAGTTTGTAAAGCGTTTCGACTCTGTAGTTCATATTTCTACAACTTCCTGTACTGATATCAGACTTGATACTACTAGTTACTTGACGGATGCCTAACCTTCGTCACGGCATTTCCAACTTGCCTTTTCAAGATGCACACACATTTACATATACAGATCCTCCTACAGAATGAAACGGATATACGCAGGTCATATCTCATTAATCATAGTATCTCAATTGTCAAATGAGACCTAAACCAAAGTATAGACCTGAAACAGACCCACGACATCCAAGGTTTCAAGATGTCCTTCGGACTAGATGCCCATTTTTGATGCTTCGCAAAGCCGAACCCCCATCCGCATGAAGGAACCCGGGGTCCAGAGCAAATCTTGTCATTCTTATAGGCTTGCGTCGAGATCAGATCTTTATCGGCGCGAGATAAGCTTGTCGGTGTCCACGAGGCTGGATGCTGGATCTGTATCCAGGGTGGACGGTTGTCTGGGACGTCGTTCCTTGCATGCAATGCATGCGACGTCCTCCTTCTTCTCTTCTTCTTCTCTTCTTCTTCTCTTCTTCTTCTCTTCTTCTTCTCTTCTTCTTCTCTTCTCCTCTTCTTCTTCTCCTCTTCTTCTTCTTCTCTTCTTCTTCTTCTCTTCTTCCTTCATCCACACATATCATCCCCGCCCGCACCGCGCGAAACCGGTCCGACGCGGTGACAGGGCTGTTTTTGGTATTTTTCGAACGAAAAGAGTAAAGCAAATGCAATGGATCATGTCGCTCGTATCCGGACATTTCACGTCAAGCAAGACAATATCACAAGCACCCGGCAAAACACCGGCAAAAGGTCAAACCAGGTTCTCAGTAATCATCTATCGACGAACAACAATACCCTGGCGACGGACAGCATTGCGCGCACGACAGTACTCCTCATCACTCTCATACTCAGACTCCGAGCAGCTATCCTCCGACGACTCAGACAGATATCCACAACGAGAACCGCCACAGTCAAGCTTGACACGGTCGCCTCTGCGGGTGATGCCGTAGCGCTCGCAGCGACAGGTGACTGGCGGGTCGCTCATGGACGACAAAGAAGACGGCGAAGTCGAACCCGAGGAACGGGAAGAAAGAGAGGAACCAGCTGAGCTGGGCGGGCTATTGGAGTAGGAGTACTCATCAGACAAACGGGAACCGGCGAAGCGACGGGTGAGGTCGTCGACTGTCGGAGCGAAGTCTGCTTCGCGGAGCTGGCGCGAGGCGTAGTGCTTTGTTGGCTTTGGGTGGTGGATGCGCGAGGGAGACAGGGCGCGGCCGGTGGCGATGTTGGAGCGGCTTGGTTTCGGTGCTGAGCGGCTGGTCTTGCCGCCGGGGACATCGAGGATGTTTAGCTTGCGGCCGGTGGTGGGCTCGATGGTGTACTCGACTGCTGGATCGTGGGAGACGTGGTAGCCGTCCATGATATAGTAGTACCAGTAGCGACCGCCGAGTTGGAGCATGGAGGTTTGGAAGCGGAACTTGCCAACCCAGGCGCCTGGCTTGGCTTCGGCGGAGAGGGGGATCTGGCGTTGGTAGTTGTCCCAGGAGCCGACGAGGTGGACTGTCTTGACATTTGCGGAAGTTCGGAGGGAGAACTTGAGTTGAACGGCGGCCATGATGAAGATTGGAAATGTAAATTTGGAAATAAAAGGTTGTCGTAGAGTGTAAGATAGGTTTAAGAGCGTCGTATAGGTGAACAACCGGAAACTGCCAGAGTTTGGTTGTGTATTGGATAGACTCTTTGTATCTTAGACGAGGAAACCGGTCCACGACAAAGAAGAATGAGAATAATCGAGCGAGATTAGAATTAGTTGTGTTTGTTGTTGGTAGATCTGTTCAACAGGTTTCAAGTCGACCGGCGACAAGTATAGACTGTTGATAAGTTGAAAATATTCGAAGTTCCAGATGCAAGGCAGAATCTCAAAGAGCGCAGCTCGTTTGAGGATAGGGTAAAAATTAGTATAGTATAGAATAGAAAGAAAGAAAGGAAACAAAGGAACCAGGCAACCAGTGCACAGGATTCGAATAGGGCAGATCTAACACAACAAACGCTCGCTGAGGAAAGAGAAAAAAAGAAGGAATCCGCCTTGGGTGGCTATGGCATTCTTTTAAGCCCTGGCTATTCGATCAGCAGTGCAGGTTGTGTACAGAGACTCTTCGGCGGGTAATTGGGGAAGTTGGTTGGTTCAATGTGAGTGTTGCGCGATGTGCTGCCCTCACGATGAGGGCCAATCATTGCGGGTCATTTGGCGCTGGGGGCTCGGACCAGATGAGGAGAGAGTTTGTGATAGGAAAGGCCATTGTCCAAGCAACTTCCACGCATTCAACCTGGTCTGAAGAACTGTCAGCCTCATACATAACGGTGGATATTGTGGATGTCGTGCGTTGTCATGTCTAGACTCGGCGGGAATAAGCCATGATGTTGGATTATGTTGCACTCAATTCCCAAAGTCTCAAGGTCTCATCCTGATTTGACAATGGCATGGTATGTAGACATCCGTGTCTATTTCACGTTGATACTTATGTTCACTGCCTTTTCCAAAGAATGCGTTGAATAAGCCGGGTCAGTGGTACTCCCCAAGGTTGGAGGTCGCTCAAAGTCAGGCATCGGCGCCGCATCGGACGTCACCGGCTGGATCCTGCAGGATGGATGAGATGCATCCTAGTCGGATGTAGGCTGACATGCACATGCACCTAGGACTGCCGGTGTAGCTCTCTAGAGTCTGTTCTCCGGTCACATCTTGAAAGGGGAGGGGGCCGAGTACTGATTTCCTCAGTTCCCCTCATCTGGGCGGTGGAGAGACACCTTGAAGTCCACTCCCGGATCTTATCATCTTGACTTTCCTGCGACATCCACGGCGCTTCTTTTTTCAATGTTCAGAAGGACATTCAACTTGATTGTTGACAACATGCAGCTCATGCTCTTAAGGTTGACCCGTGACCTGGTTCCAAGGTCGCTTTTCGCATCTGATTTCTGATTGGTGGCCGCGTGTTTCCGGTGATCGCCAACTGGCAAACGGTCGAGATGCGTAGAAGCAAAAACAAGGGGTTCAAAGACATGGGTTCAGGGCTAGGATTGTCGATGTTTGTTAACCTAATACACCGCTCATTCCACCACATAAGCGTGGTCCTCCCACCACACTATTTCACAGGGGATGTTTAATCTTCCTACTAGTCCTACGGTCCTACCACTTATTGACTGCAAATTTGATGGGAAATTCATCAGCCAAGCAAGCGAGCGATGGCAAAGAGAGAAATCACCACGCAACCTCTTATATTCTTCCACTCCGACTATGGATTGGCAAGAAATTCTTCGAGGAAGTCGGACCACATGGAGTTCGAATCAGCCGTAGCAGAATGATCAAAGGACCTTGTCCCTCGTCAGAGCTAGCAGCCTTGAAATACGTCGCTGAGCACACGTCGATTCCTGTTCCTAAAGACTTCAACGCCCACTATTACGATGATAATCTCTATATTGAAATGGAGTATGTTCGTGGAATGAACCTCGAGACAGCGTTTTACCGCAATCACCTGTCGCAAGAACAGACGAAATATATCGTCGCTGAGGTTGCGGGCTACATCAGTCAGCTTCGGAAACTAGAACCTCCGCGAGAAGGGATAGTTGCATCGGCAACCCACGACGAGGTCATGGATCACCGTATCGGATCTGATACTTTCGGGCCTTTCTCCAGTCACGATGGTTTTCACTCATACATTCGAGCGGGCGTCTCGATCGAGAACTGCGCCAAATCGATCGGCCCAGAGGTCACTGAATGCCACACCCGTCGTTATCGAAGCTGTTTTGCCCACGCAGACCTCGCCCCTCGGAATATTATGGTGGATAATGGGAAGGTCTCAGCAATTGTTGATTGGCAATTTGGCGGCTGGTACCCCGAGTATTGGGAGTATACTAAGGCACACTACGGACCAATAAATCTGCCAGAGTGGTATGAGGGATTTGGAAATGCTACGGAGAGATATGACGACGAGCTCACAGCGGAACGAACTTTGTGGAGGTGTCTGGACGGACCACAATATCTTTGGCGAGGGAGAGAGCATCTGATTCCGAGCTTGGGCCTTGATTAACAGTATCGAGACCACGAGATCTGAGGCGTTCGCGACTCACATACACCGGCCAGTGTAGTTGATGCTGGGCGTAGACTCGGTGCTTTGCAGGCGCTAGCGGCTGATCCGCCAAAGCAGGCGAGAAGGAACGTTTACCGTTTGAGGTTCGTTCAGAAGTATCTGGAGAGTCAGGGTGAGATCAGTTCCTTGACCGAAGAACTGGACCGAAGAACTGGACCGACGAACTGGACCGACGAACTGGACCGAAGAACTGGACCGACGAACTGGACCGACGAACTGGACCGACGAACTGGACCGACGAACTGGACCGACGAACTGGACCGACGAACTGGACCGACGAACTGGACCGACGAACTGGACCGACGAACTGGACCGACGAACTGGACCGACGAACTGGACCGACGAACTGGAGAGTAGCCACGACCGAGTTCAGATCGATGAACCTAAAGGCTTTAAGCCAAGAGCAAGTCACAGATGGAATTGGGAGTCCAGTGGCTAGTTAAGCGGGGGGATCCTGATATCCGTCGATGAAGAAGAAGAAGAAGAGAAGGAGATATGTGCGCAGTCAGCTCTTACTTTGAGCAACTCTTCAAGCAATCATCTCACATTGCAACATGCGCGTAGACGCTTTTGCGAAGCCCTCCTGACAGAACGTATCTTATCATGCAGATGAGGGTCATGTTCAATTGTCCACAGTTCAATGCTCATTGAGGTGCTATACAATATTTCGGAAACGAATTACTTTAACGTCATCTCTATCTCGTAGATGTTCATGTGCAAAACAACAGGCAGGAAACATCTATACTTCGGAAATTCGTAGGGCCGATGGAACCTAAAACGGATGGATCATCCATGAGTCAGCATATTCTCAACTTCCAAGGTTCACGAATTTGACGCCCTGCACCGGACGTTTGATTATCAACAAAGGACCAGATATCTATCTGGTCATCAAAAAGACGACTTAAACAGGGTGGTATTGGAGCAGGCGATCTTATTGCATCCTGTTGAGCCCCTATCCACCCCTTAAGCACCCAGATAAGGAACTATCTTGTCGCTGCCCTCGCGACCGAACCGAAAATGGCACACGGTGCAGAGGACTGCGCAACTGTCCTGGAGCAGTTCGTCCACGATGTGGCGAACCTCCCAGCCGAAATAAACCACTTGATGGAGGAAATACAGGCCAAGGACAAGGTCATGCAGGAGTGCCGCGCTCTAATCAACTCGCGCGACGGTAGCATCCAGAAATTCATCAAAATGAACGGCAGTCTGACGCCGAACCCGAAGGAAGAGGCATACGCCAAGACTATTCTACAGAACATGGACAAGTCCCAAGAACTACAGAACGAGAAAATTCAGCTCAGCGAGAAAGCATGCGTCCTCCTCGATCGCCAGATCAAGCGACTCGACGTACGCATCCGTGACCTCGTCAACGAAGGCCTTCTCTCCAACGACCCCCTCTCCCTTCTCTCTTCGACTCAAAAAACAAATACCGCAACCCGCCCAAAGTCTTCCTCCCCGACTCCGCACCCTCCGAATCCCCCTCCTACTCTACGCCCCTCAACCAGACCTCCGGAAACGCGAATCCCATCCTAGCTGCCGCCCAGCGCTTGAACCAATCCACTACACCCCGTGTCCAGGTCTCGGCCGCACAGCTCGGGCAAACAGCAGCGCGCAGCTCCGCACCCGCTACACCAGCAGCAACAGCAGCAGTCGTACACCTCCAGCAACGGCAACGCGAATCCTCTGCCGGCGCGGTCGATAGCAAGCGCCGTCGCTTAAACCCTTCCCTCAATGTCCCGGTAGCCTCGTCGAACTTGCGCCAGTCTTCCACGGGCCCGGGGACACCGAAGCCCGGGACACCGGCCGGCAGCCGCGCAGGCAGCGTCGGTCCCCGTGTTACGATCGGCGTCAAGAAGGCGTTGACCAAGAAAGTGGCTCCGCATCAGCAAGTCAAGAAACTTAAGACTGCAAGTGGCAAGCCCAAGCGCTCTTCCAGTGCTAGTGGTCGGATCAAGGCTTCGAAGAAATCGCCCAATGCGGAGGGCGATGAGGACGATGATTCCATGCTTAGTAGTGCTGATACATCGGACTCGGATAAGAGTGATGGCGCTGCTGATGAGGATGTCGAAGATGAGGATGAGGATGAGGGTAATGAGGATTCAAAGGTCTACTGTACCTGTCGCACTGTCAGCCATGGGGACATGGTGGCTTGTGATAATGATGAGTGTCCTTATGAGTGGTTCCACTGGAAGTGTGTTGGATTGACGCGCGAGCCGGTTGGGACTTGGTATTGTGATGAGTGCCGACGGACTCTGGGCAAGTAGTTCGGTCTTCTTTTTGCTTTCTATGATTTGCATGACGGTTGATATACCCACCGGCGTTGGAGTGAGCTTTCATGGTGTTACATTGCCGTGGCTGGACACATGGATTACAATCTTTACTGATTATTGTACTGCATAATTCAATCTGTTGGAAACAGAATCATTCTCCTATTCACTTATTTCCAGACATTATGGGCTATACACCAGGAATGCCTCTAGAATCCTCCTTTGCTGAATGCTTGTTATTATCCAGCGTATGTCCACAAATCAAAACAAGTTGTAACGCCATCGCTATGCTCCCCTTTTTGTGTATTTCGTTGCCACCCAGACGCATGAAGTGCGCCGAAAATCAAAATTCAGATGCTCATGCAAGATGCTCAGAAGTCCAGAGCATTGTTCAGCCACGGGTCAAAGTACTCGCAGGTCTCGGGACTCACTGCACTACCAGGCGAGCACAGCCGGAACACCGGGCACGAACCGCAGGGCGCCTCCGTCATGCCGTTCTTGACAATCTGCTTGTTTGCTTCGGAAGAATCCATTTCCTCTAGTTTCTTGCGTTCGCGCTCCGCCTTGATAGCGTCCGGGTTTCTGAGTGCTCGGTAACACTCTCCGTTGTTCAATGCGACGATCTTGTTGTCATAGCAGAGCGTATCGAGCAATTGAATGAGGCTCTCATCGCTGAGGTGGACGGGGGTGAGGTTGCTTTCGTGGAGCTGCTGAGAAATGACTGCCACGTTCGGGTACCCGGTGTAGCCGTAGGGGTACGGGAGGTAGTTTTTCTCGGAGGACTTGACGTCTGCCTTGCCGGAGGCAGTTTTGATGCGCTTGTTTTTGCGCTCCGCGGCGGGGACTTTGTACCAGCTCAACTCGGCCACTTTGAACTCGATAAATGTGGCAATAGTGCCAATGAAGGTGGCGTCCAGCACGCCGTCTGTGAACCAGGCTCCTCCGGTGACTTCTTCGCTCGGAGCGAGCCCGGCCAGCATGTACATCTTTCGACTGGGATACTTCACATTGTGGAGGGATTTGATATAGTTTTTGCCTTCCAGGGACTTCAGGCAGCGGTCGAGGATGGATTTGTGCAGATTCGTGCGGTTGCCAATGTGTCGCACCCAGATACCTGTGCGTTCTGTCGAATGAATCACATTGTAGACCATCGCCTCGTCCGGGGTGAGGTTGCGGAGCCTATAGGAAAGGAGACGTTAGTCGTCAGGTAATTGGGAGGCATGGTGCAGGCAGTTCTTACTTCTCAGCATCCTCACGGTCAATGAGCTTCCATGTCAGTTTGCCGTCCTTCTGGAGGAGTCGGAAAAGATTTTGATTGACTAGACTCTGGGTGCATTCGAGCAGGAGGGAGACGTCATTCTTCGGAATGACTTTGAGATTGAGAAAGTCATTCTGGTAGAACAGATGGTCGCGCGCGAATTCATTCACACATGCATCATAAAGCTTAGAGGCAAGCTCAGACACTTGAGACCCCGCAGAGGCCATTGTAGATGTGACAGCTATATCAGGCAAGATCAAGGTTCATTCGAGGGGAATCGTGGCTTTTCATATTCAAAGGAGAATGATATAGGCTGAAGGGAGGTTAAACAGGCATGTCGCGTGGGTGTTGAGCAAGTTCGAGTCACGAGTGAATCACCGATGCTGTTTTTTGGCGACTTTTTCTCGGCGGGGAGTGCCTTTGGCCTAAAAGGGATTAGCGGCGGCGGAGCTTCCATGTCAGCGTGAATGCCTCAGGCGTATAGATTACTGCCTCAGGCGGTAGAGACCAACGGAAATTTCGAGAAGCTCCGGCGATTTGAGCTCATAACCGCAGTCCATTCAGCTCTTCGTGGTTTTGTTTTTGATCTGCATATTCATCACCATCGAGCATTTGTCCACCACAACTATAATATGGCTGACGCACTAAAGGCAGAAGGCAACAAGGCCTTCTCTGCTAAGGACTATCCCACTGCTATGTACGCGCTACCCCACCTTTGACATTGTGACTCCGTCAAAGCAGAAACTGATAAACGAACAGTGAGAAGTTCACCGAGGCCCTGGCCATCGAGCCCCAAAATCACATTCTCTTCTCCAACCGCTCCGCTGTCTACGCCGCCCAGCAAGAATACCAAAAAGCTCTCGAAGATGCCGAGAAGGCTATCGAGATCCAGCCCAACTGGTCCAAGGGCCATGTTCGCAAGGGCGCCGCTTATCGCGGTCTTGGAGACCTTTGTATGTAACCCCAACGCGCATGGATTGGCGAGACAAGGTGCCTGATAACAGGATGCTAACCAACGGCAGTGGCTGCACACGATGCCTACGATGAGGCTCTGAAACTCGAACCTGGTAACGCACAGGCCAAGTCCGGAATGGAGGCGACCCAGCGCGCTATCAATGCGGAGGCTACGGCAGATGGTGTCACTGGAGACCCAACCGGGGGTCTCGGTGGCATGTTCAACGACCCCGCCCTGTTCCAGAAGCTGGCCAGCAACCCCAAGACCGCCTCCCTGCTGGGCGATGCCGACTTCATGGCTAAGCTGCAGAGGATTCAGCAGAACCCCAATAGTGTCGGTGAAGAGATTCGTGACCCGCGCTTCCTGCAGGTCATGAGCGTGCTTCTCGGTATTGACATGAACTTCGGTGGCGAGGGTGCCGAGCCTCCCGCCCCTACTCCCCAGCCCAGCGCCTCTCAGCCCAAGAAGGCTCCCACGCCGGAGCCCGAGCCAATGGATGAGGAGGCAATCAACAAGAAGAAGACCCAGGAGGCTGGCGATGCCGAAAAAAGATTGGTAACGATTTCTACAAGAAGAAGCAGTTCGATGAGGCCATTGAGCACTACACCAAGGCTTGGGAGATCAACAAGGACATCACCTACCTCAACAACATCGGTGCCGCCAAGTTCGAGAAGGGTGATTACCAGGGCACCATCGAGACTTGCCAGAATGCCATCGAGGAAGGCCGTGAGCTGCGCGCTGACTTCAAGCTGATGGCCAAGGCCTACACCCGTATTGGTTCCTCCTACGAGAAACTTGGTGACCTTGCCCAGGCCATCGAGTTCTACAACAAGTCTCTCATGGAGCACCGCACACCCGATACCCTGACCAAGCTCCGCAACGCCGAGAAGACCAAGATCACTGCCGAGAAGAACGCCTACATTGACCCTGCTGAGGCCGAGAAGGCCCGCGAGCTCGGCCAGCAGAAGTTCCAGGCCGCCGACTGGCCCGGTGCTGTTGAAGCCTTCACTGAGATGACCAAGCGTGCCCCCTCCGACCCTCGCGGTTACTCCAACCGTGCCGCGGCTCTTATCAAGCTTATGGCATTCCCCGGTGCTGTGCAGGACTGCGACGAGGCTATCAAGCTCGACCCCAAGTTCATCCGTGCGTACATGCGTAAGGGTGATGCCCTGATCGCCATGAAGGAGTACAACCGTGCTCTGGACACTTTCACCGAGGCCGCCGAACACGACGATGGCAAGCACGCCCGCGAGATTGAGCAGCGGCAACAGAAGTGCCTGGACGCTCAGTTCAGCGCTCGCGCTGGTGAGACTGAGGAGCAGACCATGGCCCGTATCCAGAACGACCCTGATGTAAGTTCCAATGTTTCCTGAATATCATGTCAGATTCCAGTATACTAACCTTTTCTCAGATCATGGCTGTTCTTCAGGACCCTGTCATGCAGAGCATTCTCCAGCAGGCCAAGAGCGATCCCGCTGCCCTGCAGGAGCACATGAAGAACCCTCAGGTGCGGATGAAGATCCAGAAGTTGATGGCTGCTGGTGTTATCCGCTTGGGGCGGTAAATGCCTTGGGGCTTTGGGGGTGTAGGATGATCTGGAAACGACTTGTCACGAGATTTCTTTGCGGGCATATTTTTACTGTTCATGTTGCCAAAATTCCATTCTGCTTAGCAAGCTATCATGTTATTTGCAATTGAGGTCGTAATTATCCGTCGAGATCTGTAGCTCCGATTGAAGAGTTGCAAGTGCAATGCTAGGTACTGTGTATAACACTGTAAAAGAAGTTGCAAATCCAGCCACATAGTTAGATGGAAGTAAACAAACTGTCGATAACGGACATGCGCTAAATATAGCACTGCAGGCTTGCAGCCCCCAAGACTTATCATAGACAAACAATAAATTCCACGCATCGGGGTCCCACCAAATTCGGCCGCAGCTCGGCCTTGATCCAGTGCCTCTTTCGCAAAAGAAAAGGAAAAAGAAGAAATATCCGAATGCGCCACGCTGGGGCGAGTGGGACCTCTTAGCCAAAGAATCTGAGATCACCGAGAAGATCTTACCGAACTCACATTTCTGCCAATCATACCTGGAGTTCAAGTAAGGATCTAATATCCGAGAATTCATCCCACGCTGGACGGGGAATTAACTAACGAGTGTGTGTGGCTATCACGACGATCAAAGCTGTCGTGGAAATAACCTCTCTCCGACCTCCCAGACTGGATGAGTGCAAGCCTCGACGTGGGACGAAAACGTGATCTATCACCTCTTAGCGCTTCTTGACAGACTAGAGCCTTGGCCTCGCGCATAGCACAATGCAGTGATGCACTCTTCAGCCGTACTTCTCCAGCTCTCAGCACGGTCCTCGGTAGCGAAAACCAATCCTACGTCGCATATCAACGAAAATCCGAGTGGATTTAGCCTGGCCGATCTGCCTAATCGGGTATAGGGTAAGATGTTCTTGGCTCGATAGTGTGCGATTTCAATGGGGTTTTATTGATTTGCTCCCCCCTTCGTGGTGGATGCATGCCACGTGTACCTCGGAGTTCTGAGGTGATTGTGCTTTGCAAGTACAATGCGGACTAGATGCAGTGTGTCTACTGTCTAGGCTCCGATATTCCCCTAGACGGTGAAACAACGTATCTTGTTGCCTGGAGGGTATGTAGGGCTGGGCCAGATTAGCCACATCGTACCAGATCATCCGTTAGTGTATGATAGTAGGTAGAGAAATAACGATCACCGCGGTAAAGGGGGATAATTGGGGAGTTGAAAGGGATTTGACGGCTTTCCATGGAGTCGGGTCTCCTGTGGCGGTGCTGAAAAGCTCGGTTCGAATCTACTCCGTAATAGTCGGCTATCACATCTGGGCAGCTGTATCTCCCCCTATCACGTTCCGTTGCTCAATGGCATCAATTGTGAAGAGATGAATACACAGAGCTCGCTCAGTTCAGATTGATTGAACATTAACAAGCTAAATTGATCTCTAGAGCAATGGTAACTATAGCCAGAACTAACTAGGACCACGACTGGGATCGCCTCGGACTTCTTATCGTACGTCACTGATCTTCGATCGACATCGGAGCTCGCGATCTCCTCTTGTCCTTCCGTTTTCCGCTTCCTTTTGTTGGCTTTTTTTTAACATGACGGAAATATGTCAAAAGTTATACATCGTGTAGTAACGATAAAAACCAACGTAATGGTAAAATAAACAATGCCATTTCCGTAAAAAACCGGACCCAGCCACACTTCCCCTTGACGCAAGCGGCTGGGGAACGTGAGCTGTGTACTGCGTACTTTCGGTCCACTCTTCTCCTCTTCATTCTTAATTTCTTCCTTTCTTTTAATTGTAACTCCATACCTGAGTCCTACACACCAGGTTCACTAATATTGACAGTGCCATATACCCGGTACGTTACTCAGGTGTGGTATCTGCAGGTCAGCATTCTTCCCCTCACCAACCCCCAGACTATCCATACATGGGTGTTATCTGACCTCCCTTCAGCCGGTCCTTTTCCACCTTCGCAAATCCACCGACCTGGACACAGCACCAAACCGGCGACATGGCGTCCGCCGACGCGGAGAAGACTGAGATGAAGATAGAGGGGAGCATTGAAGCCGCGGAACAGTTGCAGAAAGACCCCGAGTCCCACGTCAACCCACAAGTGGTCGAAGAGAAGGTTGTCGAAGATGCACAAAAGGCCGGCGCTGCTGCATATCAATTCGACCCTGATGCTTCACCAGAAGATAAGGCCAATGCCGCCAAAGGGGTGCGTGTGCGCTGAGTTACATTGGGCGCGATCTGCCATACTAACTGTTCAATGTTGTAGCGATTGCCGCCCGATTTCCACCATCCCCATAAACCAGCGGGTGTTGCTGTAATTTCAGATCAAGTGAGACATCCAGAGATTTCTCCATGCGCCTGCGATCTGAAAGCTAATCCGACCTAGACCGATGGCAAAGCAGACTATGACCTCCCCGCGCCGGAATCGGCGAATGCCATTATGGCTGAGGAAGCGACGCGAAAGAGTGAGGGTGAGCCCATTGACGAAGATCTTCGATGGGACCGCAACCGAACCGGTTGGGCTCCCAAGTTTGTTGACGATAAGCTGGCAAGTTTGGGCGATGAGGGCACATTACTGGATCATGAGACGTTCTTGGAGGGGAGACTCCCTGACAAGTTCTTTGGCGATTGGTACCACAATGCTGCCGTCATTGTGTTCGCCTGCCTGGCTTCATGGATCATTGCCGTGCTAGGTGGTGGCATTGGCTGGGTTCTTATGATCATGGCAGCATGCAGCACCTACTACCGCACCTCCATTCGACGGGTGCGCCGCAACTTCCGCGACGATGTCAGTCGCGAGATGTCCAAGCAGCGCCTCGAGACCGACACTGAGAGTCTTGAGTGGATTAACAGCTTCCTCGTCAAGTTCTGGCCTATCTACGCCCCGGTCCTGTGCGACACTATTATCAACACCGTCGATCAGGTTCTCAGTACCTCTACTCCCGCATTCTTGGATAGCTTGCGCCTCAAGACCTTCATCCTCGGTACCAAGCCTCCTCGCCTGGAGCACGTCAAGACCTACCCCAAAACTGACCCCGATACCGTCATCATGGACTGGAAGTTCAGCTTCACCCCCAACGATGTCATGGATTTGACTGCGCGCCAGACAAAGGACAAGATCAACCCCAAAATCGTCCTCGAGGTTCGTGTCGGTAAAGGTGTCGTGAGTAAGGGTCTCGACGTCATTGTCGAGGATATGGCTTGCTCGGGCTTGATGCGTGTCAAGGTCAAGCTTCAGATTCCGTTCCCCCATATCGAGCGAGTGGACGTCTGCTTCCTGGAGAAGCCCGAACTCGACTATGTCTGCAAGCCCCTTGGTGGTGATCACCTTGGATTCGATATCAACTTCATCCCCGGTCTCGAGTCGTTTATCAAGGAGATGATTCACGCCAACCTGCAGCCCATGATGTACGATCCAAATGTGTTCCCGATTGAGATCGCCAAGATGCTTGCTGGAAACCCCGTTGATCAGGCCATTGGTGTCGTCGCGATTACTCTGCACGGTGCTACGCAACTCAAAAACCCCGATAAATTCTCTGGTACCCCCGATCCCTACGCTGTCGTGTCTTTGAACAATCGCAACGAGCTCGGCCGCACGAAGATCATTCACGATACCGATAGCCCACGCTGGAATGAGACAATCTACGTTATTATCAACTCCTTCAGTGATGCCTTGTCTATTGCTGCGTACGACTGGAACGAGTACCGCAAGGACAAGGAAATGGGCGTTGCTAGCTTCGCATTGGATAAACTTGAGCAGGAGCCTTCACACGAGGGTATCTATCTGGAAGTGCAGGCCAGTGGTCGCCACCGTGGTGCCATCCAAGCCGACATTCGCTTCTTCCCGGTTCTCGAGGGACGTAAGAACGAGGCTGGCGAGGAAGAACCCGCGCCTGAACTCAACACCGGTATCGCCCAGTTCACTGTGGAGCAGGCCAAGGACCTCGACGGAAGCAAGAGTCTGGTTGGCAAGTTGAACCCCTACGGTGTTCTGCTTCTCAACGGAAAGGAGATCCACATCACGAACAAGCTCAAGCGCACCAACAACCCTATCTTCCAGAATGCCTCCAAGGAATTCCTCGTCACCGATCGTAAGAACGCCCGTTTGGGTCTCATTCTCAAGGACGACCGCGACATCATGCAGGATCCCATCATCGGCCGCTACCAGATCAAGATGAACGATATGATAAAGATGATGGAACGTGGCCAGCAATGGTTCCACCTCCACGGTGCTAAGGAGGGACGTGTCAAGTTGACTCTCCATTGGAAGCCCGTTGCTCTGGGAGGCATTGGTAGCGCTGGTTATATCGACCCCATCGGTGTTATGCGCTTCCACTTCAAGCGTGCCACTAACCTGCGCAACCTGGAGGCTATGGGCAAGTCTGACCCTTATGCGCGTGTGCTGCTTTCCGGTGTGACCCGTGGACGCACTGTTACTTTCCGTAACAACCTCAATCCCGAGTGGGATGAGATCGTCTACGTGCCTATCCGCAGCCTACGCGAGAAGGTGACTGTAGAGGTCATGGACGAGGAGACCATCAACAAGGACCGAACCCTTGGATGGGCCGACCTCAATGCCTCCGACTTTGTCCGCCAGACGGAGTCCGGTGAATTTGAGATTGATGACGAGAAGCAGGATATTGTTAGCGGCTTGAAGATAAGCGGCGGCTCTCAAAAGGGAGAGCTCCACTACACCGTTGCCTTCTACCCAGTCGTGCCGGTCGTCAACCCTGAGGACGAGGTTGAGGAGGAGGAGGAGGATGCCGAAGTCCCGGCTAGCCCGGGCCCTGATTCCACTGAGTTCCGCCAGAGCCTCGACTCCAAGCCTAAGACCCTGCACTCGAAGAACGCTAGCGTTGACTCCAAGGCCTCGAAAGTCTCCAGGACTGTGTCTAACGGCGCTGCTCCCGTCACCAACGGCACCACCAATGGCGAGACGGCTGCTAACGGCCGTGCCAGTCTTGAGACCACTGTATCTCGTCCCATGACAGCCGAGACCTCGTCTATTCGGTCAGTCAAGTCCATCCCCCGCACTTTCATCGCTGCGGAGGATCTTGAGAAATATGGTATGTGTAGCTTCCCTTCCTACCTGCAATGTTTTCAAGGCTAATTGTTTCCTAGGGTCCGGTTTCATTGTGTTCAAATTCCACGAGGGCCAGCTGGCTGTTCCCCATGTCCAGTTGGAGGTCTTGATGGATGACTACATGTTCCCCTCATATGTCTCCGGCAAGATCCACACCACGACCGCGAAGTTCACCGACGTTGGCGAGGCCTTCGTCCGAGAGCTTGAGTTCTCTAAGATCACCTTGCGTCTGGTCCACAAGGATGACCCCAAGGACTCAAGCGAGGAACACACCGTCGCCAAGCTAACTGGTGACACGCTACCCACGCTGATGCGCATGCTGTACACGCCCACCGAGCTTGTCCTCCGCTCCAACACTGGCGAAGTCAGCAAGGTCACTGTCAGCGCCCGGTACATCCCGACCAGAATGGTGCTTGACCCAATGGAGAGCATCAACAACATGGGTACCCTGCGTGTGGACGTTCACGATGCCGCCGAGCTGCCCGCTGCGGACCGCAACGGCTTCAGCGATCCTTACTGCAAGTTCCGTCTGGGCGACGAGACCGTGCACAAGACCAAGGTCCAGAAGAAGACCCTGCACCCGGCGTGGAACGAGTTCTTCGAGGTTCCTATCAAGTCTCGCATCGGTGCCAACTTCCACGTTGACGTGTACGACTGGGACTTTGGTGACAAGGCTGACTGGCTTGGTGCCACGCGCATTGACTTGGAGGCTTTGGAGCCCTTCCAGGCCAAGGAAGTCAATCTGCCGCTGGATGGCAAATCAGGTGTCATTCGTCTGAGCCTGCTCTTCAAGCCCACCTACGTAATGCGCGCCCGCCAAGGCTCCTCTACCTTCTCTGGTACCTTTGCGGTCCCCGGCAAGATCGTCGGCGCTCCTGTCAAGGGCGTCGGCTTTGTCGGTGGGAATGTCGTCCGCGGCGCCTCTTTCGTCAAGCACGGCCTCATGTCGCGGTTCTCCAAGGACAAGGGCGAAGACCCCAACGCCATCATGAACAGCATTGATGAGGCGGAGCCCATCAAGAGCGATCGTCTCACCTCCTGCCGCCTCCCTCGTCGAAGGCCCCAGCGGCTCCTCCTCGCCCAACACCCCGCAGAAGGAACACAGCCGGAACCGCAGCACCGCCTCACAATTCGGCGACCGCCTAAGCATCCTCGGTGGCGCTGGCGGGGGAGACAGGGGCTCGGCGAACATCACCGTCGTCTCCGCCGCCAACTTCCCCACCTCCGCCAACCTGCGCGTCATCATCCGCGTGCAGGGTGCCAAGGGCGCCAAGGAGGTCCACAAGACCAAGGCTCACAAGAACTCCTCCGGCACCGTCACCTACGACGACTCCTTCCGGGTGCCGAATATCACGGCGGACACGCAGTACCAGGTCCGCGTCGTCGACCACTCCACTTTCGGCTCTGACGATGTCCTCGGCGAGGCGCCGTTCTTCGTCGATGACCAAGGTTCCGTTGCCGGACAGGATAAGGTTGTTGCCGTTGGCGATGGCTCCGTTACTATTCGGTCGAACTTTGCGGTCTCCGATGGGGGTCTGCGACCTACGACATCGCATTCGACGGCGGGCCTGGATGCCGAGGGTGGCGATAGCCCGGATTCTCGGAAGCCCCGTCGCAGCTTCTTGAGCAAGCGGTCTGTTAGCGGTGTCTAATGGTCTACGTGATGCTTTGTTTTCTTCATTTTTAAACGTCTTGGCTTCTACTGGGTCTGGTTTGAAGCGTGCATGAAAATATGAAATGCTTTCGATTGTTTATTAACGGTTTGTCGGTTTATTGTTGATATCCTTTTCTTTTCGAGTTATCAATGGGATTGTTCGTTGGTATCTATTACAGAGTGTAGGCTGTGAGTAGATTGAAAGCTATTCGGGATAGCACAGCGAACAGAATAAACAGAATCCAAGACTCAACTACTTTGTATTGTCTCAGTTAGGAATTTTCAAGGGGTTCGGATGAGTACACTCCGTATATACCTAGTGGTCGGCCATTTCAGCCATTTCAGTCATTTCAGCCCTAGAATCCATCCCATCCGGAGTATGTCTGCGTACATGGCATTCCCCTGACAGCTCGAAATTTCACCCGACAGTTCCCGCAACTCTGTGCACAGCCCAGGATCTGCAGATGCTTGGACCTTGTATTTTTGGCTATCTAATCTGTTTGATAGGAATGGCATAACTAAGTAGTATTGTGTTAGTTATCTAGTACATGGATTGGTCTGGAAATATGTATTAAGGATAGCCCTTCTACACAGTAAGTCCTTATCGCATCCTCGACTCACAGGGTATTTTTAGTAAAAAATTCCGTCATTTACGTAGGAAGTTGGCAGTGTGGAGTCGATAATTTGCGGCGTCCCACTTGGACCGGAGTGTGGAAATAGCGAATAGGAGGGTAGTCTAGATTGCTGTCCATTTGAGATACGGAGTACGGAGTAGAGTAGGGAAGGGAATTGGAATATGTGAGATGTTCTATTCCTGCATTCTACATTTTTCAATTATGTGTAGTACGTGTAGTGTAGTACTACTGTCTATTTACTGTGTACATGGTACTACCAAGTAGTCAGGTGAACATTCTATTCTAAATGGAATATTCAACTGGACTGGTAGTAAATAGCCTAAAAGAGTACAACCTTAGCTCCCGAGCTTCCATGGTTGACGATGATGTAAGGGGGGAAGAGGTCACTTAAGTACCTACCTAGAGAGTACTACGGAGTACACAATAGCCTCACAGTACTACTAGTAGAATCAATTGTAACCATAATTCGAACGTGCTAGTTAATATAACACAGCTAACTAGAGTCACAGCTTCATAGAGGAATACGTAAATCGCGGGTCCCCCCACCCCCCTATGATCGTCCTCCCTTTTTTTCCTTGATTCTTATAACAACTCAACTCCCTCTGGTATTTCCTACTCCCCTTCTTTCTGGTTCACTCTTATATTTGGACCTTGGATCTGGTGAGTTTGTACCCGTTGCTTTGCCAATGACGGCAGCTTGACATGCAATGCGATCGACAGTGGCAATTTAGCCCCTCCTTTTCTTGCTTGGACCTTTGAATTCTGGCCTTGCAAGAACTGACCAGCTTAAAACCACTGGCACCTCCCCTCTTCTGAATCATTGACTTCTCAATTGACTTCTTCCACTAATTGCAATCTCCCAGTCTTTCTACCACGATACCCTTATAACTCATAATAACTCATAATGACCTCCAAGGCTCTTCCTGCTCACTTGCGAGCCCCCGCTGATGGGGAGGCTTTTGGTGGAAAACACCATGGCAAGTCTCAGTCACACATGGTAAGTGTCAAGAGCTTCGTTCTTTCTGCTTTGGGAAGCTTCTGTTTTCCATTCGTGCCTTCCATAAACACGCGCGACCTCCTTCCTCATTCCCTCTTCTTTATTTTCCCCCCCCAACATTTATATCCTCTACTGTCTCCTCAAACCTTCTCTCATTCCCATCCCCAATCTCTTCTCCTCTCTCGCCATGTCTCTGTTACCCCCATTTGGCCCCGAGCTGACCCGTTTCACCTCCCACCAGGCTTTCGAGAATGCCTCCACTAGCGTCGCCGCTTCACAAATGCGCAATGCCCTCAATGCCCTGGGCGACACCGTCACCGACCCCAAGGAGAAGAAGCGTTTCGAGGCTGAGATGGACAACTTCTTCGCCCTCTTCCGCCGCTTCTTGAACGACAAGGCCAAGGGTAACGCCGTCAACTGGGACCGCATCGCCCCTCCCCAGCCTTCGCAGGTCGTCGGCTACGACGATCTCGGTGCCGATGCCTCCGTCGAGTTCCTGAACAAGCTGGCCGTCGTCAAGCTGAATGGCGGTCTGGGTACCTCCATGGGCTGCGTGGGTCCCAAGTCCGTCATCGAGGTCCGCGAGGGCATGTCCTTCCTCGATCTTTCCGTGCGCCAGATCGAGCACCTCAACCGCACCTTCAACGTCAACGTCCCCTTCGTCCTCATGAACTCCTTCAACACCGATCAGGATACTCAGTCCATCATCAAGAAGTACGAGGGCCACAATGTCGACATCATCACCTTCAACCAGTCGCGCTACCCCCGTATCATCAAGGACTCGCTCCTGCCCGCCCCCAAGAGCTTCGACTCTCCCCTCCAGGACTGGTACCCTCCCGGTCACGGTGACGTGTTCGAGTCGCTGTACAACTCCGGCACTCTCGACAAGCTCATCGAGCGTGGCATCGAGTACATCTTCTTGTCCAACGCCGACAACCTCGGTGCCGTCGTCGATCTCCGCATCTTGCAGCACATGGTGGACTCCCAGGCCGAATACATCATGGAGTTGACCGATAAGACCAAGGCTGACGTGAAGGGTGGTACCATCATCGACTCCGATGGCAAGGTCCGCCTGCTGGAGATCGCCCAGGTGCCCAAGGAGCACGTCAACGAGTTCAAGTCTATTAAGAAGTTCAAGTACTTCAACACCAACAACATCTGGCTGAATGTCCAGGCCATCAAGCGCGTGGTTGAGGAGAACGAGCTGGAGATGGAGATCATCCCCAATGAGAAGTCCATCCCCGCCGACAAGAAGGGAGAGGCCGATCAGGCTATCTACCAGCTGGAGACCGCCGTCGGTGCGGCCATCCGTCACTTCAAGAACGCCCACGGTGTCAACGTGCCCCGTCGCCGCTTCTTGCCTGTCAAGACCTGCTCTGACCTGATGGTGGTCAAGTCGGACCTGTACCGTCTTGAGCATGGCCAGTTGGTCATGGACCCCAACCGGTTCGGTGGTGTTCCCGTTATCAAGCTCGGTTCGGACTTCAAGAAGGTGTCTGACTTCCAGAAGCGCATTGCCAGTATTCCTCGCATTGTTGAGCTGGATCACCTTACCGTTACCGGTCCTGTGAACCTGGGTCGCAACGTCACTCTGAAGGGAACTGTCATTATTGTGGCTACCGAGGGCAGCACCATTGATATTCCTCCTGGATCCGTGCTGGAGAACTGCGTTGTGCAGGGTAGCCTGAGAATCTTGGAGCACTAGATTTCTCGTGTTGTTTTTCTTTTGGTTTTGGTTAACTGGTGCATCCGAGGCTATGGATTCATGGAGTATGCGAAGTATTTGTATTACATTACAATAATCCAGCGTCTTTTCTTCTGCTTGTGTGTAGAGTATTACTGTAGTGATAGTAGAGATACTTGTACCTGAGACTAGGTAGGGACGTGGTATAGACTCCCGACTATAGTACCTGAGAGGTACCCGGTTATAGCTCGGTTCCTTCTCCCGCACTGTTCAATAACGATATTTCCACCTCTATTCCCTGACCTCGCCTGAATGATCCCCAACCCTCCAGCCACCAGTGACAAACTCATGATAGGCGGGTACCAGTTCCCCCATGATCTCTACTCAACGTCATTCGCAGGCAAAACGAAAGTCGCCATAAGCGGCAATCTCATCACATCACATTGGCCATGTCCGTCCAACTCTCTCTCTCACGAACTATTGGGCTCTGGCTTATACTTCTTTCTCACGATGTCTTGATCTCCCTGGAAACAGTCACTTATCTTTTTGTTTTGTGTATATTGGGATTATAGTACATATCTTTTCCCTTGTATATCTTCTTACTTCTTTATATACACCTTCTTTTACACTTTTTACACCCTCTTTTATATACTCTACCCTCTTTTACATATTGCCCTGTCTTGTTCATACATTCAATCTTATACATACGCACTCCAGCCCTGAAGTGGATGGAGAACATGAGTGAGAAATACCGTCAGCTCGGATCTGCTTCCTCTTCAAACCATGAATGGGTGGAACGTGACACCCGATCTGAAAATGGGAGTCTAGGTACAGAGGGGAAGGGAGAGACATGGAAGAAGAGGGTATCGACTGCTTGTTTGGCTTGTAAGAAGTCGAAGAGGAAGGTTAGTTTATTTTTCACACCCATACCCACACCTATACCTACATCCACATCTATCTTGACATGATATGATATGATATGATACTGATGAAACAAGTGCTCCGGTACATCCCCCTGCCTAAACTGCCAAACCTTCAAAAGAGTCTGCATATTCGACGAATCCCTCGACCAACGACGGCGAGTCGCCGCAAAACGCACAGCCGACGAACTCTCCTACCACCGCGACCTTTTATCCGATCTCTTCCGCCTAATCCGCGAAGCAAACGAGTCTTCCGCTTTATACCTGCTAACCATAATCCGGCACAATGCACCAGCCGATGAGATCCGCGCCTACATCAACGAGACTTTGGCGGAGCTAACATCCCCTTCGGCTCGATCGAAGTCGGAAACAGAGTCCAAGCAGACTCAAAAAGCAGTTGCGGAGCTGGAGAATATGAAGCACATCATAAATGTTGAAGGGTCGAGTCCGACTTTCAGGAGTAAGGTTATGGATATTCATTTCCTTTGTGATGAGGCGCCGGTCCAGGTGCCGGCGAAGCCTTGGACGAGTGTCACCGCGGATGGGGAGTTGGTGTCTCATCTTGTTTCGCTTTATTTTGCCTGGGATTGGCCTTTTAGTGCGTTTTTGGATATGGGGGTTTTTGTTAAGCATATGCAGAGGGGGGTGGTTGGGAGTGAGTTTTGTAGTCCTTTTTTGGTGAATGCTGTGCTAAGCAATGCTTGTGTGAGTGTTCTTTCGATGGGATTTGAGTGGTGTGCTAATTGTTTAGTACTTCTCTGAATTCTCGGAAGCTTATGTCGTTCCTGGTGATGTTTCCTCCAAGGGGAGGGATTTCCTTGCAGAGGCGGAAAGATTGAAGGACGAGGCGCCGTCGCAGCCTAGTCTGGCTGGCTTACAGGGGACCTTGTTGATGTATGAGAGGTTTGTATACTTCATATCTACTATTCTGGTGGCTGGTGGCTGACAAGACAGATATGCAATGTCCCGCGAAGACGACCGCGGCTATATCATGCTGCACCAGGCCATCCACATGGGCGAGGCTCTAGGTCTCGTCGGCAGTACAGGTCCCAGAATGGCCTCGACCGAACTCTCCCAGGACATGGACATCTCCTGTCGGCGCACTGCCTGGGGTCTCTTCAACGTCGATACGTACGTATACCAGTCTAGGTCGATGGAACTCACCGCTCACAGCCACCAGGACGGTCCACACAAGCTTCCTCCGTCCGAGTCTCATCAACAACGTTAACATGGCGCGTATCGGCCTCAACCCAGCCGAGGACCATGCCCTCTGGCGACCATACCCGACCCACCGTGACCCGCGCCCGTCCTTCTTCAGCCAGTTCTTCGACGAAGCCTGCAACTTGTCGACAATCGCCCGCGATATCTCGCGTAGTATGTTCGCCAGCCACCGGGGCAGCAATGCCCTAAGTCCAATCCAGCGCCAGAGTCGCGAGGACTTGTACGACCGTATCCGTCGCTGGCACGATCTTCTCCCGGAGGACTTTGATGTCCGATACAGACCGGCTCCGCATATCATTTTACTAAAGTGAGTAACATCCACTCCTCCCTACCTTCCCATCCACTAATCAGCAAGAATGCGCTACCACTCCCTCATCATCAACCTCTTCAGCTGCATCTCCGAAGACGAAGTCGGCCCAACCTCCTTCGAACCCCAAACCCCCGAAAGCCCACCCCGCCACACCCCAGAAGCAAAATACAATGCCCGACAAGTCACGCAAACCGCCGCGCGCAGCATCGCCGCCCTAACCCGTCTTCACCGACGCGAGTTCGGCGTCAACCGCGCCCACCAGTTCGCCATGTACGCGATCAATCTGGCGCTGTTTACGCTGCTGGAGTCTGAGGCCTTCGATGTCCTCGACGAGGACTTCCTCACGCTCGCGAGCGCGTTCTCGGTCATTGCGAGTCGGTCTGGGCTTGGGCGGAATTTGTTCCATCTTTTCCGGCAGTCGGTCAGGGCGAAGGCGCAGGGGAGTCGCATAAGGGGGGCGACTGCTGTTCCGGATGAGTTGAGGGATTTGTTTGATGAGGGGTCGAGGGCTAGGGGGTGTTCAAGGTTTGATGAGTATGCCGAGGGGTTGGAGAAGTTGAATCAGAAGGATAAGTATCATGGGATTAGTGGTGGGGAGGAGGGGTTGCAGGATTGTCCTGGGCTTGGGCTTTCTGATATGTTGGATCGATATGAGAGTCTGAGCCTTGGGAAGGACGATGTTTTGGTGGAGAGGTATCGTCCTGGGTGTTGAGGGTGGTGTGGAGACAAGATCATATATGCTGGTAGATCGTCGTCATCTTTCAGGGTTATCTGGTTGAAGGCGCTATTTTGGACCGTGGCGTATGGCAGCCATGGTGAGGGCTGGACGAACACATGGGCTTGGGGATTTGTTGTGGAGATGGCTGATAGCAGATGACACGATCGACGTCATAGACCCAACAGTGGCAATCTCCACATTGGAGATCTGAACATTCAAAGAAGAAGAAAAGAGAAGAAGAACAGTCAAAAGAAGAGCGAAAAGACGAAAGAAAAGAAATCAAACGACAAAAAGAAAAAGAAAAGAAGAAAAAAACAAAGCACAAAAGTGATCACGTGCCGGAGTGGAGACCTTGGTCCCCGCCCTTCTCCATCTTTAAGTCTTGGACTCTTGAAATATCTTGGAATAGAACATTTTACTCTCTCTTTCTGCTCTGTATTCCGTACATACCCCCATGTTAACATGGATCCCTCACAGAGGAATCAAGATGATCCTCTAGTGACCTACGACTGGAGATCATTAACCACTCCGCCTATACAACACCCTTATCCAACACCATTACCCTTCTCACCAGGTGTCCCAACCCAGGTCCACTCTGGACCAGCATCCACAGCGGGCTCAACAACCACTCCAGCTCCAAAAGTAGCCATCCCCCGTCTAGCAGGCTCCGATGCCACGCTACACGGACGCAGACGCTCAGCCCGCGCCTGCGAGCCCTGTCGACAACGTAAGATCAAATGCGACGGGATGCGGCCTCAATGCGGCCAATGCGTATATAACAACCAAACCTGTTCCTACGAGGATGTGAAACGAGTGCGCGACCAGAAACGACTCCGTTCTCTGTCCAAGCGCGTCGATGCATACGAGGCGCTCTTGCGTGACCTCGAGGCCGAGGTGGATGTACCTACGGCGAAAAAGATCCGAAAAGCGATGAAGGTGAGTCGATTGGAGGTTCCACCTGAGCCTGTTTCGCGGGCGACTGACCTTTTTTGTCCCATGGGCAAGTGAAGCCGAAAAGCGGGAAGCCGCCGAAACCCGATGGAGAGGAGTCCGATGACTCGTCCACTTCGATGGGCTCACTCGATGCGATTGATCAGGTGGATGAGGATTTGAATCGGAATGAGGGGACGCGCGCGGCTGGTTTCTTTGGCAAGAACTCGGAGGTCAATTGGATTCGCAAGTTGGAGAGTGGTGTGCGCATGCAGAGTCCTGAACGGCCCGGGGCGCCGAACCCGTTTCATTTGGAGAGTGAGAGTGATCCGGAGTGGATTCAGAAGCAGCAATCGCTGGAACGGCAGATTCCGACTTCCATGATGGATTATCATCTCGATGGGGTGGCGATTCCCTTGATTGAACCGTGTGATGTCTTGGCTGTGCCTCCGCGCGAGCTCGCGGATCGATATTTCGACGCGTACTTGGTCAACGTGCATCCGACGTTCAGCGCTATTCGGAAGATGATCTTCATCTCGCAGTATCAGCAGTTCTTCAATAATTCCTCCACTCCAACGAGGAAATGGCTGGCGGTTCTGAACATGATTTTCGCTATTGGCTGTCGCTACTGTCGGCTTATCGATGGGCCTCAGGCCGACGATGAGGACGATTTGCTATACCTGACTCGGGCTCGCCACCTCGGACTACACAGTAATGTTCTTTTCGAACATACCGATCTTCAGCAGATCCAACTCGAGCTTCTAGTCGCTATCTACCTCCTCTGTCTAGGGCAGGTCAACAGGTACGCCCCCCCACCTCCGATTCACATCATTCCCACCTAACACAAGCAGAGCATCCAAATTCTCCAACATGGCCCTCCGCTCCGCCCTCTCCCTGGGAATCAACCTCCGCCTAACAGACGACCGCACCAAAGACGCCGCCAAAGAAAGCCGCAGCCGTCTCTGGTGGTCCATCTACTCCCTCGAACATCTCCTAGCCTCGATGACCGGCCGCGCCTCCTGCGTCGGCGAAGGCCTCTGCTCCGTCCCCGCCCCTCTCCCCTGCGAAGAGGAAACCTTCGACCACCCAGATGCCAAGCGTCTCCTCCAAGACCCCGCCCTCCGCGAATCCCAACTCCGCTCCACCCTCTTCGAACCCCCGTCCCACTACCAAACCCAAGCCTGGGTAACCTCCTGTCCACCCTGTCCATCCCTCTTCTTCCACCTCCTCGTCGACCTAACCCTCATAACACACGCCCTCGTAAACAGAGTCTACAGCATCGAAGGACTCCGCAAAGGCGCCTCCCAAACCGAATACCACGTCCAAAAATTCAGTCTAAAAATGGACCGCTGGCTGGCCAAATTACCCCTCCCCCTACCAATTCACCATCCCAAACACAACCCAATGGAATCTAAACCACACCCACCTCTCCACAACCTCCGCCCCCTTCGTCCGCGAACGAGTTTGTCTAGCCCTAACCTACTTCTCAGCCCGCATAACCCTCTACAGACCCTGTCTAACCCACATGGAACAAGCCCAATCCACCCCAACCAACCCAGAAACATCCCCTCACTCCCAACTCCGCGCCGAAATGGCCACAAACTGCCTCCAAGCCTCGTGCTCCCTAATCTCCGTCTTACCAGACACACCCAACATGACCTGGCTAGCCCGCACAGCACCATGGTGGAGCGTCCTACACTTCCTAATGCAAGCAACCACAGCCCTATTACTCGGTCTGGCATTTTCTTCTCACGCGCGTGCCGCGCAGAGTAATGGGAATGGTGACCAGAGTCAATCGCTGCTTACCCCGCCTGCGGCCAGCGTTTATAAGCCGCTCGAGACGGATTTGGGGACTGTTATGCTCGCCGCTAAGAAGGCGTTTACTTGGTTGCATTTGTTGGCTAAGGTCGATTTGGCGGCGAAGAGGGCGTTTCTGCTTTGTCATGGGATTGCGAAGAGGATTTTGCCCGGTTTGGGGGGTTGATATGGCGGATTGGCCTGATGCGGAGGGGTTTAGGGATCATGGGAATGGGGATGGGGATGGGGATCGGGATGGGGATCGGGATCGGGATGGTAGTGGAAATGGGAGTGTGGATGGAGGGCTGATGGAGGGGAATGGGGAGAGTAATGATAGTAATGGGAGTGGGACTGGGATGGAGGCTTTTGAGGGGTTGGTTGATTTTGATGGAGGTGTTTTTTAGTTTATCTCTTGTTCTGGGTGTTAAGCGAATTGATGTCTATAGTCATGTCCCTTACCTAGGTTACCTATGAAAATACGAGAATATGATTGATGAAAAGTCGGTGTTGGTATCTCATAGGTACCTAGAGTGGATGGATGACTGATTTCTACCTACAGTAGGTACGGAAGGACTGGATTGACTGAATTTAGACCGCGTGATTGCAAACAAGATGGAAATTAGAGTATGTACTCGGAATTAGATATATAAGAAACAAAGAAAGAAATCACAGGCTAAGTGAACAATAGACGCAACATTGAAATGCCTATGCCAATGACACGAAAAACACGGAACGCCAACCTTCGAAAACATTGATACCAGAAACTCATAGACGTAGAACAATAAATCGATAAACACCGTTCTTTCGGATGGAACAAAGTACATCACAAATGACCGAGGTTTGCAGTGCAGCACATAAGATAAAAAGAGAATCACCACCCACTAGGTAGGTTGGGGCTGCATCTGGATCTGAAATGTATGCTGGTGCTCATGCTGCGGGGCAGGTGGTGGAGGAGCCTGGCTGCGTTGAGGAATTGGTGCTCGGCGCTGTTGTCCTGGCATCCCGTGGACGGGAGACTCAGACATCGGGTGCTGCATCTGTTGCTGCATAGGTGATTGGAGATATGGCTGGTGAGGGGGAGGTCGCGAAGGATGGACAGGAGAATGATGGTGCATTTGCATGTGTGGCATGGCAAGCGGCTGGCCCGCCTGCTGCGGCAGAGACTGACTGTGGGGCAGGTGGCCAGACTGAGACATGTGTGGGTTCTGCTGCTGGTGCATGTCCTGGACCTGCGGCTGGCCAAGGTGCTGGCCGGGCTGCGGTTGGGAAGGCTGACCTGGCTGGAACATGTGCATGTTCTGCTGCTGCTGAGGCAAAGACTGGCCTTGATGCATCTGTGGTGGGGTTGGACAGGGCCGTTTGCGCGACTCCTCATCTATCGTAGAGGTGGCATGTTTCAGTGTGCTCGTTGTATCTGTGCCTTCAGCCAACTGGGAGTTAATCTCTGTCTGTGTCTGGTCCCCGGCGGCGGCGGCAGCAGCAGCAGCCGCAGCCGCAGCCGCAGCCGCCACATCAGCCTTGCGAGGCCTTCCACGTGGTCGACCGGTCCCAGGCGCCTTGGGTTTGGCCGAAGCTGGCTTCCGTGGTTTAGGCGGTGGTAAAGGCTGACCGGTTGCAGCAGCCCACGCAATCTGATCGGCCTTACGAGGACGTCCACGTTTCCGCTTCAAAGGAGTTCCATCTGGTCCGATAATAGGTGTTCCTTTGGTGGTGGTCGCTACTGATCCTGGTGCAGTTGGTGTCATGTTTGCCGTGAATGAAGCCTGTCCCGACTGGGGTGCTCCTGGGATAGGTTCGCCATTTTGGGCAGCCTGCGCAGCCTGTGCAGCAAGCCTAGCTGCGACTTCCTCCTTCCGAGGGCGTCCCCGACGACGCTTAGGAGGCGGAGTAGCAACTGCATCACCCCCAGCTGCGGCCACAGCGGGCATCTGCACCTGCCCATTGGTCTGGGTGGGCATTGGATTAGAAGCCGGCATAGGAATGTTTAGTTGAGGCTGAACATGAGCTTGCGGCTGAGTCTGGACCTGAGCAGGGGGTTGAGGCATAGCCGGAGCGGGGGCCGGAGCTGCCTTCTTAGGTTTGGCCTTCTTCTTTTGCGCAGAGCTCGACTCGTCGACCTTCATGGTTGGGCTTTCAGCAACCATAGGAGTAGGAGCAACTGGTGCCGCTGGCTGTGATGAAGGCAAGGCAGCCGACTGCGTTCCTGGCTGGTAACGTTGGAACTGAGTGTGGTGCGGCTGTTGGAATTGTGTCTGCTGCTGCTGAGTGAATTGCGCCTGGTGAGCGGCATATTGATGCTGCGATTGAGCTGGATGTTGCTGATATTGGGAAGGATGGAACGGGGGCTGAGTATGCTGGGGGAAGGGTGCCTGTTGCTGATATGGGTTGTGTACTTGAGCTTGCTGCTGCAATTTTTGCAGCCTCTGCTGGTCCAATTGCTGCTGCTGCTGCTGCTGCTTCTGCTGTTCTATGCGCTGCTGATGCTGCTTCTGTTGCTCTAGGCGTTGTTGCTGTTGCTCCAACAGCTTCTGCTCTTCAAGCTTTTGCTGTTCTAGTTCCAGCTCCTTCTGTTGCTCCATGCGCTGCTGCTGCTCCATCCGTTGCTGTTCCATGCGTTGTTGGTGTTGTTGCTCCATGCGCTGTTGCTGAAGCTGTTTTTGATGCTCCATTCTTTGCTGCTGTTGGAACTGCTGCTGCTGGTGAATCTGATGTTGCAATTGTTGATGCGTCTGCTGCGGCGATTGCGGCTGTGACTGCGGTTGCTGCTGTCGCTGTTGATTCATGGCAAACATAGACGGGCTAGCCATGGAGGGACTGGCCGAAGTGTGGCTGTCGCCTTGCTGCATGCCTGCGTGAGGTAATCGATTCATGGCTTGCTGCGGCGATTGAACATTCATGGGATGCCCATGGGTCAGACCAGTGGTAGGACTAAGTCCTGGTTGCGGCCTGAGGTGGGCAATTGAATTATACCCACGGTGAAGATTTTGCAAAGCCATTGGATCTGGGTTGCGAGACATCAAACCTGGAGAGCTCTGCGCCGCAAACTGTCCAGGATATTGGCCAAAACTGCTGCTGGTGGGGTATCCACCTAATGACCCCGACGTCGGCGTCATTTTGCGCAGATCCGGAGACTGTGTCGCGGCAAAGTTCTGCTGCGGTTGTCCCCGGAAAATCGGCTTACCGCCCGGGAACGGGCTACCATGCTGGGGAAGGGTAGGCCCCGCGCCTAGCAAGGGCGACTGGGCATGCTGACGTTGAGGCTGTGGACCCAACGGATGTTGGGGTTGCACACCTTGATGTTGCTGCTGCTGCTGCTGTTGACCTTGCTGTGGCTGTTGAGGGTGGAATGGGTGACCACCGTAGTTCATCATTTTGACTCAATTTTAGTATTGCGCTGGGACTTGGCCGTAAGCGACAGACGATAAGAGTGATCCGATCCTTCAAGCGCGAGGCATGCAAGGGCTAGCACAGTCCAAAAATGATTGCAAGCTAGCTGCAAATGGAGAATGTGCACAACAGAAGGGGGGAATTTGCCCGGAACTGTCAGCGATGTCGCGCCAGCGCAGCTAATAATTCTATATGAAAGATCGCCACTTGAGTCGCGCCGAGGCCGCGTCGACGGGTGTTTGTTGTTCCCTGGTGGCCTGAGGCAACCAGGCAGAAAGGACAGCCAAGAGGGGTTCCCGAATTGGGCTTAGCGGCTACGGAGACCCAAGCGTGTCGGTCAGCGCAGTTTGAGAACTGAGTCGACGGTCGCGCTCTCCAAGAGATTCAGGGGGTTGACCAGCTGGGCTGATCCGAAGAGGCGGCGAAGGCGGTCCAAATCTATTTGCTGGAGTCCTGAGCGGATCAGACGGTCCAGCAAAAGTAGATTGGAGATGAAGTGGATGACACTGGGCTGGAATCCTCGATGGCGAGGGTAAAAAACATTTAAAAAATAAAATAAAAAATAAAAAATAAAAAAAGCGAAAAAAACGGAAATTTGAGATTCTCGTCTCCACATCACGTGAGCGGATCTGGGGAGAGCCACTCACACGGGGCTATTCTGCTGTCAGCTGATACACTTACCTTTAATGCACTCCTCAAGCTACGGCAGTTACGACTTACGAGGCTGATGCTTGGATCTTAGCAGTTTACACAACACGTTACAAACCTGAAACTCGCTCTTCAAGTGGTGTCTCATACTATCTAGGTCATTGGCTTATCTTCCGCAATCCTTGCAAAGCATGGGATCACACCACTCACAGGTACTACACAAAGTACGTGCTACCTGAAAAACTATGAGAGCACCTAGGTATCATGCTGCTTTCCAGCATCCCTGTCCTCCGCAACCTGCGGCAAGCTGGAGATCTGACAGGCAGGGCGCGCTGGAAAGCTTCCCGAAATTACCCCTTTGAGAGTGTCAATATTAACGATGATCCACAGCACAACCACAGATAAGGAGAGGATCTGCGCTAAATTAGCCGCGCTTTAATTAATGAGATTGTAGAACATGATCAGCCTCCTGTTCCGAGTACGTTGAAGAGTTCAGAAATGAGTTCTTTGTCAATTTGACAAGTACTGGTGCGCAAACACCCCCAGTGGGAAGGTGGACCCACCACCCGAGGTTGAAAGCAAAGCTTTACTGCGAGATCGAGGCAGCTACAAAGCAAAGCCAGATCAAATCAAATGCCCATAGAGTTACTCCAACCAAGACCAAGAAGCTGAGCGCATAGAAGATGGGACCTGAGTCTCGTTCATCTCGGTTTGGGGGAAAATACTCGCGGACACAGACCCAGTTTCAAGGTAAATCACCATCTCCATCCGCAAGGGGAAGCCCAATATTCCACAGGACCTAGCTGGTAATGACTGTCCACATCGTATACTGGGGGGCGGTTGAGGGAACGTACAGTTGAAAGTCAACTATAGCGCTCTCTGCTGTTATCACGAGACGATCGCATCAAAGACCCACAATCCCCAGGCAAGTAGCTCAGCCAAGAGCCTGATGCAGGAGCGCATACACTACAGATCAATTGATGGTGGTTGCAAGGCCCATGGATAAGGTACCGATGAATATCAACTGAACAGGGTGCTTGATCATCGCAAAGAAGATCTCATATACAAGGCGTATCGGAGGATTGAGAACACATACGGCGGTAAAGAGAAGCACATCAAAAAACTAAAACCAGGAAAGAAAGATAATAGAGCCTTATATCGTTGTACTGTCGATTGTAGAATAGAAGGAAACAATACCCGTAACCCGTGCCCATGGTGAGGGCCTGTCTCTCTGAACGGGAGTGAGGCAAGTTGCCAAAGGCATGAATCTGTCAAACCAATTACTACTTGACCGTCAGGCTGTCTGAAGCTCTGTTTTGAGCTCCTCCTCAGACTGGTTGGTATCTCTCTTGACAAGCTCTTTCGTAGCCATGATGGCACTTCGCAAACCCCTTTCTGGGATTCAGAACTCGGAGAACAGGCCCTAGAGCTAATGTCCCGAAAGGAATATTGCCTCGACATGGCTGGAGCATAGAATTGAGTGTAGTTATATTTGTAAAAGACAGGTTTCTGGGTTGGTTGGATCAATCTCTTGATATAGCGTCCTAATTAAGACTAGCGTGCCATATTACATCGGCTCCACCTTTTCATAGTCCCACCAGCAAATCTCACAGTACCAAGGATACTGCTCTAAACCTGCTGGAAATTGTTTACATGACTGCCATTCCACCTATTCAACGGGTGCAAACCACCTGGTCTCTATCCGAAGGCCCTGAGCTAGGCATAATGATCTGCACCTCCGACTATCAGCAGTTCCGGCACCATGATGTCCGGTTCTGCAAAAGCAAAAAGCAAAAAGATATGACAAGAGTGGGATTTGAACCCACGCCCCTTTCGAGACACGGAGACAGTTTAAATGAACCATCGGGATCAGGTTGACCTGAACCGTGCGCCTTAGACCAACTCGGCCATCTTGCCAATCAGATTAGAGATAAGCACCAAACTGGTATGGTAGAGGTAGTGTTAATGGCACAACCCCTCGAGGGTCAATCGGGTACATACTGTGTAGTGTGTACTATGGTCCTATGGAGTATGGAGTGGGTTCGGGCAGGTTCCAGGGTTTGGCTACATACAATGATCTAATCTACGAATGCTGGAAATCGGAATTCGCTACCACCTTATGGTATGTAGCGCCTATGCATCTACCTAGTCATCAATCATCAATACATATCGCCTTATAACGGACTCACGAGTTCTAACTTGCCTTCTAGGCTCTCTCGCCGCGCAAGAGGGTTCGTGTTCATTCTTCTTTATCCTTCCATGCCATGCCATACCGCCATGCTTGTGCCAGACTGAGATAAGTGAGATAAGTTCTAGCTCCTATGAGCATCGAGTAGCGGTTGTTCGGTTGTATCGGGTCATTATCATCATCTAGCTCTGACTCTCACACCTTGTGGAATCGAATTCAATGCCCTCTCGGACCTCGTCTGTGACGGTCTGTCGACTACATGTATACAGCAGTGCAATCGATTGACTGGTTAATAGTGACTGGAGACTCTGGAATTGTCTCTAGCACAAAGAGGTTTGTAGCCTGTTTTCTCGGCTGTGGAGGTGTTGGCGAGGGAATGGGACAGGTGCAGGATCCTCACACCTACTTTGTACATCTTGATATTTACTCAATCAATCTATGGATGTTCCTGTCCTGGAGACGCCAACGTCGTACTTTCCTGTTTCCTTGCCCTGACTACTTCGGTGCCATAATCACACACACACCTTGTATAGCTTCATCATTACTCAAGTATGTAGATATTTCTGCCCAGGTGCAGACTTGTCTGTTTCTTGGCCTCATTGCTGTTTTTCCTGGCATTTACATGAGCACACTCACATCTAGCTTGTAGTTAGTTCATGTTTACTTATTATAGATGTTCCAACCTTGGAAGGTTCCTGCTCTGGCGAAGTCGTAGTTTCCTTACCCTAATCACTCGTCCACGGCGTTTCCATGGCCACCATCGCACCTGCCTTGGTATAACTTCTGGTTGCTGTCACTTCCTGTTTAGTTTCTCGTTGCCATGGACGGCCCCAAACAATATTTATTCCCCTTCCTTTTCACTCTTTGCTTTCTCTCCTCTCTCCTCTCTCCACTGCCACTGGCCTTTTCTCATTTGCATTGCATCTGACTCTACAAACCCAGTGTCAATACTTCTTATCACGTTCCACGATGAACTACTCTCTTACTCCCCCGTCTCTCTTCCTCCCCCCGTCTCTCTTCCTCCCCCGTCTCTCTTCCTCCCCCCTCTTCTTTCGTCCGTCCCCCTCCTCTGAAGTCTTGCCTTATCAATGTGGATGAGAACCTGGAGGAGCTCCCATCTGACGAGCCATTCGTCCGGAAGACTGTCCACTTCCCGGATGATATGGACCTCGTTCAGGTGAGGCTTATCCCACCCCGGGACCTCCCCCCACCTTGTTGCGGCGACTTTCCCCCTCCTCGGAAGTCTGTCCACTTCCCGGACGATGCGGACCTCGTGCAGGTGAGGCTCATTCCGCCCAGGGCTCTACCTTGTTGGAGTGAGAACATCGGCGCATTCGGCACGAGTGCGCTCCTGGAAGCCTTACCTGATCTTGATGGATCCCCCAGTGCATCGCCCCTCACGCCTGTACTCAAGTCCTTGGATATGCCATTCGCACTCAACTCTCGTCGACATTCACGTGTGGTCATCCAAACCCACGTCCAGGTTGGGCGTATGTCCCACACCTCGTTCAGTCACCTCTGCTTGACGTTGTTTGTGGTGGCATTCATCTTTCCAAGACTTGTGCCAGCCTTGCTCGCCGTACTTGCGTTCCTATTCCTTGCTGGGGCATGTACCTGATCCTGATAGCCAATTCCCAGGGTCCACCTCGTCCGCTTCCTCGTCCATAGAGGTAAGGCCTGGCTTCATTCTCACCATTCTCTTTTGTTCCTATCTCCTTTCTTTTTTTCTTGCTTTTTTCTTGGTTTTTGTTCTTGTTTCGAGGCTTTTGCCGTTTGATTTTCACAGAAAACTCCAAAACCTCCAAAAAAAATGTTATTCGTGCTTGCTGGCGTTTGCTTTTGTTCTTGGTCGTGCGTTTTGCCCTTTCACTTCTATTTAGGATCGAAGGCGAGCGTTTCTGACTGTGATCGGGCGGAAGGCAGCAGAACGTGTGGTGGCTTGATTGTGTGGCAACTGGGGTAAGTCTCTTCTTGGACTCTGGTGGTTCTGTGAGCTGACTGGAATGAATTACAGGTGGTTGGTGGGTGTCGCTGCTGCGGGTCGGACTGATCGAACGTCTCTGTCTGTGAACATGCGGAAGGCACCAGAGCGTAGGGAGGCTCAATTGGATGGCGACGGGGTAAGTATATCTCCTACATTTGATGCTTCTGTGATCTAACATGAGAATAAATCCTAGGTGGCTGGTGGGTAACGTCGCCACAACTCAAATCGATCGAACGTCTCTGTTTGTGAACGTGCGGAAGGCAGCAGGACGTGTGATGGGTCGTTTGAGTGAATACCTGTCTCTACAGTGTGAGGGAGATGGAGAAGAGAGTGTGACTGTGTGTGGCTGAGCCGAGGATATGGTTACGCAGTACCATCCAGCTACCTAGAGGCATAGACTGTTCTACTTCTGGCAGATCCACTCAATACAATACAGCTTCGAATAACAATGACATCATACCCTCCAAACCAACATACAGTAATAGCCAACGCTCACAAGTTATACGACAGATTAATACAATGAATAACTTTTAGCACTCGGACAATATTAACCAATGACTATCTTGAAAGCGCAGACACGGCATGGACACGGGGTCCAAACCTACGTCAGATCAGGGCGTTTTCATATTAAACGCGATCATGGTGGCTGTCAACCATGGATCCCAATTACTCCTCCAACGTCATTGGACGACTTTCATCGCGGCCCGGATATCTCCCATGACAGAAATGTGGAGGTAACACCCATTAGATCATTACTATGTAACCGGTTTCCACCATGCTGCTGATATAAATAACACCTTCACTCCATGCAACACGATCATAACATCCTCCATCAAACTCCAACCTACAAGAATCAAGATACTTATCTCCCTAAACAAATCCCACAATGTCGAACGACAACAGCCAAAGCCAAAACCGTACGTCCCAGACCTACACCACAAATCCCAAGTACCCAACTAACCAAACCCATTAGCCGGACTCCTCGGTGGCCTCGGCGATACACTAGGCAAAACAGTCGGCGGCGTGACAAACACACTCGGCTCAACAGTCAGCGGCCTCGGCTCAACCGTCGGCGACGCAACGTCCGGCCTTGGACAGACGGTTTCGGGTGCCACGGAGGGACTCGGGAATACGACGAAGAACGTGGGACAAAGTGCGCAGAAGGGGGTGTCTAGTACTGGAGGGAAGGAGCAGACTGCGGATAATCCACTTGGATTGAACAAGTAGTGCTTCGGTGGGCTGCGTTTATTTGGTTATTGGTAACGAATGAATGACATTTAGGGGTTTTCGTTGAGATTCTCAATACCGCAATCTTTGGGTCAACATCCATCATGCATGTTTGACGTCGGTCATGTACTGTGTACTGTGTAGACCACGATAGTTCATGTAGACTACCATCTTCGAAGGTTCCTCGAGACGGCTATTTTCATTGCGAAGGATGTGAATGTCCAATCCATTCAGCGGCTCAACGCTCCTTAATCTCCGTACACGGCCTTTAGCGACGATGACAAGTAGGAACCGCCCCTGGCGGCTTGGGCCCGCTTGGCCCCGCTTGGCCGGTCAGGGGATGATCCGTCCCGAAACCACCGGGAAATCCCCACTGCCGTCGCACGCTTCTTCGGTGGATATGGAACAACCGACGCTGCCAGCGTGACAAGGAACTACTTTTATTTAGTAAAATTCTGCACCCATGTAGCACCGTAGTCATTCCATATGCTACTGTGCTACAAACCAGGCTACCGTTTTGACCGCTGAGCCTGTACGGAGTAGGCCGCTGTCCAATTCTCATCGCCAGCCTAGAGAATGAATGTTTGCTCTACTGTAGACATTCATTTTCTCTTGTTCCATTTCGTATTCTTTTTGTACCTCCTATCTGCACCGCCTTGAGTCGCAAATCGCAATCGGGATTCGGAAGACGCCCACTTTTCGTCGCTTTTCTACCAGCGTTGAAGCATACCACGAGAATTTAGAAACGCTAGCATGAACCCTATTCGATCCGCCTGCGATCGTTGCTACGCCGCCAAAACGCGGTGCACCAAGGATGCGTCGTCCAACCAGTGCCACAAGTGCATACGGTCAAGCGCAGTCTGCAAGTACAGTCCGAGCGGCCACGCTGGTCGTCCGGTCGGTCGCGGGACAGGCCAGTCAAGCTTGCCCAGCCAACGCCAAACCCCAGCCACGAGCAGTATGTCGCGAACCTTGCTCTTCTTCGCATCAAATGTATTTGACATGGAAAGCTCACAGACATGACACAGTTGACGTACCATTCATCAGCCTGCCTCCATCTGCCGCTTGCAGCATAGACCTCTTCAGCAACCTCCATTCCGACGAGAACACTGCCGCCTACTTGTGGGACCACCCACCCTTGCTCGAAGACTACGGACAATCTTATCTGCCCATCGATGAGGCGATACACAGTGGTACGCTTACGGCACCAACCGCAAGCTCAAATACTGGCAACGACCTGTTCTCGTCCTTGGGGGTCGACAGCCCCCACCGCTCCAGCAGCGGCACACACCATGACACTCATTCCAGCAGCGAGGTGCCTTCTGCCGCCGCTTCGGTCAAGAGTGAGAGCCTGCACAGTCGGCTCGTAGTCACACACACCGAGCTCATCGCCTTGTCCGAGTCGCTCGCCGTGTCCTTCAGCATGACCGACGACATGGGGGTCATATACAGGCTTAGCGCCGAGATGACCGAGATACTTCAGCGCCTGAAGGAGAACGGGCCATGCTACCCGCCGATGCCGATTGCCAAGTGCCACGGCATGACGTCTCTGCTCATACTGGGCTGCTACAGCTATCTTCTCGAGGCCTATGAATTTTCCATGGCGAAGCTGCGACACGAGCTGCAAGACACAGGTAGTCCCACCACGATGGATGCGTCACCCGAAGAAGCCCCGCAAATCAACATTGGAGGCATCCGGCTGCAGGTATCGAGAAAGTCGGCCGCCGAAATCCACCTGCAGCTCGTTTCCCAGACGGCCCAGAATCTCCGCGAGTCTCTCCGGCAGTTCGTAAAGCACACGGCAGCCCCACGCTGCTCCATGGACCTGGACACCATCGACGACAGTCAGGCATCGAACAGTACCGGGGGCCGTGCCTGGGAGACGGGCCGCGGCGACAGCATTGAAATTCTAACAACAATGGCCCAGCGGGAGTTGCGGCGACGAGAAGATGGCATTTTCCAATACGTAAATGAGAGCGCCGCCAAGAATACAAGGTGAGTGTACAGTAACGATTCCACGATCGCGATATGTTCATATTGTCCATAGTTTGACAAATACTTGTTTCTGTATTTCTGTAAGCATTCCTTATTGACTTTGCGAGCCAGCCTATGATGCAAGACGAACCTCGGCCTTACTCCTGTTTCTGCCTTACTGAGAGCGTGCACACGTCCAGATATTCCTGCAATGGATCGGCTCTATCATCTCGCTAACACTAGTTCTCTACTAGTACAGCAACCTAGTGACTCAGATTATATTACGGAGTACTCCCGTCCGTGTCAGACTGGGATACAGCCTCCCTGGGCTATAAACAGGAACCTTCAATGGTTTTTGTTGTGGTCTAGTGGTAAAACAGCCTGTACCATTTCCAACACTCCGTACTGTGAGGAAGACCCCAGTCTCCAGGAGTCCAGGGTAATGGCATGTGGACATCACGTGTTTTCTTTCTCTATATTTCAATACGACCTCATCCAACTCATCTCCATCCATCTATCATTTCATCCGGATATCCTCGGCAACCTGCTACAATGGAGACTAACGCCTTTCACCGAGAATTTCACCATGCGTGCGTCGTTGGCGATATGCCAAAAATCCATGAAGCAATCGCCACCGGCCGCTTAACCGTTGAAGACCTTAACACCGGACTTGAAAATGCAACACTAATGCTACACGCTGATGCTGTGGCTACCCTTTTTGACGCAGGTGCTCGCGTCACAGAAAGGGCAACGAACCGTCTCCACGGAAAAGACTTCCACCAGGACCCTCGGATTGTCCGCCTCTTTCTAGACAACGGCTTGGACCCCAATGCGAGGACTTCTAGCGGCGAAACTCTACTCCGGTATGTTGCGCCCTAATAAAAAAAGAGATAAGATGTCTTAGATAACTAACTCCGTCTCTGGTGGTATAGTACGATTGTTAATCCCTCGGCTGCTGCTGTATTGCTCTCTGCCGGCGCGGACCCTAACCTCCCCGGACCAAGAGGAATCCCTCCCCTCGGCGGAGTTATCCTGAGCACCCAGGAACCAGATACCACCTCCATACTCGAGCTATATCTCGAACACGGCGCGAAATTAGAATCAAATCTGTTATTCTACTCTCTCGCTCCGCGTGTACAGCAGCGCGAGCTGAAGACCCGCTTTTTGCTTGACAAGGGCGTAGACCCGAATGCGACTTCCGACGAATGGGGCACACCTCTACACCTCGCTGCGAGGCTCGGCAACGTGGAAATCGTTAAGATGCTGCTGGAGGCTGGCGCGGATCCCACTGTCCTGTCTGTTGGCAAGAAGATCGGTACAAAGACTAAAAAGACACCAGCGCAGGTGGCTGAGTACGCGAGAGATCCCCAGGCCCGCGAGGCGATACTCAGTCTCTTCCGGGGTTACTCTCGCTAAGTAGTAAGAAACTAGATAGCCAAGTTAGCGTGTCATTTGCTTAGGATGCTTCGCCGGCTTCGCTTAGATTAGGCGGAAGGGGCCGACAGACCCGAAGGATTTTGTAGGCACCATGTTGTAAGGGTTTCAAGGGCCGGGGCTATTTCCCGATCCGGAATTCACTTGTATACTCTCCATAGATCAATGCGCAAAGTGGTGCTGGTAAGTGGTAACCAACATTGTCTAGGATACTTTGCCATTCGTTTGTTTTACTTCGCTGCAAATTCGATGCTATCCTAGCCTGTAGCCTTTATAAATTAACGGGGTTTCGCACATAACAAAATGTCGAGAGCACCTGTGGCCCCCAAAACCACACCCGTCTCTTAGTCTATCATAGATCTTGTCCAACCTGGGTTTGAGTTGTTGGAGACATCGCAGAGAGTCTGCTTTTCGGTTCTCCTCAAATGCCACAATGGCGTCCACCATGTCAATATGGCCAATGGGTTCAATTCAGCCTGTGTTCTGAAAAGTCGCACTCATTGGGAAGGAGAAATGACGATGATGTGTTGTGGTAGCCGCGTTTCGTAGTCGTGGTAGACATTGTATTTGTGGGGTGAGTTTGACCAAAAGGTGATGAATGAAGGCTGCTTGTGTATGCAGAACTTGGGCGAAACCACCTTCAGAGTACGGCTACATGGCGGCGACGTGGTGTACTAGTATGCTTTTGAGCATGGGCGATCCGTTTCAAGCTGGCCACTAGGCATGCGGACGGAGGGTTTAGTGGAGCCTGAGTTGGTCTAGAATTTAGATTGGGGAGGGCGGGACTGGGACCGGTTCGGGCCGATCGGGGTCCCGAGTCTGGACCTGGAATCTGGATCCTACTTACACAGTACGGTCTTGAATCAATTGCAACGGCAGATACTCACAGAATTGATTCCATTTGTCCCGCCGTCGCCAGCTAGGAGAGGGTCCCAGATGCCGATCATCGCGACACCCGCTCCAGGTCTAGTCAGCCCTGAGCCAGCCAGCCCAGTTCCAGCCCTCAAGTGCTTTGTCAACCCTCCGAATGCATGAAAATAGGGGCGCGTCGGCTCATTTCGCTCAATTACTTTGTTTAGGTCAAATATAAAAATGAACGATTCATCCGGCGTTGCACGATTCTCGTCGTGGCATCTTTTTCAGCGCTGTAGTGGCTACTTCCATACAAGCCAAAATCGATCGAGCAAACTGATCTCGTGAAATCATGAAAAAGCAAAGCGAAGACAGCGAAATGCAGTCGCTGGACGACACAAGCAAGACCGCGACTCCGGATATGGCACGAGCAGACCAAAAAGCCCAGAGCCCACCGAGCACGGAAAAAGACATTTACGAGGTCGGCTGGGAGGGTGGTGAGGCGGATCCTCTATGCCCTCGTAGCTACAGCACCTTGAAAAAATGGCGCATCACTCTTGTCATTTGTTCTGTCAGTCTGTGCATGTAAGTTGCGATCAACAGCAACTGAACCAAGCCTAACGCAACATATTCAGGACATGCGCTAGTTCCATCTACACCGCGACATACCAACAGATGGAAGCAGAGCTGGGCAACTCAAGAATAGTGTCTATTCTTGGTCTTTCTCTTTTCGTTCTCGGCATCAGTTTCGGTCCTATGGCTCTTGGGCCCCTGAGCGAGTTTTACGGCCGACGACCCATTTACCTCATTTCCTGGACGATCTATGTGATTTTCATTATACCACAGGCCGTCGCCAAGATTGGGGTGATTCTCGTTTTTCGTTTCCTCGATGGCTTCACTGGCAGCGCTTTCCTCGCTGTGGCTGGAGGCACCATTCACGATCTCTTCGACAGGGCGCAACTACAACACCCAATTTCTATCTTCTCAGTGTCGCCATTTATCGGACCTAGTTTGGGTCCCCTGATTGGCGGTTTGATCTGTTCTTATCTCGATTGGAGATGGACGTACTACGTTTTGATCATTTGGTCTTTTGCTTTGTGGCTAGCAATCATCTTCCTTGTTCCTGAGACATTTCGTAAGTTTATGGAAAATCTTCAAGTCCTGACTGTCCTGTAACTAACATGTGATAAGATCCGATTCTATTACGAGACAAGGCGAGAAAGCTTCGAAAAGAGACAAACAACGAATCATGGTTTGCTCCTATAGAAAGAGCGCACAGGTCTGTTGCCCACGCAATTGGCAACTCCTTACTCCGACCATTCCAGCTTCTATTCCTTGAACCCATGTGTTTCTGCCTCTGCATTTTTGCAGCACTCTTGCATGGTATTCTTTACTTATTTTTCGACGCTTTCCCGCTGGTCTTTGTCAACAATCATGGCTTCAACTTGTGGCAAGTCGGTCTATCCTTCCTAGGAATTGGTGTTGGCATGATCCTAGCTATTTTCATGAATCCGGTTTGGAACAATGCGCGAAACCGTCTTATGCGAAAGAAAGAACAAGAGACGGGTATCCATGCTAGCGAGCCCGAGTTCCGGCTTCCTGCTGCTATGGTAGGCTCTCTGATTGTGCCTGTTGGCATGTTCATGTTTGGATGGACAACATTCCCCTGGGTGCACTGGATTGTTCCTATCATAGGCTCTACCATATTTGGATTTGGGTAAGTACAAGCTCTCGTGCAAGAGGAAAAGGGTTCAAAAGCTGACGTGGACCAAACTAGGGCATTGCTGCTGTTTACCTCTATTTTCGGTTTCCTTGTAAGTTTTCTGGTTTATTAAAATCGTTGAAAGGCACAACTGACATAACTTGCATTAGGTTGACGCTTATCCAACGTACGCAGCGAGCGCCATGGCTGCAAATGGCTTCATCCGATGCATTTTTGCCGGTACGTATATGGAGTCAGTAGAATGCCATTTGATTTTCAGCATCAAGCTAATCTGAAACCCCAGCCGTATTCCCACTTTTCGGCGAGCACATGTTTGAAGGGCTAGGATACCAATGGGCGTCATCATTGTTGGCGTTTCTCACTGTTGCCATGATACCGTTTCCGTTCCTCTTTTTCCGCTATGGCAAATCCATTAGACACAAAAGCCGCTTCGCTAAGAAGTAGGCTAAATTCCACCAACTTCATCCACTCTTATCTGCCTGGAATCCAAATCGACAAATGCATCACCAAGTTACAAGCTCGCCTTCCCACGAGACTCATACGGCATAAGAAGTACAAGTATGCCTGCCGTTATAAACAGCGCCCCGCTCACATAGACAGGCACGGGAGTGGTGAGATCAGCGAACATGGCAATAATGGGAGCCATGATGCCGAAGATCCGATTCGCAGACGCGGCCAATGCATTGCCCGTGCCACGATCTTTGGTCAGGAAGATCTCAGGCGTGTATGCGTACAGCACGGCGTACATGAGACTGCTCATGAAATTGAAAGCGCAGTTCCAGCCCAGCAGCGCGTTGGATGTGGTCGCTGTTGTTGACGCTAGAAGGAATGCTCCAGTCACGGCTGTCGAAACACTCAATGCGCCCTTCCGGCCGAACCGTGGTAATTCGACTAGGATTCCGCCGAGGAGACAGCCTGGGATTCCCATCACCGCTATGATCAATGAGTTCCGGTAGGTGATGTATGTCGACCCATCGCCGAATTCGGCGCCACGGGATTGCTGAATGAAAGGGAGGAATGCGTTGTATAGTGGGAAGCCAAGACCGATAAAGGCCCATACTAGGATGACCAAAGTGGTAGACCATGCCCGCTTAGGGGTGTCGAAGAGGGCGCGGACGTGATCGAACCGTACACTCTCTAGCCGCAGACGGACGATGTTTGTCGCGCTGAGCTGCTGTATCTCACCCTGGTCCCAGGTCTCAAGATCATCCTGAGTCAATTCGGACGTCTTTCCATTTCTCCTAGCGACCTCGTGGACGACCTCCACAGCCTGCTGATTTTTCCCCTTCCCCATGAGGTATTTGGGTGACTCAAAAATCTTGAAAAAGACAAAGCGGCTCACAAACATGAGTATAGAGAGGCCGCCCACCGCGATCATAAAGTATCGCCATCCCATGTTATCAGCCTTCGTACAACCGTCTGCAGATTCACAAGTCCTGTACCCAAGCAGTGGCCAACCAATCAGATTGACGATAACCTGGGCGAAAGCCCAGTCAATGGACAAAACCGTCAGAAGATACTGATGGGATCCAGGCAAGAACTCGAGAAAGATAGCCGAATCAACAGGCAGGTTCCCACCGACGCCAACAGACCACAAGGCCGCAAATGCACATATAGCCGCGAAATTAGGCGATCCCGCCGCGACCAGACCGAACAGGGCCGTGATTCCGATTGTCAGGTTGAACGCCCATCGGCGACCGAAGACATCGCATCCGAACCCCCAGAACACAGCCCCGACCAACAGCCCGATATTCTGCGCCAGTGTTAACAGCGGCGCTTTCGAGGGGTGGAATTCGTTTGTGACTGCGGGGAGAATCAAGGAGGTCACGATGGGCCAAAGGTTGTCGCTCGCCCAGCCGAATCCGATGACCACGAAGAGCTGCCATTGGTAGCGGCCCATGCCGATGGTTTGGATCGCGTCGTTGAGAATCTCGGCCTTGGCCTTGTACGTGGCGTCGGGATCGTCATGTTGCGCGATAGTCGCGGTCTCTGTCGTCGATGGCTCGAGGCCAGGCGACTTGGGGGCTTCTGGCATCTTGTAAGGGGTAGGGAGGAGGAAGTCGGGCAGAGACCAGGAGACCAGGGGCAGATCTTATAGCGTGCCTACATTGTCATTGTAACCTTGCAAAGCAAAACCAGTATACTATCTTGTTAGATCAGTGTCCGGGCCCCCATACGGGACTTGACTAAGTGGGTTTGGCTGCTGTTGCTGTATTGTAATTGGACGACTCAATGGCGTGACCGGCGGGTGGTGTTGTGTCAGCCCCAGTGGAGGGAAGTCATGATCGACCACTTCCCCATTTGAGACGGGGAATTCTTGCTTTATATGAGCATCTATGCCTGCTCAAGCTGGCCCCTGGGGCAACGAACTCTATGAGGGAGTATTGGATGATATATGCGGGTACACTCTCTGCTTAGAGTTTACTGTGTTAAGAGGCCTTTTGAATTTGAGCATCGTGACCTATCACGTGATTAGCATCCATCTAACCACGCTGCAAGAATAATCAAAGTAATTATTTGTCAGTTACTAGGGACGACAAACACGGTGACGAACGATAGACGATAGTTCTTGCTACTAGCTAGGAAGCAACCACACCCAAATGAATCATGACATTGGTCACATTCTCGTGGCCCTTGTTGCTGAGCATTAGCGAAGAACCCATATCATTTCAATTTTCAACTTCACGACAATTAATCAAGGCTCTTCGTCGCAAACGCCCCTGTGTGTCTTGCGTGCTAGACTGCCCGCCCATTTGTGAGGTTGCTTCAAATCTCCAGTGTGAGCTGGAGGTAGTATATGCCATCTAGTTATCGGTTGAGAGTGACCTATCAGCTTTGCTCTCGTTAATCACCACCTAAATACTGCGTATATCATCAGCCCGGTAGGCGAATAAAACCCGTTACCTACCTAAGTATGATCAAGCGAAAGTGAGGTGGAGAAGATGCCGAATACCGTGCAACGATTAAGGGATTATGTCCGATTCACTACGTCTGCTAGGCATAGGGCCATAGGCAGCATATGGTTGTCCGTCTTTGTGGCTGTTACTCCATACAATGTACAGTGATGTGCTGGGTGTTTATTTGAATCCATGGCTATCGATGTTTGTATTATTCAAAAACTAGAGACCTCAAGGACTTGGATTCATGTCACAAGATCCCGTGATAAGAAGCTGTAGGTCTCCTGTCTTCGAAGAAAGTGCAGGTGTCGCGCCTTCCGTTTAGGGTTGGATGCGTGCACATAACCTTTTATTTCCACGCTTTCATACCATCCTTTTCACTTCTTCACCACCCCATATTCGCAACCCGGATAAGAGGCTAGGTATTGAAGTGCCCTGGACTGCTAGAGGTCGAGACTACAAGATTCGTTCAAAGTTCAGGATGTCTAAATTGTCCAAGCTATATCTGCAAAATAGCATAAAAAGCCAAGCAAACTAGTCAGGGCCTTCAGTAGCAGAAGTCCCCATATATCAGAAGAAATCCACCACCGAAGGTGAAAGCCCTCCATAGCTCACTTTTCTGTCCAATTCTCCACCCAATCATGCCCAATACAACATCTTAGATCATGAGACGCTCGACCTGGTTCTTGATGGCACGGATCTGAGCGGTCAGGTCACTGGCCTCGTTGGTGGTGATGGAGGCAGCGATGACGGGACGGGAAACACCGGTGGCACGGCCGAGAGCCATCTTGCTGGGGACGTAGACGTAGGGAACCTGGATTCAATGATGAGTTTGAATTCTTCGCGCAACTGTTGAAAGGGCCTTGACTTACGTTCTTGTCCTCAGCGAGGAGGGGCAAGTGCAGGACGATGGCAAGAGGGCTGGTATCAGCGGCCATGATCACGAGCTCGGAGGTACCGCGGTTGAGAGACTTGGTGCACTCGTTGGCACCCTAAAAGAGAAGTTAGCTTGATTCTATCGGCCATTTTAATCCCAAGGGAAACGCACCTTCTTCAACTGACGGTAGTGCGCAGCCTGCTGCACGAGATCGAGGAGGCTCTGGGCAAGAGTCTCGTCGGCAATGGGCCACGCGGCGCTGGAGTCTTCGGCCATTTTTGAGGTTGTAGTTGGATATTCAAACACCAGATCTTGAAAAGAAATGGCTCACTCGGTGGATCACGGCCGTGTAGTTGCAACGGAAGGAAATGTAGAAGATGTTGGAGATGAAGAATTGAAGATGGCCGTGGGAAATTTTCAGATCGGGAGTAGGACGGACACACCGCCTACTTGATCTGTGTTAGAGCCAATTTTTTTCGATTTGGTGGAGCCTCACCGCTCTCCGCCACATATATTGCCTGGTTTTTCAGGCGACGATCTCAATCGGATCTTGCAAGAACACGTTTGAGACATCAGGACCAATTGGTTTCACCGAGCACTACGATCAGCTGGAGGTCGAGTATCCTACAAAGCAGAATAATTGTAATTTCAAGGGCCACTTTTCCAAGGGGGTGAACAAACACAAAGCAAAAAGAGAATGATAAGAGTGGGATTCGAACCCACGCCTCTTGCGAGACCAGGAAACTATTGCTAGTTTGGAGTCAAGGTGTACCTTAACCTGGCGCCTTAGACCAACTCGGCCATCTTACCAATATAGAATTCGTCACCACTTTTAGCCTTTATAAGGCAATACCTATTTTGAAGCGCGAAAGTGGACGACAGCCTCAACATCAGAGCTAGTCCAGTACGTAGTTGAATATGGAATACCTACAGATCATTCAATCTTTTCGATCCGGATCACCACCTACTCTAGTACTGTGTAACCACATCAAAGGTCTTTCCTGACAAAATAATCTAGGATGGTCGTAGTTACAGCAGTAGAAGATGACATCACCAGGCCTGAGATCCACATCTAAACAAGCCTTTTGACAAAGTGAACAAACATCCACATCCTCCACTTGAAGGTGTCTGATTTATGCCTATCCGTCATACTGATGTAACCAAATAATGAGCTAACTACAGTACTGTGTTACACAGTAGTTTCACAGGGTCATAAGATAGCCAGATGACCGCCAAGATTGTGTATGACCTCAGGTGCTTCTGGAAACACTCACCAATTCACACAACATCCTTTCTATACTTCAAAACTACACAGTTCACGATCTGAACATTACCGCAATAACCCCTCATCAAAGAGATCCTCAACATGGCACACAATAGCTCTGCACACCACCTTCACAAGTAAGACATCCATTCTTTTCTTCTACGACCGCCATTAACAATGCAAAGTGTCGGCAACTGGATGCCAGCAGATCACAAAGCGCACAAAAAATGGCTCGGCGATGTAATCAAAACAGTCAACGACACACAAAAACCACTCCACCCAGTCCTCCAAGAATTCCAACATCTCATCGAATCCAACACCCGCATATACATGCTCATAACATCCATGTTCGACGAAGTCCCCCACCAAAATCGATACGGCCACGACCCAACCGGAAACCCAGAGATCCGCGACTACCACCACTTCCTCCGTGTCCTTAACCACCTGATCACTAGCGCGCCTTCATGGACCGATAAGTCGCACCGGGTCGGTTTAGTCGGATTGCCCATCAACGCAGTGCTCGACTGGCCTATGGGTACACCTAGCGGATATGCGGCATTCCTGGATCCGGATATCAACAAGATGCTCAAGAAGATCTTGAACGTCTGGGGTGAGTTCCTGGCCTCGCCTGCTTCGGCAGATGTGCTGAATGATTCCTCGGAGGGATGGTTTGGGGAGACGGGACGTCGGGATCTGACGGCTATCGCGAAGATTGGACGTACGGCTGCTACGAATCTACAGTTCCATGACTTGTTTGAGTGTGATCCTTCGAAGCCGAATCATGGTTTCAAGTCGTGGGACCACTTCTTCACGCGTGTGTTCAGGGAGGGAATACGGCCTGTTGCGGAGCCGGATAACGGAAAGGTCATCGCTAATGCCTGCGAGTCAAGACCATATCGATTGGCCCGTCATGTTAATGCTCGTGACCAGTTCTGGATTAAGAGTCAGCCTTATTCGGTGTTGGATATGCTGGCGCGTGATCCCCTTGCGGAGCAGTTTGTTGGTGGGACTGTTTACCAGGCTTTCCTCAATGCTTTGAGCTATCACCGGTGGCATTCGCCGGTCCGTGGGAAGGTTGTGAAGGCTTATGTCGTTGACGGGACATATTATTCAGAGCCTCTTTTCGAAGGAGTTGGAAATCCAGACGCCACGAAACAGGAGATTGATATGGCAGGCCAAGTTACTTCACAGGGGTATATTACCTCAACTGCTACGCGTGCACTCATTTTCATCGAAGCGGATGAGCCGGCCATTGGGCTGATGGCGTTTATTGGAGTTGGTATGGCGGAGGTCTCGACCTGTGATATCACCGTCAAGGAGGGTGATCGAGTGGAGAAGGGTGATGAGATCGGTATGTTCCATTTCGGTGGCTCGACACATTGTCTCCTTTTCCGGAATGGTGTCAATGTGTCGGGATTCCCAGAGCAGGGAATGGAGGAGAACGTGCCTGTTCGAAGCCAGCTCGCCGTTGTGTCCTGAGCAGTATCGCAGAGAATAGTCTTGTGGAATGAAGCTCATATTTTGAATCTAAGTGAAGTGGATGCTCGAATCTACCGTCGCGTGTACTAGTCTCTTTCTATATCTAATTTACATGCCCCGTGTATCATATACGTGACGATCTATCTAGATCGCGAGGAAAAGGTTGAGACCAAGGAATCTCCAAGAGCAACGCGATAGAGTGTTCACTCCGGAAGTATTCCTGACTTTTCTTGGAATTATAAGTGAAATTAACCAGCCGTCCCATAGCCCGGTAAGGACCCGGAACTAAAATCTCATTATATTAGCACTCGTTGATATTAAGTTGAAGCGATAATAACTTTCTTGGAGACTCACAGCAGGTCAAGACCTACTATGAATGTTCTATTGATTGTATGTTCTAGCTGAGTGATCGTTACATGTTGTCAGTGAGGTGTGGGACACCAGCGGGAGTTCAACCTACGAGAACTATATATAGGAATCTTAAATCTGACTCCAATCCGCCTGTCTCCAAAAGTCCTCAGTACTGACCAAACGATCCTTGACGCCCTCGAGCTCACAAGCATCAAGCATAACATCTCCCTCCCCGACTGTTTCCCACATTTTCGGGGCTCCAGCCACTTCCCAGAACTTCATCATAAGACCCATTTCAGTTCCCCATATGCCGTGAAGCGCTTCATATTGCTCGAATGGGACTGATAGAACCTGAAGCTTCCCCTTGCCTGCAATCTCGGCCCATTTCGAGAAATATTCCTGGAATTGGTACTTTCCAGTTGTGACATGGACATATCGACCTCCCTTGCAACCACTCGCTGCCTTGGGATATGGGTGTTGGAGAAGACCACTGACGGTAATGCCGATGTTGTTCACTGGGCCTAGTGAGGGAATATAAGACGAAGACTTCGCTGGGAGGGCAAGGATATATTGTCCTGCTGGCTTCTATTATTGTAGAATATTAGCCAAAAAGCAACTTCGGCAGAGGGGAAAGAAAGGGTGAAGTCCATACCGAGTAAACGGGGTTGAAGGGCGGAAGGCCAAAATTAGATGCATAAAAGCCCGTCATGAGAAAGATCGTCTTGGCGTTCAATACCGGGTCATTCTTGATGTATGCATCGATAGCTCCCTTGCCATCAAAATGCGGGACTTTCACCTCGCCGTTACTCAAGTCGCTCGCAGCGGGTAGGGTGCTCCAGAAGTAGGTTTCGAGAGTGGTTGTCTTAGCAGCTGCACGGGCCAATTTCACGCCTCGGTCATACTCGATTTGCATGGCATTTTCCGGGCCGACTCCTTTCATGAAGGGTTCGTAGAAATCGGTAACTGCGAAGATGGCATTGGCGCCAATAAAGGCATCTTCGAGGCTGTCTTCGTCGTCAAAGGTGGCGGCTACCATCTCGATACCACGATGGACGAGCGCCTTGGCCTTTTCGCTGTTGGTGTCTCGTGTAAGACCTCGAATTTTCCAGTCGGGGTTTGCGGACAGGGCGTCGATGACGCCTGATCCCTGCATGCCAGTTGCGCCGGTGACGACAATAAGCTTGGACATGTTGAAGTTGAGAATGGGTTTGAGGAGCTTTGAAAGGAGGAACTTAAGAAGGCGATGATTTGAATTAAAGACTTCTCGAGAAGTACGGGATACTTATAGCCTTGACTACAGATTATAAATATAAAACTTAAGAGTGAATGGATATATTTTATCTTAACAAATTCCACATGAATGTCCGCAGCACAGATGTCCGCAGTATCCCCAGATGTCCGCAATATCCGCAGATGTCCGCAAGTTCCCCGCAGATGCCCGCAACCCCGATTAGAATAAGTGCCTTTTTATCAAATAATGAAAATCATGATCTTCGTTTTAGGCAGGCGGTAGTAGTGTTGAGCTAGGTGGTGGCCAAACGGGGTGCAATTACTAATGTCCAGTCACCAACTAACTAGCTATAACTACGGAGTACTTGATACTACACCCGCAAACCTCCGCAAACACCGAAAGCTCCGTAACAAACATCAAATGTTATGACCCATCATGACGTCTCATGCTCTCGCGTCCTGTTTCTTTTGTCGCCGCAGTAAACGAAGATGTGACAAGAATCTGCCAACATGTCAGCTGTGTATCAAAAAAGGCTTGAAGTGCAGCTACCCCCACAGACGCGGCCAACGTGCTGCCTCGCCTCCCTGCGGTGTCCATGGATCAGAATCAGGCGATGATTCCAATTCAGCTCATGCGGAGCCTGTCGTAGCACAAAGCAGTAATGTATCCCAGTTTCAGCCCGTCTCGTCTACTTCTTCGTTTGCTGTGAACGCTGCCATTAGTTTCCTCGCACCCGATCTCTTCCGTGAGGCTGGGTTAGAAATTCCTCGCCTGGACCTAGACATTCCGGACGAAGTTTCCTTGCACCTAGGCGATAGCCAGCAGGTTCTGGAGACAGCCAGCAAGTTCTTCCAGATGACATGGTTGCCTATCGTCAGTCGGAAGCGTCACTTAGCCGCCGTACTCAATCCGTTATCACCATCCCGACGTCCAACAGTCTTGCTAAATCTGTGCATGAAGCTGTGCTGCTTGCCAGTAAATGACGATGAAGGCCGAAAACGGATCTCGTTGTATCGATCAATCAAGAAATTCTACTCCGAAGTGGAGAGTACAGGAGACTTGTGTGTTCAAGTTTTACAGGCCGCTATATTCATTGCGGCTTTTGAGATCGGTGATGCGATCTACCCTGCAGCTTATTTGACAGTCGGAGGTTGTGCCCGTTATGGTATCGCCATGGGTCTGGACAAGATCAATAAATCTAGGTTGGGTGGAGAGCATAATCGCACAGCGTCTTGGATGGAGATTGAGGAGAAGCGAAGGGTTTGGTGGGCTATCTTAAACCTGGACCGGTCCGTCACTTCCTATACAATTTCCTTCTACTGGTCATTCGGGGAAATTGTGATCCTCGCATATAACCAAACTGACGCATTTGGAATACAGATTCTTAAACTTCACAAATCCTGCTCGGGTCTTGGCGACAGAGGATCCCGTATTTGAAGATTTTCTCCCGGTCGACGATGATAAGTTCTACGACGCGGTCAGAACCATTTCTCTTCCTCTACTGCAAGTCTAAGTGTTCTGATTTGGATATTATAGACCTCGGAGCCGGAGGATGCGGTCCCCATATCCCAGGGGTTCGTATTCAAAATTGGCCATTTCGGCAGACTAGCTCAGGCGACGTACCTGATCAGCCAGGCTCTCGCTACCATCAGATCCTTTTCTGCAGTCTCTATTGACCTCAGCAAGACCAGCCTATCATCGGAGACAGCACAACTATGTCGCACATTCGAAGCCCTAGTTCGTGCTAATGAAATGGAAGTCACAGTCCGCAGGCTACCCTTCTGCTGCCAAAGCCTGATTGCTTACAGGTAAGCACTGGCAGAAAGACGTTGCTAAGCCGCTCAAAAGGAGAAAACTCAAAAGCTTACCCATTCATGGCAGCGGCGTCTTCCTCCTCCAAGAACATTACTGGCAGCAGTTGAATATACGATCTCAACAAGAGGCGCAGCAGCATACATATGTCGAGACTCATAATGCCCTCGACACGCTTTGCCGAATTGCGTTTGGAATCCAGCAAGGATCTTATCTGGTGGACTTAGGGCAGGGCCAGTGTACATTTCTTCTGGTAGGAGTTGTATATCAAGGTCTTTCGGCGCTTTTGACTATTGGGAAAGGAAACCCGTCGGCAGAGATCAGAGAGAGCATAACTATGTTAAGATGGTTACTTCGGCACCTACGAGCCCGCTGGCCACTTTCTGGTAAGTTCCTTGGTGAAAGTCCTGAAAAGAACGATTCTAATGTCAAGGGAAGGCGTCTATGAAAGGATTTTGGATGCAAAAGAGGCTCTGTTAGCCTCGGAAGCGATATAACTACAAATTTTGTACCACGGAAAGAGGCAGAATAGATCGTGGACACGCTCGTTTAATCTACATGTATTTTTGACAGCTGTCGGGTTACCGAAGGCCAAGCCTTAGTACAAATATTCTGGCTCATGTTCAACTGCCTGCCTTTCCACTATGTTCATTAGAGCGTCCATTTCTCGTTATAATTTCGAGCGTTTAACTGACGCCCTTTACAGACTTAAGCTCCTACCCTATTAATGCTTTCGCGACAACTAAGAATCCAAGCGTATTTGATAATCGAGATATCTGGTACGAGTCACTGAAGAGTAGCCTTCACAGCTCAAACATCCCGAACTGGGCCACAAAAGTTATATCAAGCGGTCTCGAGTTCAAACTTAGGGTGAAGTCTCTCATCGGATCCTCTCTTTTTAAGAGTAAGCAACAAGAGGAAGCTATGCGATGCATCCAGTGGTACAAGACTGGTGCCATCATGTTGCCAAAATAGACAAACATGTAAATTAGATGCAATTTAATGAGCTGGTACTGATATCTTTTGGATACTCTGTGCCCAGTGCAAGGAGGAAGGACTATTCAGAGCTTCAGCAACGGCTTCTTCCACATGCCAATTATGTTTGTCATCTAGACTGTTCAGGTGACAATGTTGAGTTATGGGGGGCATTTAATAATTTAGGGGATCTTTACTCTGATCAGGGCAAGCTGAAGGAGGCTGAAGAGATTGTACCAGCGAGCACTGGCAGGCACGCAGAAGGCCCCGAACTAGAAGTATGGGGCATAAAGCTAAGGGTAGTAAAGCAAATGACGCCGGAGATTGCTAAATGAGAAAAACATATGCAATGCTTGGATCGTGTGAAAGTGCGTCATAAAACGTATGGGTCATAAGTCATAAAGATCATTCGTATATCGGAACCCTCCGAGAGGGAACGTATCCTCCGTTCTCAGGCACAGGATACCGTTTTGCAGAGGGCCGAGGACTCGTCCAGCCAGGAACAGGATGATGATGGAATCCAGCACTACTGTACGCGCGCTGTCGCTCGGATCCGCTTCCTCCGCTACTGGGTCGGCTATTACCGGGAGTGCCGCTGTAGCTTCCTCTTCTCATCTCGTCTGCGTGGGGACCCATGTGTCGTGGTACTGCCCTTGGAGGAGTTGGTGGTCTGTAGAACGGTGGTTCGGGAGCAACTGGGGTAGGCGAGGGACCGCCGAAGATGGATTCACGGAATTTCACACCCGCTGCTCGTGATCTAGAACGATCCTTTGGCGTATCTCTCTTGTGATCTCTCTTATGGACCTTGGGAGAGGTGTCAGAGTGAGACTTGCTGGACCGTGACGAGTGGCTGTCATGACCCCGGCGATGTCGGTGAGGGCTTGTCGGTGAATCATCTCGGAAGGGTCGGCGGGTGTACGCCTCATGGGAATGGCGTCTGCCGTTACTGTTCGAAGGCGGTGACAGGTGCCGTCGCTCGCGGTGTCTATGTGTGCTTGGATGATCTCTGTATTCGTGGGCAGAGTCATCTGACGACACGTCAGGGGCAGCTGGCCTCTCAGCTGTGCCTGGACTCAGGGGATGACCGTACCAGGTAGCGCGGTCACGGCCCCTCGAACGCGGTGGGTGTTCTCCTCCCCATGGAGGCGGAGAGGAAACCCTTGGTGTGGAGAATCCTGGCCGAGTCCGTCCTGCTCTTTTCCCGGGGAATGCAGGATATTCTCCGCTGTGATGTCGGCGGTGATGACGTTGGCTACTAGGCCGATCAGGCTCGGCATGACTGTGGCGTTTCGACTCGGCACGGCGCGGGGGCGTGTGAAGTAATCGTCTTCGTCTGGCAGAGGGTCCTTGCCACTGAAATGATAGTGATATGTTCCAAAGTCCGGCGGGGAAGCACGCTTCGTGTGTCTCTTGACAAAGTCTTGCTCCAGCCGCCGGCTCACGCCTTCATGCCACTGTAGCATCTCAGGATCTGGCTCGGAAGGGAATGCATCTCGGGGTATTGTCTTAGGAAAGATCACACCATTTGCGTCTGCAATGTCCCAAAGACTGACAGCTCTCTGCAGATACACCGAGTGCTCATCCGGATCCATCAATAGTTGTATGGTCTGCCATCGCACGAAGCCATTTGGAAGTAGAGCGGGGACCGAGGGGGGTTCATATGGGTTTGCTGAGGGCTGGAGACTGTGGAAGCAGCCCAGTGACTGGTAGATGAATGACAGGGCTTGTCCCTTGGTCTCGAGGAATAGAGGATCATAGTTGCCGCCGACTTTGCGGTAGAAGGTAGCGAGGCGCTCCGGGGTGATATCAGCAGTGCCCTTGGAATCAAATGAGTGCTATCAAATTTGTTAGTTAGGGATGACTACAGACTTAGCAATAAACACTCACCATCAACTGCGCGATCCCCAGACATAGCTGTTCGAGCAGTGGGGCTGGGCTCTTATCTGAATTGATCAGCGTACCCCAATCAATATCCGCAGAAGCCATGAATGCGGGGTATGAGATGTTGAGAAGTGCATGCGAGATGTAGCAAAACAGTTCATCTCCAGGCCTCAAGGGCGAAAGTACTGTGTAGAAAGAAAGTCGAGAGCTGACGGAGGAAGCGGTCAGGAACACGTGGACCCACTGCGGGGGGAACCAAAGAAACACGAAGTATGAAAGTGATGGATGAAGATACTTAGATAGTTAGTAGAGTAGATGTATTGTTTATATGGAGTATTCCAGTTAAACAGGCTACGACTGAGCTGAATAGTATATGGCATGTCATTCACCTCAATACCCGTGACTCACTTACAATGTGACATGATGTGAAGCCTAATGTGGCGCAATGTGACCCAATCAGCTCAAGAGAACATCAACTACGCAGTCTAACGGAGTCTCCGATCATCGTCACTGATCATCAGCGCTTAGACTTATAGATAGCCGCTGTATTTCTCCCAGATGTCTGTATGTTCCGATCCTCTAACCTCGTTTGTCTGTCAGCCTCCTTTCACACCGGGCAGTTGTCAAGTCAGCTTCACATGTGACTTACATGTGACTTACATGTGAGATCATTCAGGTAGTCATCATCAACTGGCCCTGATGTTTTGCGCTCGTTCAACCTGAAATCTTCATTCCCTCATATTTGAAAATTTCAGCTGTGACCACTGACCAAAAGTCTGGGGTCAAAGCATGTGCGCCCTCTTAGCTCTACTGTGTTAGAACTAGTCTCAGGCTTGAGCCAGCTCGCCAAGATCAAGCGCTTCCTGCCGAAGCCCGAAGGTGGCCGCCCGAGGCTGGTCACGAGACCCCGGAACGGAGGAACTTCCCCGGGAGCGGACACCTGTAGATATCTTAATCCGCCTCCTGAACTCGAGATAACTACACACAATATACGAGACTTCTAGCACCCACATGACCTGCGTAAGGTGTACCTTGTAGCACTTCCATGTCTTCCAGGACTGAGTTTCAATACGAGCGATGGCAGGATTCTCCAGAACTGGCTGATATCTCTACGGGGGATCTCAACCAATATTCTGCTCCGTTATGTGTCGTTCAACGTGGGAAAATGAGGCGACTGGACTGGAAGCGTCGGAGAGAACGAGTCATATACTCGCCAGTTGACTGAATACCTTGCCGGTGATATCTATTTTCATTCAAGTCCATGTTTCCAAACCTACCAGGTGTTTCTTGTCAAGGGATTCTATACCATGTGTCACCCCTTAGATCTCGTGACAGATGAAACATGGGCATCAAAAGCAGATCCCGATATCAGATACAAACCTCTTCACCATCAAGTCCAGACCCCAAGGCGACAAATGGACCACCGTTGCCTGTCGATCAGACCTCAGTGTTGATGACAGGCCCACATTCTTGATCTTTCGTCCACCTATGCGATCAATTGAATGTCAGCCATCGGCCCATCACCGATTTTACGGCCCATCCCTCCCCCCTTTGGGTTCCAACATTCCTGGACCGACATTCCATCGTCTTACTGGTATTCAACCACAACAACAACCAATCCCAGTACTCCATTGCCATCTGACAGTAGCTTCCTGCCTTGATTTCTTCGATGGCATGGCCACGGGCAATCTAAATCGATTCAGCAACTGGCAGGCAGCGGATCGTGGGGCCATTGGTATCCCAGCCATTCGGAGACCGTCTGTCTCGCCGGTCAGAATTCCACACGCGGCATTTCACCGCAAAGACCCCTCTATCTGAGGAATAAGTGTAGCTGTTCTCCCTAGCTCCTCTTTTCGGTCTTTTTCTGTTGCGAGCTTGTGAATGCAGTCCGTCTTCCACCCGCGACATCCATCAACCATATTAAAATCATTCATCGGTGCTATCATCACGATCTTAACATCACTCGACTAAATATCCGCATCCTCATACATCGGTCGTTGTCCTCTGCAGCTGGTCAACCACCCATCCCTTGAATCGCCCGATCGGCCACAACAATCAAGACTCATTCATCTCAGCTCCATTAAGCAAACCCACACAGCATGGCTCTCGTTCGTGACCCATATTTCTGGAAGCGGTTCTCAACTGCAGTTCACTTGGATGAGGAATCAAAAGCAGCCGAACCAAACACACTCAAACCAGACCGGTAAGACGCCCTTGCATCTCAACCCCGAAGACGAACCTCAGCTAACACTTCCAGAACATCATGGCTTTCGCGCCAACGACAAAAGAGCGAGCGCTCCATCCTCTACGGCTTTATCATCTTCTTCATTGTGGTCTTTATGGTTGTCGCCGGTGTGGTCATATGGTGGCTCGCTAAGAACAACTGGCTCCGACCTAGACCTGCGACTGCATAAACCAAACCCTCACATTGATAGCGTTTTGTTTCATTTTTGGCGTTCTCATTTGACTCTGGAGATATACCCGTCGCTCCTCCAGCGACATGGCATTTGGCATCTTGGGTAGATGTCTTTATATATCTGCACATACACATCACCTACTGAATAGAATTCGCTTATCATCACATGGTTTATCTACCGCATACACCTTCCACAACGGGTATAGTGTGGTGTTGGCTGAGGCTTCTTTATCTCCTCCAATAGCCGCCCGAATGGCGACATCTAGCAATATTAGATCGCGATTGCTTGGTATTTACAAGTTCGAGATTACAACAGACAGAAGCAGCCCAGTTACTGAACAAATGGAAGGACAACTTTAACAGGCCTGGCCAGAGTTCAAATTGCCGGCTAACATCGGTGCTGATCGCATTCTCCACTTCCCCAACTTCCCCGCCAGAGCCCTCGTATAAGACCCTAACTTCCCCTGTAACTCCTTTCTCGAACTACACCGCCACCATGCTTCCTCCATTTGACTACTTCACTTATCGGCGCATAAGGTGAGCTAATCATCACAGAACAAGCTTGCATTTCTAAGCTAATATCACCAGAAACCAAAAACAAAAGGAGCGAGAAGTCCGCTTCGCAACCCTCCCGGCACCATATCACCTCCGCATTGGCGCCCAAGACCTCAAGATCATCAACCAGCCTATTGAGGAGCTTGTCCATGATATCCAGGACTCGACCGTTTCTCCGCTCGATGTTCTGCGTACTTATGGAAAGGTAGCCAAAAGAGCCCAGGAGCGTACCAACTGTATTACCGAACTGCTGCTACCCGAGGCTGAGGCGTGGCTGGAGTCGGAGATCAATCTCAAGGGTCCCCTGGCTGGTATTCCGGTTTCTTTGAAGGATTCCGTTCATGTCAAGGGATTCGATACTAGTGTTGGGTATGCGGGTTTCACTGGGAAGCCTGCCTTGGAAGATGGGCCTATGGTGCGGTTGTTGAAAGATGCCGGTGAGATCATGATTCTGGAGTAATGCTCTCGACAGCGGAACCAAGTACTGACTCTCATAGGTGCTGTTCCATATGCCAAGACGGCACTGCCCATCACCCTGCTCTCCTTTGAGTCGGCTAACGGGCTTTGGGGAAGATGCCGCAACCCGCATTCCCCAGGCTATTCTCCCGGTGGCTCAACTGGTGGAGAGGGAGCCTTGCTAGCTCAGGGTGGTCGCATCGGTATTGGATCTGATGTGGCTGGTTCGGTCCGTGTACCTGCCGCTTGGAGCGGGATCTATTCGCTCCGCTGCAGCACTGGCCGCTGGCCCAAGGGCGGTGTTAGCACCAGTATGCCCGGCCAGGAGGGTGTCCCCAGTGTCTTCAGCCCAATGGCCCGCACTCTGGATGATTTGACGTACTTCACTCGTGCGATTATCAACATGGAGCCTTGGAAGTATGAGCACAGTGTTCACCCTATTGCCTGGCGCAACGAGCTTGAATCCGAAGCTCAAAGCAAGCCTCTTCGCATTGGCCTCATGAGCTCTGATGGTATGTCCCAGCATCCCAACCCTTGCCCTTTCTATTCATGTCAGTCACTTACAACTCAGGCGTCGTCCCCCCAACTCCCGCCATTGAACGTGCCCTCGCAACCACAGTGGCCGCCCTCACTAAAGCTGGCCACTCTGTTTCCGAGATCGCCACTCCCCCCGACGCAGATCCCTTTACCGGGCTGAATCTTGCCTCGCAACTCCTCAACGCAGATGGCTGCCACCACTTCAACGCCAACCTCAAGAGCTTCGAGCCCTCCGACCCCGGCGCCATGCAACTCTCCAGCATCGCCCATCTGCCCCGCCCTCTCCGCTACCTCTACTACCTCTTCGTGCGCTACATCCGCCGCGACAAGGTCTCCGCCGCTCTGATCCGCGACTTCGGTCCCAAGTCCGCCGCCCAGCTCTGGACCATCACCGCCCAGCGTGAAGCCTTCCGCGCCGCCTGGCACAAGTGGTGGGATGCCGCACCCCGGCAATACGACTTCATCCTGTGTCCTGTAAACGCGACCCCGGCCCTGCCCCACGAAGCCATGCACGACGCTGTCTCCTCCTGCGGATACACCTTCCTCTGGAATCTGCTCGATTACTCCGCTGGCGTCCTGCCTGTCGGCCACGTAGATCCCATCCGCGACGCCCTCGTCGCCCCGTACAAGACGATCCTCAAGCGTCTGGGCTGTGATCACGGCATTGCCCGGGGTGCGTGGAAACACTATGACTCCGTTAAGATGGCCGGTCTCCCCACTGCTGTGCAGGTCGTCGGTCGTCGCTGGCAGGAAGAGCAGGTTCTTGGATACATGGCTGTTGTGGAGAAGGCATTGACCGAGTATCGGGATCCGCAGACCGGTGAGAGCTGTCGGTATGCTCTGTTGGAGATTGATTAGTTCGAACTTGCAAGGTTGTTGCAGGCAAATGTTTCGCCCCGATTTAACGGGGAGTTCTTCCGAGCTTAGTGTGCATAATGACAGGCATGGGACGAGCACATTCTTCATGCCCTAACTTCTGGTACAATGTACAATGAATTATTCTATTTCATAGTCTATTACTAACCATGTTACCATTTAACTACCACCTTCCCTTTTATTTCTCTTCGCCCGGTAAACATCGCAGTTTCTCTCCCGGCCCCATCACGGGACGAATGCCGTGTAACTTGGTGCGGGGGGTAGCTAGTGCGGGCACTGCGGGGCTAATTGCGTAATCTCTGCAGGACTGGAAATTGGCGATTTCATCTGCACAGTTGCTCCTACATATACGGAGTAGTACTGCATTCTGCATACTTCATAGACTCGAGCTGGACAGCCCTGCGCCCTGCTTCTTCACGTTCATATTCCCCCTCAGATATCACTTACAACAGTCGTCAGTCAACCATCAACACTTAACTAGGACATAATTAGATCCACTTAGCTAACTCCAACTTCATTTCTGTCTAAATCAAATACATCGCGGAATCAATTGTAGCAAATGCAAACCTTGGCAGCAACACACTAATCTCAACACCCCTGCTCAATTAGTGTACCGTCTCTTCAAGGCAGCCGTTGACCTTTAACCCCTGTACCTATTGTGCATTGGCTAGATCCAGCCTAGGCCTTTGTGTCATCCATTGGCTCGGGTATATTCTTTTTCTTCTCACAACGGCTGCAATAGCGCGCAAGAGAGAATTCGATGTGTACATCTTATTCGTCGGTGTCTGCCCGAGGCGCGGATGTCCGTAGCGGGATTTGGATATTCTGTGAATGGGCAGTGTGAGAGACTAGCAGATCCCGACCAGGGGTTTGGTTTAATACTCTTAGATTAGTTGATGGACCATATTTGGTGGTTGTTGACTGGTGTTTCTCCCTGGAGTTTGAACTCTGAACTTATCCAGTGAGGGTATTGCATGGAGTAGACTATGTATCGTAAACTTTTAACCGATTGATGGAGCAGAATAGCAATAACAACATGACCTCGGTCTATTCTGCAGAGAGATACAAAGTTAAGGTAAAGAGAGATTCCAATATTCAGGGGTTAGACAGGCTTCACAAACGTCACCTGAATAAACTTCCAACGGTTTTTATCTGCGTTGTAACCGTTCTCACTATGCCTATTTCTCTGAAACTTCGCCACCCCGAGATGATTTACCTCGCGATCGACCCGGGTACGAACCCGGGATCCACCTATTAGACTCTCTATTGTTATCTTATGAAGTACGGATATATACAGCCGCCTGTCAAAAAAAGCTAAAGTCCAGCACCGTCTGTGCAACCCATCTTTGTGGTGTGTACATGGTAGGATACATCTCTATGATTGGGTTAGAAGCAGGAAATAATTGCCAGTCAGATCCCTGCTCATGCCAGGCTCTACGCAGCTTTCAGCTCTGAAGATCTGATGATGACCGACGGGAACCGGTTAAAGAGAGGGCAAGAGGGATAGATGTGTCTACTGTACTTGGTAAGGATGGGTGTAGGGATAGCATCCCGTATTTCATGTGATTTACAGCGCGTGGCTTGCATTTGGTATAGGGCCACATTAGTGCATTACTGGGATTCCCGGTGAAAGGGGAAATGATTACTCGGTTTAGCCCAGGCGAGAATCTATGGTCCCTGTCGAGTCATGGCGGTTAAAACACACTATTACAATAGTACTGTAGGAGTGTACAATCTACGTCGAGTCTCCGGTTATTTGGATTTTACCTTGTTCGGAACCTTGGATAAGGCCAGAAGGTTTGATGAGTCCATGGTTGAGAGTCTCAGTATGGAGTAACTTCTCGGGCCAGGAACATCCGAAATCTATTTTTTCTCATGAAAGCAAGAACACTTCACCGTTGGGCCTAATGCAGAGCTAATTACGGAGTGAGACTTCCGAGATACCCGCGAATAGATACTGTGCATTAGACTAAAAGGGAAATTCAAGGACGAGGATAATAACTGGTTCCTGTATACTTCGATCAAGCGAGTTGATCTGCAGTCACGGGTACCCCCGAGTACCCGAGCTTGTCTCTCCTTTATTCCTTTCCCCACTCGAAGACCTCCAAGGCTCCAATCGCAAAATATGACACGGCTGGGTTGCAGTCTTGCAGAAGATGATCCACATTGCCCGGAAGTCTCATTCCTCCCGTCAAACCGTTACTCCACACCTACACTTGCAATATTCCTCTTTAACCGCCCCGCAATTTGATCGGCCTCCATAAGGCTCTTGTTCTGCTCTCAGGCTGAGTCTCGCCTGAAGTTATATCATGTAGAATCCAGCTATCATATACACATCGCGTCGCTTACCCCGAAGTGATATGATCTGAAATGGCATCAAGAAGGAAGCAACCCGCTGCCAAAAAGCGGGAAACCATTCATTTCGTCAACGCCAGACCCACCACCGAGACAGAACGACTCGATGCTCAGCGACTGGTGCGCGCGCATGTCGGTCGCTGGATCTCAGAACAAACGAAGGATAGATCCGCTGGCGAATCGTCTAATGTCCACTCCCGTCCAGTCCATCCGGTCCATGACTCTTCTATCCGCGCTGGTCCCGCGCCCGCCACTTTTACCCTCGTCTCGCGTCCCTCTAGCCCTTGCAACCCCATTGCAGGCTCGAACTACCCCTTTGCGCACGACTCCCGCTCTGCACAAAAGGGGTCCCGGGCCTCGCCATTCCCGCCCTCTCACGCGAGCGATAGCAGTGAGACCAGCAACGGTGACGATGCGCATGATGTGACGGTGTTCTCTTCGGAGCCGCGAGCTGTCGTCCGGTTCAATGAGCGCCCTTCTTCTCTTGAACGGTTGGAGCGGAATCTCGCTGAAATATTTGATCCCTTTGCCACATATCCTGCTCCTAGCAACTTCGAGCCTGCGATTGTCAATATGTCCGAGCGCTATCTCACGAAGGTGATCTGGCCGGACTCGCTCCCCGTCCGAGTAATGCCAAAGCTCCTGTTACCAAGTGGTTCCATCTGTCCATGTCGGATCCGGCGTTGTTCACCGCGTTCATGTTTGGTGCGCTCTGTCATCTTCGCGTCCAGTGCAGGAACAGATGGGTGACTGGGACGAAATTCGGTCGAAGAGAGGCGCGAGCCCTGGAGTTATGTGAGATGGAATCTATCAAGTTGATCAGTCAGGCGATCCAGGACCCCAGTCGTGCGGTCAGTGATGCCGTTCTCCTCAGTGTCATTTGCATGGCGCATCATCAGGCGGATAAGAACATATCACAACAACACCAGCGAACGCCATTTGATCCGCCTTTCCCGCGGCTGCAGTGGATTGACGTCTACGGATGTCTGCCGCCGAATATGATCCATATCAAGGGGCTGTTGCAGTTGGTCGAATTACGTGGTGGCCTGACAAATATCCCTACAGAGGGTCTCGCCGCGACAATTTCCTTGTATGTGATGGTCTTGGCTGTTTGCTCTTATCTCTCAAATCGAAACTGACCATCTACAGCTCCGATATCCTCACTTGTAGTTCTCTCTGCATTCACCCATGTTTCGACTTCTGGCCCCTGGTCGACAGCCGAATGGGCCTGTCAGTCCAGGAAATTCTTGGCTTCGGCCCACTGGACGTTGACCGAGGATTTGGTCGCTTGCAGAAGATCGGCGCCACGCGTCAAATGGCAGAAGCCTTCCAAGCAGTCCACACCTACATCGGGATCGTCAGAGCAAGCCCGACCTCCACACCCGACGTCTCTCTCCTCACCGACCAGCGCAACCTCACCCAACACACCCTCATCTGTATCGCTCCCGCGTCAGAAGTTGACTTCGCCTATCCTACCCAGGCGGCTACATACGAAGCCTGCCGTCTAGCGGCTATGATCTTCGGCGTCGGAGTCATCTTCCCCATCCCACAACAGAATACCCCGCTCAACACCCTCGCCCGCTCCATCATTTCCGTCCTCCTACAACCCAACTCTTCAGAACTGTGGTCTTCTCCGTCTACTCGTGTGCCGCTTATATGGGTGTTGACTCTCGGCGGTATCGCAGCGACGGGTACTCTCGACCGTCGCTGGTTTGTCTCTGCTCTGGGGGATATCACCCGCAAAACGGGGTTGACGTCCTGGGCCAGCGTCAAGTCTGTCTTGGCTTCGATGCTGTGGTATGATCCTGCCTGTGATACGGCGGCAGAGGACTTATGGCTGGAAGCTGCTGCTAGGTATAGGAATATTTGAACATCTGTATTAGCCTGATTATACATGTCCCCTCAGTCTCGTCCCTTCATTGCAATCATCCTTACACTAATATCCTAGATTGAAGGCCTTATCGAATATATTCCCGCTCGACTAAGACTAGTACGTACAACCATTCTCTCCAGGCGCTGAGTTATTTCGTCGAATGCTAGAGTGAGGAGTAATATTTTTATGGGACATTGGTTTTTACCTTTGACCAGGTATTGAATCCGTCGCGGCTAGAGCTAAGTCTATTGCATTTATAACTATGGCCCAAGTACCTGTAGGTAGGTTCAGCAGAGATCCATGTTTGGTTTGAGGGATACGTACTCTTAATATATTCTCCATGTAACTATTGCCAATGCATTATTAATATATTCCAGGACCCTACTCTTAGGACGTAGTATAGCTGAGCGAGCACTGAATAGGTACTACCACCACCACTCTTAATACATTCCTAAGGTATTGTCAATGTAGTATTAATGCATTATTAATGTATTGATGATATATTCCAGGAGACTATACTTTCAAGAATGGAATAACCTAGGTAAGGACTGCGGTGGTGTTAGTGAGCTCGCCAGTTGACCCGAAGGTCTGGTTTCCCTAGCCCTTTTTGGGATGTATTTTATGGTAATTTATCATGTCCTGGCTTGAACTAATTACGGACGCCAAGAAATTCCGTGCGGCCTGGCCTTATCGGGCCTTATCCAGTACGGCCTGACCCACATGTGGATGTCGAGGCGACATACACATTTGTTTCGGGCGTATACTGACACCAAGTCTTAACGTGGATCCTGGTTGTTCGGGCATCCCGGATATTCGGGCAGGAACTTCAAAACATCAACTTTCCTACCTTTTTTAAACGCCAATTAATCAACCAGAAACCCATAAATTTTACTAAACTAAGTTGTGGGGCATTTTTTAAAAGAATGCCCTTTTTATGACACCCAGAACAGGCGATTTGCCGACGCATAGGGGGTAAAACATGGAGTGTAGGTTCAACATAGGGTTCTAGAGCGGATGTAGGGACGAGATATATATCTCACACTTGCACCTTCCTCACCACCAACATTGGTAGTAGGACCCTAAAGCTCAGTTAAACCGCCTCTACTGGGTATCTGCTTCATTAATTTGTCCATCTCTTTTTGTCTGCTTTCTGTTCCATTCCCATAAATGCTCAATTTCATCCCGCATCAAGTTTCATCCCGCATCAAGATACGCTCATCAACTAACTTGACCGACAATATTCACCCATTTGCGACTGCCATCCTGCAAAACACCCCTCCGACCGGTACAGACTGACTGTGTAATGTCCTTTGTCACTGCAATAACTCCCATTGCAGACCCTGGTTCGTCAAAGTTGTAGATATCATCCGAAGTGATACCATATTGAGCACTCGTTTTTTCAACAGGCTTGAACCTCTCAATAATGGTATTTGGATCTTCCAGCAAGTCGTGTTTATAGCTATAACCACGAGAGAATTGACTAGAAAGCTCGGGATGTCGTTTGATGTATCGTGTTGGCCAATTATTGCCAACGGTCTTGGGGGTATTCCCTCTGCGGGTTTCGAGTTGTATATTGGCTATATCTCTCGACATGGCGATCGTAAGAGCAGCACCTCTAGTAACCATAGAGATAACCTATCCTGGATTGATCCTCCTAGTTATGGGTGAATTTATGGCTTGTAGCCCTCATGACAGACCAAATAGTAACCACCTGGATCCCGCGTCGACCGCGGGACCTTGAAAGAGCGAGCAGCAGCAGCAATGGAGGTAACCCAGCCATTTTTAATAACCTTATTTACAAGCAGGATTCTGTCTACCTGCTCAACTAATTTCTAAGATTTTTGACCTCGGATTGGTGGCATGGTAGGCATTTGAAAATTGGAGGTTGGTGAGGAGAGGAAAATTGGGGGTGCCTGCCCGAATCCGGGATGCCCGAACAACCAGGATCCACGTTAGGACGTGTCCCTCAGACCAAACATTTGAGCTGAGCCTAACTTGCTAAGTCTTGCTTAGGTATCCCAAGCCAATAATGCTTGGTCTGAGATGCTGAGATAAGGGAGAAATTGGGTAATCACGTATAGAGCACTAGGCAGGCGGTCGAAAAAGCGGTAGAAGTCATTAAGCCAATAAGATCAAAGTCAAGCATGGCGGCTACCGGCGTCCGTATTAGCGCCTGCTTCAGGTGTGAAGACGCTAGGGGCACGGGTGGTCGAGAGGCGCCCGGGGGAAGTTAGGGTTTCCTCCAAGCGCCAGGGTGGAGTCATCAAATGGACCGACATAGTACCTGAATATTATGCCAGTAACTATTACCTTTGACAACATAGAAGCTGTCTGGCGATCTCAAGCTACCATGTCAATCGCCAAATCTAGAAGACAGCTCAATGGGCCAGTCGGGTCATCCCCATGGCCCTCAGGTATAGTAGGCGTCTACCCTCGCGATCTGTAACACACAAAGAGATAAACATAGACTACTTGAAGAAGAATGAAAGTCTAGATCTGACTCCACTGCTAATTCTATCCGGTCTAGACTTTCGAACAATTGAGTCTCTTTGAGTTGGAATCCACGCTTTGTGTCTATAAAGAGCCGAGAACCAGCCTCGTCTACAATCTGACAATCAGCTTCACCTTTCCACACACTCCCTTTGTTTGGTTATTTTTGCTTTGCTCGAAGCGTTTCGTTCCGTATATCTACTGGTTTCCTCGCATACGCTGCCCGACTTCGACTCAATCATCAGCATCAGCATATAACATATACGCAACCAGCCTAACAGATTGACCCTCATCCGGGCCTCATTCAATCCCTCAATCCCTCATTTCCCATTGAATACCGCAATACAATCCAACTATCATTCAACAAAACCTCAGGTGACAAGATGGGTCCCAACTACGGTGCTCTCGGCGCAACCTTCCAAATCGCCCGCCTCTTCCAAGCCTGCTCTCTCATAGCCATAATCGGCATGACCGCCAAATTCATCAGCCTAATGGTTACACACAACGCAACGCCCCCAAACCTGCTAGTCGGGATGATCAGCGTGGTGAGTATCTCCTTCTTCCTTCTCCCAACCCTTAACCATTCATCCCAACCCCAGTTCTATGGAAATACAACTAACACCCACACAGACCAGCATCGCCGTAATCTACTGCCTAATAACAGCCGTCCTATACCTAGACGACATCCTCCCCTTCCTAATAATCGCCATCCTCGACACAGCCCTCCTAATCGCCCTGATCGTGGTAACAGTGCTAGTCGGCAAACCCCTCTCATACCTAAAATGCACGAGTCTGGCCCAGCTCAACGACGTCGATGCCACGATCTACGCATTTGCCTCGCGGTTATCGAGTTATATTGCGGATATGAGTGGACGGATTGACTATGTTAGTTGGATTGGGGCTTCGAGGGCGATTTGTCTGGAGACGAAGGCGATTTGGGGGCTGAGTATTGCGCTTTGGTGAGTTTTCTTTCTTTCTTTCTTGCAGTGTTGTGGGAATTGGCTAATGTGTTGTTAGTATTCTTTTCTTCTCTTCTGCTATTTGCAGTGTCTGTCTGTGGCAGATAAAGAAGAAGGCTGTTGCTGCGAAGAGTGTTGAGTAACTCTCCACTTGGATGGAGATCGATTATCCCTCCACAGTTTCGGCATACGTTAGACTACTTGAAAGATAGAAAACGGAAGGGGAGCTGATGATATGAGCTGGACGAGATGGATGTTTTTATGTCTTTGTCTTTTTGTTATATTTCATAGCGCAGCCCTAATAAATTCCTTTTCACACCACCTAGACAAGCTTGACAGACCACCTTGCACAGAATAGTAGATTAAATACACATAGATCCCCATTATCCTCAGAAGCTCAGCCAGAACTCACAGGCGGAATAACAGCCACCTCACTCCCAGCCATGATCAGGAGCTCCTTATCCTCCTCGATATCGACGTATTCGCCATCAAGACTGACGCCACAACTTGACAGGACCTTGGCAGTGATTCCAGGGTATCGGGTTTCCAGTTCGTCGAAGAGAGTGGAGAGTTTCAGTGGCGCTGGGAGTGATTCTGTGTTTTTGGATGTGTATTGGGATGCTGTGGCGAAGTAGTGGATTGTGAATGTTGAGGACATGATTGAGCTTGTTTGAGTATCTCAAGTGAGGAGACTGGAGAGAAGTTGAAAAATTTATTGAGTGATTGACCGAGGAATGGTGGGATTGAAGAATGAAGTGAATATAAGAAGAAATTCGAAGTCATAGAGGTAACATCGGGATGACCAATAGAATTGCCAATGCGGGGTAAGTTAAACACTATCGGAGATAGACTTTGATCTAGAACTCTATGAGAACACGTAAACACAATGAAAATAATACATGCATTGCACACGCTATCTACTCTAATTCAGTTTATCCTGCGCAAGCTCCCGGAACGCTCTCGCAAAGTCAGCCTTCAAATCCTGCCAATTCTCCAACCCAATACTAATCCGCAATAATTTCCGATCAACAGTAGCATCAGTCATAGTCCTCCACTCAATCAGACTCTCAACACCACCCAAACTAGTAGCATGGTGGAAGAAACGCAGTTTACTCGGCAGGTACTGTGCAAACCGCTGCTCCTTCATCACGATCGAGAACACAGGCCCAAACCCATTAGGCATCTGCTTCTTCAACCAATCGCCCTCCACCTTCTGCAAACTAGCATGCAGAAGCTCACCGAGAACAGCCTGTACAGCCGCCTCGTCGCTACCAGGCACAGGGTTGGGCGCGTGGAGCGCACCGTCTAACCAGGAAATCAGATGAGCGGCGTTTTCACTCTGGCGCTGGACGCGGATTTCAAGGGTGCGGAGACTGCGGACACCGAGCCAGCCCTCCATGCTACCCATGACAGTACCGATGAAGACACGGTCGGCTTTGAGCTGGGCGGCCCATTCGTCGTTCTTGGTGGCGAGGACACCGCACAGCATGTCGCTGTGACCGCCGAAGTATTTGGTGCCGGAGTGCATGATGATATCTGCGCCGAAGTCAAATGGTTCCTGCAGGCCGGGCGGGGCGAAGGTGCTGTCGACAATGAGGTATGCGCCGCGGAGGTGGGCTTTGGCGGCGTAGGAGGCGATGTCGAAGGCAGTCCCTTGCGGGTTGACGGGTGTCTCGAGGAGAATGACGTCTCCCTTACCCAGCTCTTCAGCTGGACAGTCGAGGCCGAGCTTCTGGAGGCCTGTTATGCGGGTGAAGAGGGCGATGACGCCATGGCAGCCGTGGTAGCCACCGCCAACGGAAATGCGGCGGGGATTGAGGAGGGTGAGAGCGGCGTGAAGAGCCGACAGGCCGGAGGAGTAGCTTATGACATGGCCATGCAGGAGGGTGGAGAGGATTGTTTCGAAGCGGGTGGGGTTGGGTGCGGACATGCGCGAGTAGCAATGGGAAGTCGGGTCAAAGTCAGCCTACGATAGATATGCGTTAGACGGGCAATTGGACTTGGAAGTTAAAGTCAAGCTGCATACGGGTGTGGCATCAGCAGCTGGTACTAATTTGGATGGATTGTTGGAATAACGAAATGTGGTGGAGAGATGCATAGGAGGCGCAACATCGTCAACGATGTTCAAGACATCGTCGGCATGCAGAGAGCGCGTGGAGGCGCCAATGGCTTCGCTAGAATGCGACATGATAAAATATGCTATGTAGGTTCTTGAATTGTATGCACAGAAAGGGGACCGTGAGGCACCGAGGTATTATACACCAGAAAATGCGGGGCGCCGGTCTCGGGGAGTCTCGGGGAGGGGCAAGGAGGGGGAAATCACGTAATTGGTCACGTGGGGAATCGTCGAGATAAGGAGGAGTGAACGTGGGAGATTATCGTCGAATAGAGCCCATGCGGGATGGCTCTCGTACGGATCCAGGTAGGGCTGCTTTGAAGCTTGCGCGTGCTGTTTAACCTTTGTTAGTGGGGCACACTAGAAGACCAGCAAGCCATAACTCACCAGCTTCGGTATCGAATGTAATAGTGAGATCGTCATGTTCGATAGGATACTCAGGCATGTCGAGGCACACAAAGTCAGAGCCGGGATTGTCGTCCTTCTTTGGCAGGGCGAACTTGGCGTCCACCATTCGAATGCCGAATTTGCCAGACCGGCCAAAGGATTCCATCATATCAGTGCCTTTGAGCACAAAGTTCATGCATGTGCCGTGTTGGAAATTCCCTAGGAAAACGAGCATTTGAACGACTTTCTCTTGTCGGACAATCTGGACTCGGGCCAGGGAAGCTTCCCATTTCTTATATATGGGAACCATACTCCGTCGACGAGAGATGGTGAAGGATGAAGCCATTCTGGACTCATTAGTAATGTCCCAATGACCGAAGAGTGGATCTATAGACTCACCCGTCGTAAAGTACCTGGAAGCCAGTGACAGCTTCTTCGAAGTTGTGGAGATCTGCGATAAACTTAGCAAAAAAGCACAGACGTCCAAGTCAAAAGCAGACATACCCTGCATGGTGGCGAAGTCGAGTCGACGGATCATGGGCTTCGCCGTAATCTTCTCCAACAACGACGTAAGTTGCGCTGTCATCTCCGGACGAGTAAGATTATCCGCAAGTGAAAGGGTCAGATCTTGCTGCGCGGAGCGGAACAGGCTCATGCTGGTCTGGCGATGGACATCCAAGCCGATCTTCAGTTCACCAGGCCCTGAAGAAAAGGATTAGCAACCTTTCCAAAGGCACAAAAAGAATGGAAGTCTCACCCAAATTGATGCGATCCGTGACTGAGCCCCATTCGGTGGAGATAAAGGCCCTCAAATGTTCGGACAGGATCGTCGGTCCATAGCCATGATCAACGTAAGCATGCTCCTGATCAATGACACAGACGCTTCCGGCAGGGAACTGGAGGTGTTTAACCGGCGGTTGGCCGCTGAATGCATCCTCCGGTTGCTCGATGCAGTAGGACTGAATGGCGAATTCGGGCGACTTGACCTCTCCTTCCCGCGGAGCCATGCCCAGCAGCACAGAGTGTATCCGTGTACGCTCCTCCACCTCATGAAACGTCATCAACATGGATCTCGTGCGCCCCTCCTCGGTCACTTTGAGCAGAAGAGCAGGTGCGCCGTTTTCTCCTCGCAAGAGACCGAATACAACCGGGGAGCCGTTACCCAATATATGCCGAATGCTGCTCAACGTCTTGACCTTAGGGCTGGTCATGACAGCCAGTCGGAATCCCCGGTGCGCGTTGCGGGTACCGGTGCCTTCAGTAACAGTGACCGATCGCTCGAACAAACGGATTCGAGATCTTTCTGTAGGTTCTGGAGGGAACGCCTTTGGCGTGCCTGGATCCATATACTGGAACAGTTTGACAGTATTCTCAAACACCAACGTCTCGCCTGCCTCCGGATGCAGACTGTTCTCCGACTTCTGTGTGTATTTGACAATATTCCAAAGAGTCTTGAAGTCTTCGTCCTTGAACATGACATCCAACTCAAATCCACGAGGAAGCTTGACCCGCATCGAATGGGACCGGACTTGCCAGTCCACATCCTCCCAAGTTGGACCTTGCTTGCGATCGGACTGGATCAGGATATTGACGAGCTGACTTTGACTGGTAATTGCAGCAAAGACATACCAATCCGAGCGCTCACGGACAATGGTCAATACACAGGGCATGGCATATTGCTGTTGCCCATCGTCGTCACTGGAGCTCACGCAGACCTGAACAAACATGCTACCGTAGCTGAAGTATCGACTCGTGTCGCCCAAAGGCATCATGTGGACCAAACTTGGCATTTTACCCACGCTTTCCACCAACATGGACCGCGTTGCGGAGCCAGATAATACTGCCGTGACGTCGGGCGCATAGAAAGGATAACGCATCCAAACACTCGTATCCAACTGAGTAGGAGACGTTTCATCTGAGATGACTAAAGAGAGGATGTTGTTCCGTTTGATGGACATGGAAAGCGACCGGAGATGATTGCTGAGAGTGTGGTGTATCCCCAGAAGGTCTGCCAAATCCTTGTCGCCAGTAGTGCTCGCAACAGCAAGAAGGGCGTCGACACTCATGGCACCGTACCGAGAGAGGTCACGATGACTAGGCACGATATTTTCGTTAATCCATAACGCCTTCCCAAGATCAACCACGGCTTGCTTGGCCAGACCAGGAGGCGAGGTCGAACGAGAACGAGCATATGCTTCTAGTCGCGTTTTTCCGCGCAGGAACCACCACACCGCAGCCCGAACCCATTCTGCCAGCGAAACATCGCTCGGAGGTTTGACACTCTCTGCTGAATGCTGAACATGGCTTTGATACCGTGCATTGTATTCTTTGAACTCCGCAAATGCGGTATCGCCAACCTGATTGGCAACGTTCCGAAGAGAGAATCTCGGGGGTTGGGCGCTGCCGGCCGGCTCCCGACCTTCGCGACTGGGCGGTGGGATCGGGCCCGACTGAGGCAACTCCTGTGGTGCTTTGGCACGCGTTGGAGAAATCTTGCCAGGACTACCTGGAATGAGATTCGGGGGCATTCGCGGGTCAATAGGACTGAGATTCGCTGGCGCGTGTTGTGTTGCAGGACTTGCGGGGTCGCGAATCGAATCAACGATAGACCTCATCGACAAAGACGATGGAGGTGCATTCGAAGAGACCGAAGTTGGTGCTGTGTCGTAGGCTGATTCGGGATCATTATGAAGTTTCGAGGATGGTTCAGGGCTGGGAGGACTGGGGGGAGTTGGGAGATCCTCAGTTTCGGCTCCGGGAGACAGTGCATTTTCGTCGTAGCGATGGTGCAATGCGCGACCTTCCTCCGCTTGCATCTTATCGCGGACGCGTTGTGCGAAGGTACTCGCCTCGTTGTCCCCACGGAATGATAAGCGAGAGCCGCTTTCGCTCTGCGGCAATGTCCTCAAGAATTCCGCATTCTGAGTGCTGTGCATCAGTGGTGGTTTCCAATCCGATCGATCGCGCTGAGGCGACAAGTTGGCCTGGCGGGCTCGCGCACCATCGCCCAGCGATGTGTCAAGTCGGAGGTTGGGTAGCTGCGATCGATCCGGTTGGGCTCCCCTGCTCAGCGACCTTTCGCGGGCCCTTGATATTTCTATTGTTGGGGACTCGGTCTCATCGCCCCCTTCCCCAATCACCTCGGGTTTCTGGTTGCTGAATCCCACCTGCAGCCCTTTCCCTTTCCGGCTATGGGGCTTGGCAGGGGTATGGGCGGGGGCGGAGACAGGGGCAGATTGGAGATCTGAGAAATCGAACCCGGCATAATTATCGCGAATCGGTGCTGATGCTGGCGCTTGCGCAGGTGTCGGCTTCGATGGTGGAGGGTATCCGGAGGCGTCTTGGGAGGGAGGAATGTGGTGAGGGGTAGCGTTTTGCGGAGGCAAGTATCTTAGATTGTTAGGCGGGGGTACCGTCGCAGGGTCTGGAGTGCGAGATGAGCCCAAGAAGTCTGCGATATCTTTATTTTGCTGCGCAGCGACTTTGCTCTTATCTTTTGAGAATAGCTTATCTCTCCAATGGGGCTTTTTGACGGGTTTGGGCTGCTCCGCGGGCAGAAACGAGAATGGGTCATCGGTAGACATGTCAATCAAGATGGCGAGTAGACCCTGTCCACATCGCACTCAAACACGCACGAGTATGACTGTCATCAAATGTCCCCTCCCCCTGATGGAAAGATCGACAGGGGCTTTGGGCCTGATAAGGGTTGGCAGAATTGAGATCGAATGATGGAATAGCGGGGAAGTAGAGGAAGAAGGGGTGAATTTGAGACAAGAGAGGAGTATGAAGTTGAGAAGAGAGTCAAGTCAAGTCGACAAAACGGAAGGAGGGGTGGTGAATCGAAAGCGCCCGTGCTCGGATGAAAGACAACTATCAAACTCCAATAAAATTAGCCCAATTTCAAGACTTAACTAGAGGATTCTGTGATTGGAGGCGGCGTCAACAGATCAAAGGGGGTAGAGAGCTTCAAAGATTTTTAAGGAGGGTATTTTTTTTTCGCAGGCTTACAAGAATTGTTATTGAAGCTGGTCCAGCAGCCTGAGACGTGGAAGGTTGGACTGGAGAAGAATGTCCTTTCTAAAAGATGGGTATCAGGGGGGAGAAGATACTCCGCCTGGAGGCATTGCCGTGGTGGAGTCGGGCTCTTTCTGTGGAGTTAGTGATGCCATCCATGATAATAATAGGAATGTCTCATGCTGTTTGGACAGGAATAGGGATAGTAGTATCGGTAAATACTAATTTGTAGGATACAGACATGAATATATAGCTAAATATATATTTTACTGTGTAGTTATAGCTACTATCATCATTGGTATACTTGAAACAAAGTGAACGCCTCGAAGCCACCTGCTAAACTCAACCAATCAGCACTGACAATTCAATCGTCTCATACTGAAACTCCACTATTCCTGATTGGGCTGATGGACCCGCAGTTGACGAGTTTCGTCAATGATCATCGTTCCATGGTTGATCACTTGATGGACTTTCAGAGAGATCGCAGTACGGAGTAGATAACCACAGTACCTACAGGTACTACTGTGTACTCCGTACAGTACTTCTTCTTTCTGATGCTAAATAACCGCCTTTACCCTTCACGTTTCAAATTTCAATATCCTCAGCATTGAACCTTTGAATTCTCCCAGGTCTTGTGTCCAATCTCATCTAGGGGTTTCTTAGCGCCCGAGTCTTCTCCCTAATTTCTTCGTTTGCACCCCCCAAGAGCCCCTAAAAGATCCTTGTGGCTCAATTTTACTCCCTTGGCTACAACGTATATTCCTCGTTTGGGATCCCCGTCAGATGCCAAATCTGGGCATTAATTGGTCGGCTTACCCCTTTGGTTCTTCCGTTGCCAGGGGTTCAAGGCCTTAGCAGTTTGGCATGTTAGATCCCTGCTGGCCCAACCTCGGAGTCTCTGATTCGTTTTATCGGATATGTGTGTGCCCTCAAAGCCGGTAGTAATATCTGCAAGCAACCTGCAATTCTATGCTTGTCCCGCTACACCTGCTCCTTTTACGCTGAGATTGGTTAGTGTTTCCTCACCGACAGATCTTCCAAATATCTCTGATCAGAAATCTCTCGTAAAATTTTGATCTGCAGTGTGTGAAGAAGAGGCAGTGTGTGCAGAAGAGATCGATGCATAACTATGTGCTAGCTCGGACCCCCGCATTGGATTAAAATTGGCTTGTCAGACCAGGTGTTCATACATATCCCCTCGCCTAGGGCTACGGGTAACTCGTAGATCCGGGGTCGGGGCTCCAGCGGCGCATTGGAGGTGCCCTGCACTTATGAGTTATGTCCACGCACCGCCAAATATCGATGTTTGCCAAACCGCTCAGCAATTAAGGAGGTTGGCAAATCTCAAGTCCTGCACGAATAACTCAACATACAATCAATTCACCGTGGAGAACTATGTCTTCCTGCCTTTACCGTCCCAGGCTCTTCTTGACCAGGTCTTCGCATCTCATGAAGTTAGCCTTCCACCCTAACTGCACCACACTAGGTTCGAAATCATATACATCTCTCACCGGCAGGATGGAATCAAAAGCCGCCGGGGAGAATCATTATACACGGCTCCAAATCCAATACATGCCAATTGATGAAGTTGAGCAGCTCGAACGGTATTGCCCGGGAGGATACCATCCGGTAAATGTCGGAGAGCAGCTGGGTGGTAAATATTCTATCATCCATAAGCTTGGTTACGGTTCATACTCGACGATTTGGCTGGCAAGAAACCAGGAAGTCGGAAGATATGTCGCTATAAAGATACCGGTCGCAACATGTGATTCTACTGGGACGCGAGAAACCGATATCCTACGCCGGTTAAATCACACAGGGTTGGAAGGAAAGGCTCATCCCGGGGCAGCATACATCCCGTCAATATTCGATGGCTTTTCTGTTTCTGGGCCTAATGGCGTACACCATTGCCATGTCACTGAAATAGGAATGATGAATCTGGGAGAAGCTAAAGATTCCTCCTATATTCACCTCTTTCGGCTGCCTGTAGCTAGGGTTATGGCTGTCCAACTTGTCCAGGCAGTGGCATTCCTACATTCCCAGGGTATCGTTCACGGTGGTAAGTTACCCTCTAGTGGTGATCCAATCTTTCTTCTCCTTTTATGTGCCGGATGTCTAATGAGATGGATCACTGCAGACTTGCACGATGGCAACGTCTTAATTCGTCTACCTGGAAGTATGGATTCTCTTGCGCCGGAACAGCTTTACGAAAAGTATGGATCACCTCGATACGAGCCGGTTGAACGTCTAGATCAGGGTCAGCTTCCCGAGGGGGTCCCTGAAAAGGGTCTTGTGCCTATCTGGCTAGGAAAGGACAGTGAGCTTGTTGACTTATCAGAAGCTCAATTTATTCTGACTGATTTCGGCGGGTCTTTCATGCCAGCTACTACGTCGCGGCCTTACTCCAATGCACCACGAATTTGGACTCCACCAGAGATCTTCTTCGAACAGGGAAAGTCACTTTCTTTTCCTGTCGATATCTGGATGCTTGCGTGTACGATTCGGGTCATTATAGCCCAAAGCCCGCTTTTTGAGGTATACAATCCGTCAGACGACATGGTAATAAAAGCACACGTTGGCTGCCTTGGAAAGCTGCCAGCGCCGTGGTGGCAGGAGTGGGATGCTCGTGCAGATTGGTTCAACGAGGATGGGGAAAAGAAAATTGAGACATACGCCCCGTCATTGGAGCAGAGATTTAGCGAGTCGGTGCGGGAGCCAAGGCAGAAGTATAGGACGGAGGAGATGGATGAGATTGAGAAGGTTGCTTTGTTCAAGATGTTGAAGGCTATGCTTGCATTTAACCCTGAGGAAAGACCAACTGCGCAGGAACTCTTGAATTGCGAATGGATGCAGAAGTGGGCTCTTCCTGAGTTTTCCCAAATCAAGGCGACTAGCAGGTCCCATACTCTGTGTGCTATTCGGACGGACAGCAAGCGGGGCGCCAGACGGCTCCCATTGCTCGCCGTCCTGTACTGTGAAGTACAGGTATTATCAGGGCTCCATTGTCTTACCTGTGATGATTGTGAGGTCTTGCAGCAAGCCACAAACTGTCAAGTCTCAGCCCTACAGTCCCAAGACTATGTAATAACTGGAAGATTGGTCACATCACACTGGGATCCACTCAACTATGTCCACGCAATGGGATTCTGAGTGTGCTAGGTCACATTATTCTATTCTCAGGTAGACAATGCGTCGAGCTTCTTCAAGTCTTCTTCAGGCCGGAGATCAGAGCTCCGAGAGAGCGAAGTGGGCAAAAGGCATCTAGTTGTTGACGTCAATTAAGAAGCAATGGACGAAGAGAGAACATCGAAGAAGAGCAAGATCAATAACCTTGAAGGTTGATTCACTTCCCCAAACTTCCCTTTGAATGGCTTCTTATCGCAGTTGTTGTTCTCTTTCGCTTCTTAATTCTTTTTCGAGTGAAGTCAGTGTCATCGATCGCAAGTGAGACAATCCGGCGATTATTTAGGATCGGCTGAGACAGAGCTGGGGTCATGCATGGCGAACAAGAGGCCTATTCTCAGCACGGTGTAGCTATGCAGTATACTTCAAAGCCCATGTGTGGTAGGCGATATGAGTTCATGATGTAGACTGTCTGGCAGACTGGCAGTCTGGCAGAGGCATAGTAAAGCCCGTCTGTTAATGTATAAGTAGCAGAGAGACAAGAGGTTGAAGATCAGAAACAGTTGTTTTGATCCACGTAGTTCCTATTATTAGCGCATTATGTAGTCGAGTAGTCAGCCAAACTCCACTGGGGGGCCAGACCAAACAAGGCGCAGCAACAACAACAGATCAACCCACCGAAAAAAAGTCGCTTTTGCACTTTTGCGTGTGCTTTACTCTGACTTTTGATCCTTCCCCCGGTTTCTGCCGCGTTTAGCGAATTAGCGATCGATTTACGCAGTCCGACGTATTTCCAGGCACCGGCATAACTTCGAAACCCCCCAACCCCCATTACGCGAACCACCATCCTTGGTCCATACCCTGCGCTCAGATTCCCATCGACCTCGAGTGACAATCGACCCTAGGGCTCACGGCGGACGATACCCTGACACCAAATTGGCAACGCAACGTGGATTCGATCATCTACACCGGGGGCTGACCTCCCCGAGGAGGTCATCCCGGATGCCCGAAGCGGACATGTACGACTCAGCGGAGATCGAGCTGGATGGGTCCACATTGTCCCCTCGACGGAAACGACTTGGATGGTCACGATGCAGCGGATTACACGGTTCACAGGGACGAGCGTGGCGCGACACTTCAAAACGTCGACGAGCACCATGGAGCTTGATGTGGTGGATCGCACTAATTTGCATAGTGACCTTTGCATCGCCGGCCGCTGCTGTCCTATTAGACTTTGAGAATTGTCTGTCAGAATCAATCCTCGAGTCTGATCCCCTACAACTACAATTTGTTCCGACCAACGTGTCCGTCCATTTCGGCTCTACCAGCTCTTTACATCCGCTCGTCGTGACTGTCTATGGCAATGTGTCGGGCACCGTGTCTCGAGCCAAACAATATCCGGCGGCGGACGACCCGGTCTGGACGAATCCCAATTGGACTGATGGAAAGATCGAAGATCTGAGCAGCACAAACAACAAATACAGCACGCTATTCACAGAATTCGACGTGCTTAGCTTCTCACCATTCAATAATGCGTCTCGATTTCATGATTCGATTATTCAGGGTGACTTCCCGTTGGCACCCGTCTTCAATTACAATCTGTGAGCTATTATGAACATCCCCTTCGCTCATGCTCATACTGATCTCTTCTCTTTCGCAGGAGTCAATTGGACACTTTACGAGCCTTCTCCGTTCAACATGATATGCTCTCGACTTACCGCTTTGGTACCATCGTCCCGCTGATGACCATACGCTCTGGGGATATATCGGCGCTTCCGCTCGGCTGTATCTCAGTGGAAGTTACACCAGACTTCGGAACGTCCCTCAAGAATGCGCTCGCCTTTGTCCCTCTGGTGATTCTGTTACTGGTAGGTATTGCGACCATCTCTGCCGCCATGTATAGTCCGTGGGGAACAACAGATCTATTTCGATGGACAAGCAACTACGGCCGTGACGAGGATGTCCTCCGCCTGGTCACCCCCGGGTTTGCGGACTGCCTGCAGTACCTGCAATTCGTGGTGCTGACCGGCGCTCTTTCGTTGAACTATCCCGGGTTCTACCAGCCTGCGGTGAGCCAGGGAGCATGGTCAACCCTCATGTTCAACCATAGTTTTGTTGGGCCTGGAGCCGGCCGCGATCCTGTCGTCGATGGTGTATATGCCATCGAAGGTACTCATGGTCTCGACCGATTGACCCACCTGATTGGAATGGCTTCGTCCCGAGATATCTGGCCAGGCATGATGGTATGGGTACTGGTAATCCTGGCCTGTGTGACTGTGCTGTTCCAGGTGTTCTTTGCAATCCGATGGCTGTATCGTGAATGGGCAAACAACACGGTCCAGGACTTGCGCGCTAGAAACATGCCGTTCACCCTGGGCAACATTATTCGAATCGTGTTCAACTTTCTTCTCTTGCCTATCGTTTCGCTTTCCTTCTTTCAGCTGGTTCTTGCTCGCCAATCGGCTGCTTATTTTGTTGCATTGGCAGCATTGGTACTTGTGGGCATCGCGTGTTACTCCATTTGGGCTATTCATGTGATCATTTCCACTCGGCCTAAGTCTCACCTGTTCGATGACCTGCCTACGGTGTTATTGTATGGGCCACTCTACAACACATACTGCGATGACGCAGCGGCTTTTGGCATCGTGCCAATCGTTCTGAACGTCGCCCGAGGGATTGCCATTGGTGCGCTGCAACCATCTGGCATCGCCCAAGTGGTGATGCTGGCCATCTGCGAAGTTGTTGCCGTACTCTCGCTGCTGGCTTTCCGACCTTTCCCGGGACCAACTCACATGAACTTGTATCAGTGCATATTCTCAACTGTGCGGTTCTTGACGGTCATCCTGAGCGTGGTGTTTGTTCCGTCATTAACAGTGTCCGACGCGGCACGAGGCTGGATCGGCTACTTGATTCTTGTGCTACACGCTATGGTGCTTATCTTCGGATTCTTCCTCAACGCGATGCAAACTCTGATCGAGGTTTCGGCAAGACTGGCTGGTGTGGGCGGTGCTGGTGGTGCTGGCGGTGCGACTCGTGGTGGACTGGCCAAGGTGTTTGGCATGCGTCAGCTTTCCAGGCGCTCCCCGCGACGTGATCTTACTCGTCAAAGTTTAGGATCCGAGGCTGCAATGCTTGCTCACGTTGACGATCGTATGTCTTCTCAATTTGATGGATTGCGACCCCGCAGTTTCTCTGGAAGCTCTGGTCTACTTCTGAACCGTGCCGGAGCTAGTGATGGCAGGGCCAGCGCTGTTTACGACTATGCCAGTTCTCAAGGCGGCACTCACAGTCGTGCAGCCAGTGGAGGATTCCCAACGCCCACCTCAACGGCCTACCAAGGAGCCGGCTTCTCTGGCTTCCCTAACTCGCCTAGCAGTGCTACGATGTCCCACCCCCGCGATCCTTACTATCGACCACCTCGTCCTGGGCGGAGAACGCCCCAGGGGAGTATCTCGTTCGAGAAGGGGAAGAGCCCATCAAGGGGCTTCTTGAAATCCAAAGCAAGCCGCCGAGCCATCAATACCGAAGATGACCTGGGAGATGGGCCGTCTGGCCGGGCCACACCAGTCCCAGCATACCTAGCAGCGCCCAAGGATGACATGGAGCTCGATACCCCACGCCAGCCAAAGGACTATGCCGTTCGTGAGGTTGATTTCTACTACGGTGTCCGAGGCCCACCACTTTCCCACAGCGGTACTCGAAAGTTGAAAACTGGCCCAGCCGACCCCACAGGACCAGTCTCTTCTGCGACGGGCTGGTTCAGAGGCTTGCTTCGAGGGAAGACCAAGGACAAAGCCAAAGGATTTGAGGTTGTCCGAAGCGCTCGTGCACCTCCCCCAGGCTTATTCCCGCCAGGGGCCGAATATAATGAGCAATATCAGGATGAGCCAGGCACAGCCTCTGCCAGCCACTCTCGCAATGTCTCTACTGCCGATATCCCTTATCAAGATTCAGATGGCGAGCAAGACAACGGGCGGTCAAGCGGAACACGCCCACCAGTACTGCCACCACTCAATACGTCAGTCGGCGGGGGCATCGAGTTGCCCAGTCGGAGTGGCTCGCGTCAATCGCGGGCGCCCGGTGATCAAGATATAAGGGGAACTGCGGCTGGACTGCCAGTTGTGACGGAGACCCTGTCGCATGACTCCAGCGTAGGGCAGAATTCCTCTTACTCTGAGAATTATCTCCAGCCGGAAGGCTCCATGGCCGCTCGCCTGCCTTTCAGCGGCGGCAGCTCACCGTCCAGAGAACGAGGACTATCCATGAGCTCCACTACAAGGTCAAGGTCGAATGCCTCGAGCGCTGGGCAGATGGGCCCTCGAACTGACCGGCCCTCGAGCATGGGTTATGTACCTCAACGCCGCGCACATGACCAGATTCACGAAGCGAGTCCAGACGAGCCGTCATTCAACGGAAGCTCAGCAGAACTTGTTGATGAAGCTGCACAGGGCGAGCACGAACGCTAGAAGACAAAAGGTCCCCTCATGTATTTTGGACCAGTATATCCTTCTTATTCTTTTTCTTTTCTCATCCTCTCTATCGATCTACTACCTATCTCCCCTGATATCACCGTCACTTCCTCTCTGAAATACCTGGCGCACTGATGCAAATCACGAATTTCCTTTATGCTTGTCTGTCCGTTGCTCGATCTCTCTGCCTAAAATTGCTGCGATGGCGTTACATCTCCACCCCAAGGTACACTTCTGGGATTGGAATATGGGTTTATCTTATTCTCCTGGCTGTTGCTGAAATCAAGCCACATGCTGTGTTGTTCTGGAGGCCTTGCTTCTTTCTGTTTCTCCTTTTCGCTCTTCCTGTATTAACCACTTGGACATCATAATACCGAGATCACACTTAATGAGCACTAGCTTTTGGCCCTTTCTGGGCTTCTTTGAGTTCCTGTACTAATCCCGAAGTTTACAAGGACTTCGATTGACGAGTAGGAGACTTGACTATTGAGGCCTCGGGTTAAGACATGATCGATCTAGCCTCACCATGACCCTTGTATATTGTGTTTGTATAAGCCCGTCTAGTGTTCTCTGGTTGATAGAAGGACCGTTTGCTTCATTCTGCGTCATGCAGGGGTCCTCCTGCCATGGTTCTGCGCATGGAGACCTTGATCTCTAGACATTGACGCATATAACCCGCTTATCTATGTAGAGCACCGTCACGATTTGGTTAAATGGTATCATTTGCATTTTGCCACTGGTCTATAATCCTCCGGCAAGGGGAAACCCGAATGGCAACCCCCAAATGACTCGAGAACCACAGCAAATAGCAATCAGACCGAGGGCCGATGACAGGGCAGATCGGCCCGATACACCGCCCGTTACACCGCCCTCTCCACCGCCCGATAACAGCAATCGCCACCGCCCTCACCGCCTGGGCCTTAACGATAACGGTCCGTATCAGAGCCAAACATCTCCTGTCATCATTCATCTCTCTTTTCTCTTGTGAATCGAGTGACGTGTGTTCACTTGCTGGTTGATTTGATGCTATTGTCATCGGCCGTGCTGGTACCATTGTGCTATTAGCGCTCATCAAGAGGGCTACGATATTCTCAGCCTCATCTATCACCCCCATCCGGGGATCAGATCAGCCTTGGCCTTATGATCAGCATCATCCTCTCAATCCTGGATGCAATCTTCGGCAAAAAGCGTCAACGTCATTGAAACTGAGCCCTAGATTGTACGAGGGGACTGTCCTCCGATACGCGCATCTTTTCGATATCCCCGTTATCGATATCCCCACCATCCTTATCCATCGCCACTGGGCTCATGTGCTTCTGTGACCTGAGGATCGAGATCGATCTGGGTACCTGCGTCGGGCGAGATCTCCGATACCCGACCTTGCAACGATAATAATGGCTGGATCCAGCCCGCCGTCGATGGTGCCGGGCACACCAAGCGAAAGACCAGCAGCACATGGCATAATACAGTCTCCGAGTTCTGATGGAGGTAGCCCTAGACAGGGACCCTCTTCTTTTCGCCCGGGCTCAGAACGAAAACGACGTTTGACCACTACCAGCGAAGATGCGAGGCAACTGGAACGATTTGGAGACACGGCAGGACCGGTCCCAGACGATGGAGGAGCTTCCAGGAGCGTCTTGCCGCATAGGTCTATCTCGTCGGTGCTGCCCTCGTCCCGCACAAGGACCTCTATTTCTGCAGTCCCCGGGTCGTCATTTGCAACGGCGATAGACCTCTCTACCTCCCCTCCAGTGCCGGCTCGTTCTTCTACTTCTGGCGAACGGGCCTCGCGTAATGCTCGACAAACAAACCTGCCGTGGATTAATCAACCACGCTCCGTTTCGTCCATCCAGGACAGCGTGACCCCACAGTTTCGGGTCATGGCTGCCCCTAGATGGCAGGCAGACTCGGAGGTATCCGAATGCCCAATCTGTGGGACGGTGTTTAACTTCTGGCACAGGAAGCACCACTGTCGAAAGTGTGGGAGGGTTGTCTGCGCAGCGTGTTCCCCGCATCGGATCACGATACCTAGGCAATATATTGTCCGCCCTCCTGAGTTTGTTGACCTTGAATCTTCGCCGATTACTCTTCCTCGCTCTCCACCTGTGGTCGATCTTACAGCCGATGACCTTATTCCTTCTTCTTCGTTAACGGCCAACCCTGCTCTTGGAGGAGGCGAAGAGGTTCGACTTTGCAATCCGTGTGTGCCAGACCCCAATCCTAATCCCCTGGGATTCACTCACGTGCGACCAAACGCCCATCGATCTACACATTCTCTTTCTTCACCAGCGAATAATACCTATCGAGTCTCATCGGTAAGCTTTCTTTTGGGTTTTACAGTTGACCTTCCATTGACACGGAACTGTGCAGGCTCTAAACCAAACCCACGAAGCTCGTCAGGAACGACACACCCTGGGCGCGCCTGATCGTCCCGAATTCCTCGACGACATGTCGCGCCGCAGGTTTGCCTCCTTGACCGGCATGTTTGGCCGGCGACGCTCCGTGCCCAACCGTGAGGTTCCCGCCGAAACCCCCTCCCAAACCCCCTCTGGACCCCCATCTCGCCCCCCCGCCCACCATCCTCCTCAAACCCCCTCTCTCCCCTCCGCCCACCATCCTCCTCCAACCCCCTCCCGACCTGCCCCGGATGAAGGAGAGTTCTGCCCAGTATGTCGGCGCCAGTTCCCGCCGTTGACTTCCGAGCATACCCTCGAATATCGCCAAGCCCACATCCGGGATTGCATTGAGGGATACCTGAATCCAGCCGCCTCGGCCCAATCATCAGATGCGCAAGGCGCTCTGCCACTCCAAGCGCCCTCCGTAACCCACATGCTTCCTTTTGTGGCTACGGAGAAGGACTGCCTTGGACAGGACGGCCAGGCAGCTGAATGCACAATCTGCATGGAGGAGTACGAGGTTGGACAGACCTTGGCACGTCTCGAGTGCTTGTGCAAATTCCACAAGCATTGCATTGTGGAGTGGTTCGAGGTGAAGAGGGAGTGCCCTGTGCACAAGCTCTCCTAGAGAGGGCAATTATCTCACGTGAATTCTCACGTGAATCTTATTCTTAATGAATCCTCTCCCCTCTTTCATTGGGTTGACTCTTTTGCCTCTTGTATTTCTTTAGGGGCCGGGACTTGTCCATGAGAGTCCTGGTCATTCGAGCAGTAATCGATCAATCCAGTGTAATTGCAGTTCACCTTGTATCCTCTTTAGATCTATCAGTAAGCTCTATGCTCTGGCAGTCACGTGCATGCGCTAGAACTCGAGAACGTAAGAACCTAAAACATCTTCACTTTAGCCCCAAGCTTAGAGCATCTGCATCAGACGGCACAGTGTTGCTGGAGAAAGGTGAGCCTTGCTTTACACAGTAGTGACAGTACTATTTGTCCCCCTTGTTTGATAGACGCCATTCCGCCGCACAGAGCCTTGATCCTCCACATCGGTGATCGGTGTTTGCGATCGCCGTTCCCCGTGCACTTCCTCCGCAGCCCAAAAAGCCGTCTCAAGCTGTCTACAGCGCAAGCAGCGACCGCCAATGATCAAATCCATAGAGACAATGATGCTAATGTGTAACAGTGAGCTGGTCTCCGCGTCAGCACAGAAAACCCCCCGCACTGCATAGGCATCGATCCACAGTTGCACGCCAAAACCGGATCCCCACGGCGATTGTACACGCCGACCCGACCGACAATGGCCACAGGCCCAGAGTACCCAGAACCACCATCCCACAACTCCCTCAATCCTTATCAGATCCGAGATATGCACGAGGCGCCGCACCCGTCATTCGGGCCGAATCCCGACGTCCAACGCGATCCGAACGACCCACCCGGTGACGCCAAGCGTCCACGAGCCTGCGAGCCCTGCCGACAGCTCAAAGTCCGCTGTGACCCGGACCCGGCACACCCAGAAGGCTCATGCAAGCGGTGCGCCAAGGCGCGACGGACGTGTGTAGTGACTGCGCCGACGCGCAAGCGGGCAAAGAAAACCGACACGCGGGTCGCGGAGTTGGAGCGGAAGATAGATGCGTTGACAGCGTCGTTGCAGGTGTCGAATTCCCCTGCTCTGTTTAGTGGAGTGTCTGGACAGCCGCCCTCGCCGAAGCATGATGAGCAGACTGGGCGGAGGTGGATGGGCGGGGAGCAGAAGATCGCTGGTAATAAACGACGACGCTCTGACGAACAGGATTCGTCTGGTTTGCTAGCGCCGCGGTATTCGCGACCGGGTAGTCCGTCTGCGGAACAGATTCCCCAGGCGTCGAAGTTGCGTAAAGCTGGTGTCGGTGCCTCTGCGCCGGCCGTCAACCGCGAGGCTGGCAATGAGTTTGCTGATATGATAGACCGGGGAATTATAGATCTCAAGACTGCGAGCGCAGCGTTTGACCGGTATGTGCAGAAAATGGCACCGGAATTACCTTTTGTTGTGTTTCCGCCGGGAACGACGATGGGCGAGGTACGGCGCAATAAACCGTACTTATTTCTTGCGATTGTCGCTGCTGCTGTTGGCGCTTTCAATTCCGATGCACAGCCTATCCTTGTGAATGAAACATACCGTCAGATTGCCGAGCAGGCTGTTATCAAAGGGCATAAGTCCCTTGAGCTGGTTCAGACTATATTGGTTTGTTCAATCTGGTATTTGCCGCCCGATAATTTCGAAGAGCTCAAGTACTATTCTTTGACGCACATGGCTGTCATCATGGCAATGGATCTTGGGTTGAATCGTCGTGTATCGGAGGACAGACGGACTTTGAATATGCTCCGTGAACTTATTTCTAAAAAGCCGCTTGACCCGGCGTTTGATCCGGATGGACCGGAGGCGAGGCGGACTTGGGTGGGATGTTATTATCTATCTGTACAGTGAGTCTTATTCGAGTGTCTCTCTGGAGCTGTGGCTAATTTTGACAGGACGGTGGCGGCTTTGAGGAGAATACATCTGGTCACATGGCAGCCATACATGGACGAAAGCCTCGAGATTTTGGAGATTCACGCAGATGCTCTCCCTTCGGACCGTACATTGAAATGGTGGGCAAAGCTGGCACGCATAATGGAGGACGCCGGCCGGCAGCTATATACAGATGTTGCTGGGTCTGTAGCCACCTTCGCCGAGAGTAAAATGTGGTATAGCATCAAAGCCCTGGAGGGTAAACTGGCACAGTGGAAAGAAGAAGTGCCCCGAGACGTTTATACTGGTGAGCCCTGGGTCTGGGGGAGGTACTTGATCTGCTGCTAACCCATTCCCAGAGCCTCTGATTCAGACAGAACATGTCCTGAATCTCTTTGTGCATGAATCAGCAATGAGTGTGGATTACAACACCGTCAACCACTCTTCCCCACAGGACAGCCTACACAGCTCATCAATCGTTGCAATCATGGATGCCTTGAACACAACCATCCGCAGCATCCACCAGAGTATCGACATAATCTGCACGGTTGATATCGACCGACTCATCTCACTGCCTACGACGTCAATAGCTCGTACCTCATACCCGGTGATCAGTCTGATCAAGATCTATTCACTGTTCATGTCACCAGACAGTCAAATCGGCCATATCCTCGACGTGCAAAGTCTCCAACTCGACCACTACCTGGACAAAGTCATAGCGCACTATCGCACCGCCGCCGCGCGTGATGGCGGCCGCGCAGCAGCAAAGTTCGGCAATATCCTCGTCCTGTTACGCAACTGGTTCATCAAAAAGCGAGACCAGGGAGACCAAGGCAAGGAACTAAAAGACGTGTTTGCAAACGAGCAGAAACCCTCTGGCCGTGCCCCTGCAAAGCAAGATACCAACACGGGGTTCGGGTCTACGCCGACGCAAATGGCACCGGGCATGACACCACTCCATTTCCTCAGCGAAGTAGCAATGGGCGATCCAGCCCACCGCACCGCTACCAACACCAACTCCCAACGCTCAATACCATCATACCCCACAAATCCAAACCCAAGCCCAAGCTCAACAAACCAAATAACACCCAACTCATCATTCGCAGACCCATCCCAAAGCTGGTCATCAAGCCTACCCTGCCCAACACCACTCCAATCTGACTCCCAGATAGATTCGAGGGCTTACTACCAGCCCTATCCATCTGACGCTTCACAGACATACCCGGATCTACCATATGGGACACAGAGTGGGTATTTGGATATGTCAGGTGGGATGCAGCTTGCACCGCCGATGGGAATGGCGGAGTTGAGCACGGATCTGAATGAGGATTCGTGGTTCACGTTGGGGAATCTGATGGATGAGGGATTGGTTACGTTTCCGCTTTCTTTTGATGGGAATTTTGGGTTGTTGTAGGCTGTTGTATACTACTATTTGTTTAGGTATACCCGTTGTTGTCCCCAAGATATCACGTCGCAGGGTCTATAGTATATGATATCCAATTCCTGGCCGATTCCAATAAGCCGCTAATTCTCATGTATATTCTATAACAGGGTATCGATTACATTAACCTCCAAGCCTGCACAACCTGATGCCGCAAATACCCCCACGGCCACCCATTTTCTCTCTCCGTGCGACGCAGGAGATCAACGAGTAAATTCTGGACGACGGGGTCCTCGATCCAGGAACTGTCTGAGAAAGATATAAGTGTCAATAACATCCAGCAAAATCAAAGGCACAAGATGTGACCCACAAGCAAAAAGAGCATGACAAGCCGTAAGCCGCAGCGAAGGCTCGTCAGCAGATATCCCCACGCCGAACATGAAATTGAGCGTGTCAGTGAGATCCTTCATCAATCAGTATTAGCAAAGAGCAGATCAGCAGGAAACGAAAAAACAAACCCTCAATTTAGCAGGCTGCTCTCGATGCAAAATACTCCGATCATAAACCTCAAGATCACGAATCAACAACATGGACTTCGCAAGACAGATATGCTGAATAGCCGTAGCATGCCACAAACTCATAAACCAAACAACCGGAAACGGCTTTCCAGCCGCATGATCCGGCGGCGAAACATGCAAGGGCGCAAAACTATCCGGTCTCGAAACCTCCCACTCGTTAATCCGATTCCTCAAAGCAATCTCCTTCTCCACCCTCTCCCTGGACGAATTAAAGCAGAGATCCACTGTCTCAGCCAGAATCCAGATCGCGCGGTTCGTCCAGTCACCGTCCGAAAGAACAGGTTTAGCAAGCCACGAACGACGAAGATGGTCGTCGATGGGTGCGAAGGTCAGTCGTAGACATTTCTGGTATGTTAACGCGAACTGGATATCTTGTATCACGAAGACCCAGAAAGATGCTGAGGCGAGACCGCTGGAGATTGCGCTGTCGACGTGGGAGCTTATGTAGACAGAGCCGGCGAGGAGGTGGTGTTGGGGGTCGTTTGGGGGACTGTGAGCTTTTTGAATGTTAGTTTGGTAGTGGCGATTGGGGAAGGTGAGAACGCACAGGAGATAGATTCGAAGAAGCGGAGGATAACTGTTGATGAGAGGAGGATTTCGATGCCAATTTCGAATTCGGGTTTGTCGAGGACAGGCAACATAATTGAGATGCAGCGTTCATGGTAAGCGTGGGCGACTTCGATGGAAATGGTATTTGTCGTTCGGGAGAGATGACAGGCTGAGACAGCTAGACAGGCGTATAGTAGCAGCGGGGAGCGAGTCGCGCGCTCGACGACATAGGTCGAGAAATGGCGGTTAGGGTCGCATGCGTCGAGCTGGGCAGTTAGCAGTCAGCACTCGTCGTGAAGGAAGATATAGACAGGTCCGCTCACCCAAGGCGCAAGGTACTTTTGGAAATGTCGCAGGAGAAAAGCTTCGGTGACATTAGGCACTCTCGGCTGGCTCATTGGCGTAGGAGCAGGTGAATGAACAGTCGAGCTGGAGCCAAGCTGGGATCCTGCGTAAGGGATGACGAGGTTCGGTGTCAATGAAGAGTCCATTGTGGAGGATGAAGGCGTCGAACGATCTTCCGAAGAGGATCTTTCAGCGGACGTCTGTCTTAGTACGGGGACAACATAGTATTCAGCTGCCGTCTGATCTGTTTCATCTCTGAAGTCGACTACGGGGTGGTGAGTATATTGAAAAACAGATAGACACACGAGCACATACGATCAGGAGAAGAGGTCTCCACCCAGATTTGATCATCCGGGAACGCAAGATCACTCTCGCCATATCGCGGGGGCCCCTTTCCTCGTAAGGATGGATTCTGACCATGTCTGAAGGAAACCTCTTCAGATTTGCCGGGGGCCGGCAAACATTCGCGGCCAGATCTTTGGCAGCGGAGACATTTTGAGCCGGATTTATCACCTATTCTGTTAGTTCAAGACCAGAGAGATGGTAGATATGCTGTAGACCATACATTTCAGGTGGCGCAGACGACACGTGAGGCTGAAAAGATATTAGTTGACGATTGTTTATGTTATCGAACGAATACTGACCATCCCCTCATTACGCAGCAAAAGTACAATCACAAAACAAGGAAAAGGATTCAAATATGCCAGGGTCAATGTAGATAAATAAGCCCTGTCGACAGTCAAGCTACCAAAGTTATCCATGGCTCCAAGATATCAAACCAATACGGGTGGAGATCCCATGGCAGATCAACGGGATGTGCGTACGTGTTGGGGTATATAAACCGGTGAATTTGGAGTTTAGTCCGAGAAGATTGAGGACAATTGGTCGAGGAGGAAGGAAGCGGGTTTCGAATGTACCGGGACTGCACTGGAATTGGTTCAATCCGACTCTCTCGATGACCAACGAGAATAAACGCAGATTCATATTCGGGACTCGGGATTTGATGAATCCACAGTCCAACCTAGTCCCGACTCCCCCACGTAGTTATAACTTTGATAGTCGTGTTCCCAATCGAATAGATCTTGAGATCTCATACTCCGTACGGAGTACACAGTACACATACAACACAGTCGCGAGTAAGACAAGACTTAGTGCAATCTGCCAAGTCAGACTATTGCATCTTGTCTCACGAGGACATCATTTTCCTCTTTGGCCATAGGGCTCAATATTTTCCTTTTACCCTTTTGCCTTTCTGCGATATATCCACTTTTCTGAAGATCCATTCCCGTTTTGACCTCGCAGTTCCTTCCCGCCAATGAGATGAAACAGAGAACGGGATGGACTCCATTTAATCCCGGATATTTGGCTTAAAGCCGTTGTGGTTTGTCAGGCATTATAAAAAGACCCAATGACGTTGAACAAGCTTGGATTGCTAACGTATTCGTTCGTTCATTTCCCTTTGATTCTCACCGAAAGTGGTCCGGGACTCCGGGTAGTAAGGTACCGGGAAGTAAAAAGCCAAAAATAAGTTTCAGCTCGGTCCTCTTCCGCGGAGAGCCACATGGCGGTTTCGAGACTCAGAGTCTTTGCAGATTTCTCTTCCACCATGACTACACAGTATGTATTAACTGCGTAGTCGGTGACGTCCAGATACTGTGTACACAGTAGAACGCACACGCGCAGGATTGGTTGTGAGCCATTCTCATGAGTCATGAAACAGACACTTTGAGTTAAATTCCAATGTTCTTCTCACTAATTCACCCATGGACAAAGTACGGACCCATCGAACCCTGTCGATCTTGGGGACTTGCCGACGGAAGACGAAGCCGAAGATGTGATTCGAGCTGAAATCCCGAGATTGGCCCTCGTATAAAAGTTTAATTCGAGACATCATGAAAGAATAAACGTGGTCAAATTGAGTTTGATGAAGATGTGGGGGGTTGTTCTTCTTTATGAGCTGCCTGTTTGGGGCAGCATCTCCGGAATGTTGAGATTTGAAGCCATTCGTGGACGTCGCCCGGGTCGGATTATGTGATCATCCGCTTGTTCCATGGTTGGTCACGTTGGTGAGAATGGGAGTCAGGTGATGAGTCTCAAAACCTGACGCCTGGTTATTCAGGCCATAATTGACACCTGATGACAGCCTTGGATAACGACGGATCTGCAATTTCCCCAAAACAGGCTGAAAACAGGCTGATCTCCATTTCAACCTGGCCTCTCCAATGTCCTCGTTCATATCTTGGTGCTCTTCGCAGATAGCCTCAAAATCTATGAACTCCCCTCTCCCTTCTATCTCAATATACACTTGACCTGTAATGCCAAATGTCCCTAAACCGTATCTCCTTTCTAGAAGGGTGGGAGCGCAACCCCGCCAACCGGGCCGAGGATTCAGATTCGGACTCGTACCAAGATCTGCCCGAGGGCTCCGTGGCCTCTTCATTTCCCTCCAGGCTTAATTTCAACCCGTATGCGGGGCCGGCCTGGAACGAGAGCCCCGACGATCGGCTCTCCTTGCTCGGCTCGGTTTCTCCAACCCGTGGGGGGCGGGCGGGCTCAGTGGGATCCGCCGACCGGACTGTGCACGAGTCGGCAATTTCTCGGACCCTGGGGGAGACGACTGGTGCTTATGAAGTGAGCGCTGCCAGGAGGATTGGTATGCATTGCGAATTCAAATTCGATACCGAATGATTGCTAACTTGTGCAGCCCAGGTATGCACGGCCGTTGTATACTGCTTCCTGGCAGCCGGGGTGGTCTTCGGCTTTGCAGCTCTCAAGCCGATCCTCCTTCACGAGAAGGTATATCGTAATCTCTGCTCCCAGGCCGAGCTGGACGAAGATGTCGATGTCTGCTATGGACAGGAGATTCGGTAGATCCCCTTCCTCTCCCCCAGTTGAATGTACACCTGCTAACACCGCACAGGCTAAATCTTATGTTCACTATCGCCGCTGTAGTAACCAATGTCTCAGCCCTACCCGTAGGAACAATCCTAGATGCGTATGGACCGCGAGCCGGCGGAATCATCGGCAGTATCTGCCTCGCCATAGGAGCAGGACTCTTCGGCACAGCCAGCAGGCTGCCCTTCGACGGATACATCCCGGGGTACATGTTCCTCGCCCTGGGCGGACCATTCATATTCATTCCGTCTTTCCATCTGTCAAACACCTTTCCCAAACGATCAGGCCTGATCCTGTCTATGCTGACCGGCGCCTTCGATGCCTCGAGCGCTCTCTTCCTGCTCTTCAGGCTGATGAGCGAACACACCCAGGGCCTCATCTCAACCAATAACTTCTTCGCAGTCTATCTGATAGTACCAGTCTTCATCATCGTCGCCCAGATCTTCATAATGCCGAAGACATCCTACAAAACAGCCGGCGAGCTCGTCCAACAAGCCGAAGCACAAGTGGCAGATGAAATCCACGACCGCATAGATGACACCGTCGCGGACCGCAGCGAGGGCGAGCGTCAGCGCCTAAACAGACGTCTCCAACGACAAAATATCGTCGGCCATATCCAAGATCTTCTAGACGATGGCACAGCCTCGGTAGTATCCGCAACTACCATCGACAACACCATCTTCAACACCAACATCGACGCTCACACCAACACAGAAACTCCATCTCATCCCCATCCACAACCTCCAACATCATGCCAGGACGAAATCCGCGGCATCCTCCACGGCCACAGTGCCCTCTCCCAACTCCGCACACCATGGTTCATTCTCCTAGCAGCCTTTACAATCATAACAATGCTCCGCATAAACTACTTCGTCGCAACCCTCCGCACACAATATACATACCTCCTCTCCAGCGCCGAAGCCAGCAAAATAAACAAAACCTTCGACATCCTCCTCCCACTAGGCGGTCTCCTCTCCGTCCCGTTCACGGGTACATTCCTCGATACCTTCCGAACAAGAACCGTCCTATGCATCCTGGTAGTAACAGCAACCTTCATCGGTGTATCAGGGTGTACACCACACAGTACTACCGCCGCATACGCGAATATCATTCTATTCGTACTATACAGACCCTTCTACTATACCGCTGTATCCGACTACGCAGCTAAGGTCTTTGGCTTCGCGACGTTCGGGAAGGTGTATGGACTTGTCATCTGTCTTGCCGGGATAGGCAATTTTGCGCAGGCGGGGCTTGACACGCTTACGTTGAGAGTCTGGAAGGGAAATCCCGTGCCTGTGAATATTGGGCTTACGGTGCTTGTTGCGGGTGTCGGGGGTTGCTTGGTTGGGTTTGTTGCGTGGCAGACTGCTGTATTACAGAGGGGGAAAACTGGTGATGTGGATGTTAGGGAGAGGGAGCCTCTGTTGGGAGATGAAGTTATTCGGGGGTATGGGGTCTGATTGCACTGTGTATAAGACGTAGGTATAGCTTGTTTTATTGTCAATTCTAGTGTAATAGTTGCACATCAGAACCAATGCATAGTATATTCTCAGGGCATATTTTGCGAAAGAAACAAGTGCAGACAGCAGATAATTCCATATCCATTCCCCCAATCATCCGTGCCTGGAGCTGACGCCGAAGCTGACAGAGGGACATGGGTATTTGTCCTCGTGTCGTCCTGAGTTGCTGAGCCAGTTGGGGTATCCCTCTCCGCAAAGCACCCGCTTGCAGAGTTCCATCAAATAATAAAAAAGAACGGTTGGGCGGTCGCGCTCATCGAGTCCCATGCATCATGCATGTCAGAGGCGAGTGATGATGGAGGTGATGTCAGATGATCAAGACGACGAGATGGTAGTAGGTGGGGAAGACGATGCCTTTCATAGGTGAGTTATGATCGAGACTGGGGGGGGGGGGCGGAAGAAACTGACCTTGAAGGTGGATTCGAAAAGGCTATCGGCAACCTCCTGGAAGTCCAGAAGTTCACGCGAAGACAGGTTCCTCACAAGCCCCTGCTTTCCCTGACGAACTTAGCCATGCAGCAACTTGACAAGCCTCTTGCATAGCAATCCGCCAATTGTTCCTTTCACGTTCTCGCTTCTTAACTTCGCGGATCGCCAACATTCGCTGATTCTGCTTGATCGTAGCGCCCCGTCCGTGAATGCATTAAACTTGGTTGCTTGTAGTTTGCAGGAAAAGTGGATTCTGTTAAAGACCCATTCAAGCTCAGAGCCAAGAACTAAGAAGATGAGCGAGTGTCTGCAGCAGGATGGCTGCTGCTGCGTTGACAGTCGCTTCAAGGAAGTACTGGCAGTGAAGGGGTATGTGCCATCTCCCCGTATGAGCCGGGAACCAAGTCGACCGGCAAAGAGATGAGTGCGTGGATGTGGCGAGTGTGAGGAATGGGTTCGTGGGAGGAATCGACCGTCACTTATCGACGGAGTCCGTGGTGGATGAGAAGGCGAGGTGTCGTGTGATCCTTATATTTGTATAATTATATGGATGGCATGTATGTTGATGCCTCACAGTGACAAGGTATAGCTCAGATGCTGCATTTATTCTCGGACCTTAGGGCGACAGATTGCGGTTGGTCTTTGACAGAGGTGATATCGGGACAAGTGGGAGAGAGAGAAAGAGTTGATTAAGTACAGAAGGCAGGCCTTTAAGTAGGTAAAGGGAAGCCTGATCACCAAGGCCCCAAGCATGTGATCTCATACAACAGATATGAAAGTGAGAGTATACCAAAGTGACACAGAGGTCATATGATCAACTGCCCAATATATTAACTTTGGACTCAACAGTTGTTAACCTTCCACTTCTCATCCCTCTGTTTACTTCTATCAGTTGCCTCTAGCATTGACCAGCTCAGATTCTCTGCACACAGAGTCCTTTTACTTTTCTCTCATCCCCTGGTTTGCTATATGCATATCTACAGATATGGCACAGAGTTCAAAAGCGTGGCAAGCGAACCCAGCCAATGGTGGTGACAGAGTAAGTATTCAGATTTACTTTAAGCACTTTCGTCCAACAGAACTAATATTAGCTTTAAGATTACACCGATGAATTCTCACCCACCACCTTTTCATAACACATCGTCTGCATCCGTGGCATGCCAATTAGTCCAACCCACATCTGAAGCAGAGACAACATCACAACCACCTCATAACACGTCGTCTGCGTCCGTGGCATGCCAATTACCCCAGTCCACCTCTGAAGAACCCGCGGGCTGATGAATGGGAGGCCACTGAACTCCCAGATGCCAAGGCTTTCGAATCAGAGATTAGGTGGGCATACCTACGCCAACTGCATCTGAGAAATGTAGGCCAGTTGGTTGAGAAGGTATATCCCGGACTCCAGAAAACCTCTCATTCGTGGACAAAGGCAGTCAGTGAGGCAACCGACCGCGTTAAAAACTGGAAAAGTGTGACCTTGGACAAGCTGAAAGTAAGTTACAAGCACACAAAAGAATAAATGGGGAACTTATTGTCTTAGGCCAAGGTTGAGTACTTGATGGAAGTCTCGCGGTAGCATTACCGAACCCCTATCTCCTCCATTTACGATGAGGAAATGATGACTGTCTACTTCTACGGCAGCTTCACGAAGGAAGACTTCTTTTCGTGCTTCTTTTGGGTGAAGGACGATCTGGACTACGACAACTCCAGTTCAGGGGGGCAGCGTTATGTCAAGAATATTTGGGCAGCCCTATGCACCCATATTAAAATCCACATTGATGCGCGCCAGTCCGGCAATCGGGATGCTGAGGAGGGACGGTGGAGGGATGTCCTCCAATTCTGGGACGACCTGACAGACAACGAAGGGTTCAACGGCGTCCACAGAGCAATGTTTGCGGAAAAGCTGTACGAGCACCGACCAAACCGCGGCAGGGATCCGGCCCGGCCACGGAAGAAGATATTTCACGGCCATGGAAGTTGAAGAATCAAGTGTGTTTGCGATGATATTTCGGTATCGTAAAACCAAGAAAGAAGCAATTGGCCACGGGTGGGAATATCGCGACAACACAGGTAGTGAATAAATCCTTGTGAGAAATCTCCTGGCTTCATCACACTTCTTAAACCAAAACTTCAAAAGAATGGAACAGAAACATACAACAGTGAGGATTGGCTGGTGGTCACCCAACTACTAACTCACCGGCGTGTGGCTTATGTGGAATAGCCTGGTGGGTGCTGCCTGGGTGAGTTCCATGGAGGGAGTTGGGGGGTCTGAAACACAGTAACGACTAACGAGATAGTGTCATCACAATATTAGAAGGAAACATGGTAAGATAGTAATATGTTAATGGGACATTGTTTTTTATTTGACCAGGTATTGAATTTCTCGTGGCTAGAGCTAGGTAAGTCTATTGAAACCGTCGTGGAATGCTTCAGGGAGACATAAATGCAATAGACTTAGCTCTAGCCGCGACAGATTCAATACCTGGTCAATAAAAACCAATGTCCCATTAACATATTACTCCTCACTCTAGCATTCGATGCAATAACTCAGCGCCTGGAGAGAATGGTCGTACGTACTAGTTTTAGTCGAGCGGGGATATATTCAATAAGGCCTTCAATCTAGGCTATTACCCTGGGCTTCAGGCGTTCAGGTACTAGATTCCTGCTTCATTGGTGAAGCGCCTGCATGGCTAATTGCTTCAATAGATAGGCTACATCAAGTTAATAGAATCTTGATTGATTGATGATATCCATGGAGAATGCTATGAGAAAATTACATTCTCACCCCTAAAAGTGCGTTGAGCTCGCCGGAGCAAGATCTATCTCAATGGAAACAGACCGACTACGACCCTTACCGTCTATGAGTTAGGGTATGTTTCATTCTTTTTGATTCATATATCGCACTTCGATTTCTGGCTCATCCTGCCCCGAATGGAGACTGTACCGTTCAAGGACAGCCAGCAAGGTCAACTTGAACACCGTATCCGCCAAATGCTTCCCGAGACATCGTCCACTCGCCGCCCCAACGCCAAACCGCATAAACCCGTATCGCAATTTTGAGGGCGTAATATCCCGAAACCGTTCGGGGCGATACGTATCACTGTCTTTGCCCCAGGTAGCTGGGTCCGCGTTCAGGCGTTTGGCGTCTATCACGACAGGGCATCGTGCGGGAACACGATACCCCCCAATCTCTTTTGGGACAGCAGTGCACTCGGGGAGGGAGAATGCTGCGACATAAGGAGTAGATTAGAGAGCTGGAGTTATTAATAGGGAAAAGGTAAGGAAATAGACTGACCGAAAGCCGGTGACAAGCGCATAGCCTCCATTACAGCATAGTTTAGGTGTGAATCTTGTTTTGAGAGATATTTTTCGGTGTGTGTATTGGTATCCATGTCAGTGTCGGTATCCGGGGTGCGGGTGCGACTCCCAACATGCGCGTCAATCTCCCCTCGAAGCTTCTGCTGGAAAGCCGTATTGGCAGCTAGATGCTCGAATAGAGTGTTGAGGACCGCGGAGCTGACATCGACGTTGGCGAAGAGGATCTCGTCTAGGGTGTGTAGGAACTGGATACATCAGCGCAACTGTATATCCTGTGGGTAGACTGTACACACCTCCTCATGTTTCAAATCGCCCCTTTCAACACCGCGATATATCTTCTCGGTAGGGCACACCTGCGATCCCTTCCGAGCAGACTGGACAATCCTAAGATTGAACTCCCTCCACCTTGAACGGAATTCTTGTATTCGTTTGGCCGCATTACGGTCCAACCAACAGCCTAGGCTTGTCGCCAGTCGTTTGTTGGCGATCACATCGTGCAGGATGACTTCGTGGAGGATATTTAGTTCCAATAAGGCAGAGAAAAGCTATCGGCAGCCAAGCCGACCATCAGCCAATGTCCCGGAGATTGTAATGATGAACCTGAAGCGGAATAGAGGGAGGATGTAAGGTTAGGTACGCTACCTCATCATCAAAGACCTCCCCATACACAAACTCCGCCGCAAGCCGGAGCGGCAAAAATCGACAGGGCTTCTTCAGCTCCAGTGCAAACCCTTTCTTCGTTGCTGTTGCTTGCAGTGGCAGATCATCAAGCCATCGGTTGATGCTCGCGCTGAGTTGCGGGATCGCTCGTCGAGCGGATTGAAACGAGAACTCGGGGTCGAAATAGCGACGGATCATCAACCATCTTTCTCCTGCTATTGCTCCAACTGCGTGGCCGAGAATACTGGAGACCCTGGTTAATATCCCACGGCGAACTGACAAACGTAAGGTGCCAAGGGGACTCGGAAAGGAGTGACATGCCCGCTAAAGTACTTTCCCATGTTCAGATATGGTGGCTTAGGATGATCTGTGAGTCCTGTATTAGTACCCTATCCGCTCTAAGGGATCTGTTTAAGGCATACGCCTAGTATCACCCTTGTAAAAGTCGTAGATGTGCTCTGGCTTGGTTACCACCAGCTCTCTTGCTCGGCCATTGCGGATGATGAACGGCTCGCCTCCGGCGAGAGCCTTGCCGTGATCGGAGAGCTGCTGGCTAATGAACACTTCTTAGCTGGGTCCTCCCCAACTGTTAAAAACGGATATCGGATACGTCCATACCTGAAAGCGAACTTCGACACGCGGGCGTCTCCAGGAATCTCACAGATTTTCCTGCCGTGCTGGTTGGTGATTCTGTTTGCCCGGTGCCTGGCGGAAATTTTGAGTACGAGTAGGACAAGTAATATCAGAACAAGCAATTTGAGAACTTGGGGACTGGCCCTCAACCTCTGCTTCTCTAGATCTGATGCCTGTGTCTGAATATTGATGAAACCCATTTTGTAAAGGAAGGCACACAGGCAGGTACATGTCTAGCAATAGAAAAGTGTTCAACCAGCGGGCTTGCCCTTGAATACCATTGCGAACCCCGGCAATAAACCGAATCGTCGACCATTTTCCCGGCCATGGTGGATATATGCAGGGAAGGGTGAGATGGACTCGGCAAATTTGAAATCCTGGTGTTGGGGGCGATGGACAATTCTCCGAGATTCCCGTCACGCGAGGCACGGAGACCGACTAGGGTGGGGTATACTAAGGCAAGCCTGAGGCAGCTTTATCAACGTCCAGCTTCAGTTAGGGGGCTCCTCTATACTTGTAAACCTTGGTTATCTTTACTCCAGATTTGGGCCATAATGATCCCTCCAAAGCAGCAAACCGCTCTGAAAATCACCCCAGAAGGACGCATCGCCGCAGTCCGATGCTCTCTCCCATCCCTCCAGAATGACGAACTGCTCGTCCGCGTCAGAAGCATCGCGTTGAACCCCTTCGACGCAAAATCAGCCGAAATGTCACCTACCGCCGGCGCAACTCTGGGGTGCGATTTCGCAGGGGATGTCGTCGCAACAGGCTCCGACACCAACAAGCTCAACTTCAGCATGGGCGACCAAGTCTGCGGTTGTGTCTTCGGCAATAATCCAAATAGGTTGGATAATGGTGCATTCGCAGAGTACGTTGCTGTCCCGGCGGACTTAGTGTTTAGAATTCCGGAGAATATGGACTACAATGAGGCTGCGAAGTTGGGTGTAGGGCTGGCCACTGTAGGGATGTCGCTATATCACTGTTTACAATTGCCTATGGAGCCTGAGCCGGCTGGCAAGTCGCCATATGTTCTGGTTTACGGCGGCTCAACGGCGACCGGGACGCTTGCGATCCAAATCCTTACGCGGTAGGCAACCCTATATGATAACAGTGATATCGGCACGCAATTCCAACGTTACTGATCCGTATCCCCTGCAGCTCTGGCTACACACCGATAACGACCTGTTCGCCCCATAATTTCAATTTGGTTCAATCCCTCGGCGCCATCGCAGCCTTCGACTACCACTCCCCAACATGCGGGCGTCAAATCCGTGATTACTCTTCCGGCACTCTCTGCTACGCCCTCGACTGCATCACAGACACACGGTCGATGGCCGTCTGCTACGAGGCTATCGGGTCAGCCGGCGGTCACTACCTCAGTCTCGACCCGTTCCCCATCCGGGGACATACGCGGCGAAGTGTCAAGCCGAACTGGGTGCTTAGCCTGACGATGTACAATCAGCCGATTCCGTGGAAGAGGCCGTTTAAAAGGGATGCGCGTCCGCAGGACCGAGAGTTTGCGAAGAGGTGGTTCCAGATCGCTCAGAAAATCATCGATGCGGGCGAGATTAGGCCGCTCAAGTCGGAGGTGAGGGTTGGCAGATGGAATGGTATACCGGAGGGCTTGGCTCTGCTACAAAGGGGAGAGGTTTCGGGAAGGAAGCTTGTGTATGAGGTGGCGAGAAATTAGGTCATTTTATTATTTATGCTCCTCATGGTGTGAATGTTTAGGTGGATATTCTACGAGACCAGCGTTGCGAGCGGAGGTATTCCCTCGCGTACGTCCCCGTACACAGGATACTAGTATCTACGAGAAAGAACTACATCTAGGATCAGCCATAAATGTAACTGAAGTCCAATAAACGTATTTTCCGAGCACAGTGGATCAATATCAAAACCCGAGGGCAAACGGGGTACTGCGCTTGAATATTCCGGGCGGAGAATAGCAGACAGACAACAGCCATCTTCTAAGAACTCATTTGACAAGTAAAATGCACAGAACCATTTAAGCCAGTCATGGGAGGGTGGGATCTCTGATAGATCATTCTCTAAATACCCACTTCATTCACCAGAAAGAAACATGCCTACCGAAACCCTCGACTCAGGGACCGTCCTCATGGTGGGCGGCGGCCCCGTCGGCCTCATCACGGCCACGACACTAGCCAAGTACGGCGTGCGCAGTATGATTCTCGAGCGCAACCTGACGACAACCATGTGGCCGAAGATGGACCTCACAAATGCTCGCTCGATGGAGATATATCAGAGACTAGGTATTGCAGAGGCACTGCGAAAGGTCGCTGTGCCCTCGCACTACCCCTTCACATGTCTCTTTTCGAGCGGGCTACATGCCGAGAAAGCAATCACCGCATGGTATCTGCCGAGTCCGGATGAGTACCAGAGAAGGAGTAGGGAGCATAATGATGGGAGTATGCCGTCAGAACCGTGGTTGCGTGTTTCCCAGGAGATCTTCGAGGCGTGGCTCAAGGGGCTTGGGATGGAGAATCCGCTTATTGATTTCCGTGCTGGGTGGAAGGTTACCGGGGCGCGAGAACTTGACCTTGGAGCGCAAGTTGATGCCATCCATCCGGAGACAGGCGAAGAGTGGAGGGTCAGTGCGGACTTCGTAATCGGATGCGATGGCGCCCACAGCGCTATACGCGAGAGTCTGGATATTCCCTTGGAAGGGGGCCCGATGTAAGTGCTGACCTGCCTACCGATTTGATACGCAAGTTCAAGAAGAACCATTCATTGACGAAATGTTAGCCATGGGTACGCGGTCCTCGTGCACTTCAAATCAAGAGATCTCTCACGTATCCAAAAGCAAGGCCAATTTTGGCACTTGTTCTTCCCCAATCCTGCGAGTGATGGCGGGTCTATCAAGGGAGCCATCATCGCACAGGACGAAGTCGACACCTGGACCGTTCATCGTTTCATGCGGCCCGACGTGGATCATACACAGCTCTCGTCGGAGGAGATCGTCTATGACCTTCTGGGTGGGATGAGTGGCCAACCTTTCCCGATCAAGATTGACGAGATCCTTGTTCGCTCGACATGGACGCCAAGCGTCGCACTTGCGCGTTCTTACGCAGGGCCTAGGCACCATATATTCATCGCTGGAGACGCATGTCACCAGACTGTGCCAACTGGCGGCTACGGAATGAATACTGGTGTTGCAGATGGTTACGACATCGGCTGGAAGCTGGCGGCCGTGATCCAAGGGTGGGCTGGACCTGCAACGCTTCTCTCCTATGAGCAAGAGCGCCGGCCTGTGGGAGAACTAGCACTGCAGTGGTCGAAAGTACACATGGGCAACTTGATGAAGATGTCTGCCGAACTAGGTCTCGACTCCCACGTGATCGAATCAAACAGTGAGGCCGGCGCTCAAATGCGAGCAGCCATGCATTCATATCTCGAAACATACGACGGCCATAACCAGAGTATCGGGGTGGAGATGGGATACCGCTATGCTTCTGGTCTTTGTGTTTCTAGTCCTCTTGAAGCCGAGCTTTCCCCGCCAGAGTTCCAGCCCAGAAAGTATACACCAAGCACCATGCCGGGTTACCGAGCTCCTCATGTGTATTTGACGACCGGGACTCCTGTTTCCCATCTTTTCGGTTACGGCTTCACGCTTGTTGCGTTTCCAGAGAGTGAAGAATTGGCCACGTCGATTGGGCAGCTGACAGAGTCGGCTCTAAAGAGAGCCCTGCCCCTTGACACTGTTGAGTTACCAGGGGAAGTGCATGCTCATGAGGTTTGGGGGCTTCCCTAGTTCTAGTGCGACCAGACGGATTCGTTTCGTGGCACGGTAACAACGTTCGCAGTCGAGAAGAAGCTGATCGGATTATGGCCCAGGCCAGCGGTTTTGGTCCTGATTCCTTGGATGGTCATGACCAGGTGCTAGGGAGAAGCGCCTTATAGCTTGTTTATAGTGACTAGTTCTCTTAGTAGTCAATTATATCCATATATGAAAGGGCATTTGCATTTCTTGCCAGGAACCAAGCTTGAGACCCCACCGAGAGGTTCAAGATCTATTTGCAGCGCCGATGAACGCACAACATACTGTTCCACACTCAGAGTAAGTTGTCGTCCCTTGCGTACTACAAGTAAATGGCAGGGCAAATACTTGTGTGAAAGATGCCGTGATTATACAACACAGCACGCCCAGTAAGGGCGCTCTTGAGGATCATCGCGACCACCACAAGGGGCAAGTCCTTTTGGGCAGGATTTAACAGATGGCCTGTGGGGTGTTGAGATGCATAGACTTGTCAGGCATATTGTCCCCAGCATGGCGGACATGGCTTGCATTGCCACGTAGGCGAGTCTCGACTTGTTAACAATCGTCAAAGTTGACTAAATGTATGTACTCATATATAATTCTGTGGATTCGTTAACTTAGTTACTTATTGCTTAGTCAAGGTCCATCCAGCCAGGCCAGGCCATCACTGGTGACCTAGTTAATGTAGGTACTTCTGCTCTTCATATGTTTTCATGAACACCAACTCGTCAAAGGCATCGTGTTGCTGCAAGATCCTGATTTCGGAAAACCTATCTAGAACGCGAGTATCCAGGGGTCTCCTCTCTCACTCCTTGAACAGCGCGATTTGCACGCCGGTTTTATTTGAAGGTCCCACACGCATCACTCCGACATAGGGATTTGGATCTCGGGCTTCAATCCGTTTATACACGCGCATCAGTCGGGCTAGGAAGTAACTGGCTTCTGCTGTCACCAGCATCTGAGCCGGACAACGACGCGGCCCTCCACCAAAGGGAACAAAGTTCCAGTAGGGCCGCAAATTCTCCCATCGTTCGGGCCGGAATTCCTCTGCATCGGGGCCCCAGATATCGCGGTCTCGATGGATGACATTCTTGTTGACCTGGAGGACATCTCCCTTACGGACAAAAATCGGTTGCTTGCCATCAGGACCTCCGCCCACGGGCAACGTCGTATCTCGGATGCATTTCCGCACCTGGGTCACGCCGTTGGGAAAGAGGCGGTGCGCTTTCCTTTGTGTCAGCCCCCAGATCACGAATAATAGGAAAGGAAAGAGAAACAAGATACGCACTCTCATTGAGGATGGCGATGAGATATTTCATATTTCGCAGTACCGAGAATGTCAACTCCGCGTCGCCAACCGCGAGTACCTCCTGGCAACATTTCTCATATATCTCTGGATGACGAGCAAGGTTCCATAAGACATGGCTAATGAAGATGGAGGTCGTATCGTTATTTGGCACAAAGATCAAGCAGATTTGGGATCGGAGGGCTTCCTTGTCTTGCAGATAATTGCTCGCCATATACCATAGCAGGTCTTTGCGATCAGCCGTCTCTGGGTCTTTTCCTTGGCGCTTATAGTCGTCGAGCTCTTTGTATGTTCGGTCAACATGCGCATTCAGGTATTTGTGGACCACATCTACGGCATCGAGCCATGCCTGGTGGCGGAAGAGCCAGATGTACTTGTACCATTGAAGCCGTAGTCGGAGACCTCGGAGAACGTCCACCATGGCCCAGCATATGGGGGCTCTCTCCGGATACACCAGAGACTCGATTGACTCCCCAAATAGAGACTCGGTGGTCACGTCAAGGAACTTTAGATCACGGGGTTAGACATATGTCCTCGCGGCAGCAGAGAGGAGGGGCTTACCCAACGTTGAATGAGTGGCTGGATATTGACTGCTTCACCGTCCGCTGGCAACAGTTCCAAAACTCGGTCAACATGGATGGCCAGACGAGTGGTATCTCTGAAGGTTTCGGGCTTGAAGAATGGCTTAATCAGAAACCGGTTGAATTCCCACTCATGTCCGTCAACAGTGTTGACGCCTTTGTCCGCGAACGGAGCAGTCGCCTTGTTATTTCGCCGCATTGGACCAACAGCAAAGTCCTGCCAGTTGATGGCGGACACACTCTTCATATTCTCAGGCTCGATAGTGTAGATGAACCGGGTTCCAACGAAGTTCACCAAAAAGGTCTTTGGCAAGTTCGCATGAATTTTGTTGAGCCAGACAAGGAAGTAGTCATTGCGCAGTGCCTTGGCCATACCAAGAACGATATCGAAGCCGAAGAACGGGTCGCGATGAGGGTACCGAGGGATCCTGCCACACCCATGTGCCTTGCGTTTCCATTCATAGACGACCCAGTCTACTGCAATCATGCAGCAGAAATAGATCACAAATGCAGAGAGTGCGAGCTTTATTCCATCCAGAAAGGTGGCGTGCTGGAGGAGAGTTTGCAAACTCCCCTTCGGAATCGTGGTGGCCAGACTCATTCTTGTGGAAGATGATAGTGACAGGCAAGGGAATACGGGAAGCTACTACCAAGCAAGCTGCTCATCTCTCTGCACCCAAGGGCAGCCCGGTTCTTTTCCATTTCAAAATCACTTGATGGCTGTCTGGGCATCTCGGAGTATCGTTGTGGAAACCCCGTGGATTTCCCGTAATCTTCCCGTAATCCCGCTGAATATCCCGCGGTGCCGCGATCTCGCGACATCCATCGCAGCAATTAGGGCTTCATACGAGGACCCACTATATTCCTTTGCAATAGGTATGTATACCTTGGCGATTTAGATAGATACATACCAGCGCTATGTATAACCTCTCAATCAACATACACCAAGGGACTACGAGGCAGACTTAATACTTGTCCACCTTCTTTGTTACTCTTCAAAATCGCACACTACTCTCCCAACATGCAGG